TGCTAAAACAAACTAATAACCCAATTGGTCATTGCAATTTGGTCGAATGTTCCAAATGTCCTCATCCTCAGGACCCAAATGTTGAATGCAAGTGGATGTCACGCATCTGGATCTCCATCTCTTTCTTTCCCCATTTCTCATGTCACAGACTCAACGCTTTTTTCACAAAAAGCTCATCTTGAATAGTGGATTTGAAGGAGATGACAACTTCCTGGAATTGAGTTGAGTGACCAGGCTGTAGCTGAATAGTTTATCAGTTGGTAGAAAAAGCTCTCTGATACATCGAATTAGAAATCTAGACTGATGAAAGACATCCTTGCAGAAGCTACTCGGCACTTTTTGTATAAATCGTTATATATTTGCAGGCTCTGACAGGCTTGGGCACTATTGTGAGTCAAGACTGCGGTAAAGCAAGGCCTGTCCTAGCTCTGACCATGTCTAGAGCTGTTCCACGGCCTAGGACCTGACCAGGAAAGGTAAGACTCAGCCTGTTGGATCCAGCCAGAAGACTTCTGCTGGGCTCAGGAACTTTTCAGGACTGCAGTAAAGTCTGCAGCAGCTCAGAACTGCAGGAGAGACAGGACCAGAACCTGGTTTCCTCTTAGCTCTAGCCTTACCTTGCCTAGCTTACAGCTCCGACCTAGATTTTTAAGTACAACACACGAACCCAATCCATTTCTGATTTTTTTTTATTTGTTTATGTTTAGTTTTTCTCAATAGATTGAGTGTAGAAGAATTCTCGTGAAGGCCACCATTGACGTCATTCGCGCTCGCTATGGCTGTGCTCAATCCACCCCGAAAATCAACCTGATTTTTCTTAAAGAGAAATAGCACGTGTAAAAAGAGATCCGAAAATCTTTATGGATTTTTTGAGAGATTTGTGCTGAGAAAAGTCGATGATAAGGCTGAGCGGGAGACGGATTTTTTGATCATTTGAAAACCAAAAACAGAGCTAGCTCTCGATTTTTGAACACTGAAACTTTTGAGAAAGTATTTACTGCAATACTTCAAGTAAATTACAATCTTTATTTGCTAATTTGTTCTTGGAAATGAGGATTTTGCTACCAATTTTGATACTTCTTGGGCTTTGCCTGGTGGTCGAGGGTTGGAGCAGTAGTAAGTTTTATTAATCAAAATGTAATAATGTTTTAAAAACCTTGTTTTCAGTTAATTTAGAACTTATATTATCTAAATTTTAAAGATTCAAAAATAAAGGTTCTCGAGTTTTCAAGCGCTTAACTTGTTAGACTTGTTAGAGCTGAATAATGAAGCAATAAGCTGATAAAGTTTCTCATAAAGATAATGGAAGTCTCAAATCTCTTCTTCAATTGAGATTTCTTTTTCAAAAGTTATTCTCAACTTAATTCTTTGTCTAACACTTGTTGAAAGACAAATAGAAACCGACAAAGCTTTGTAAGAGCATAACACAACACAGAAACCGACACAGCTTTGTAAGAGCATAATAAACCTTTGTTTAAACACAAAATCCCAAGTCTAACACCGAATTAATATATAAAACATAAAACTTTTCAGGTTGGCATCGCGAATGGCATTCTCGAGGCAATCAAATCTTGAATCGTGACTCAAACGTTCATATTGAAAGGAAAAGCGGGGGAACAAAGGATAAACATTGGTGGAGCTGGTTCACGTCATGGGGATAAAATAATATGCATTCAATTAATCTTTGTACATAGTGAAGATAAAAATTATTAAATAATTCATTTTTTTCAGTTTATTATATTATATTACTATTGACGAATATTACATTACATTCATTACATTCATTTGTTTCAAAGTCCAAAAAAACGGATTTCCTAGAGTATTTGAAACCTTTTTTATGAAATTTGGAACCTTTTTATGAAATTTCAAAAAAGATCTTCAAGATTTGAAAGCTATTCCTGGAAAGATGATAAGCTTTTCTTTAAATTCTATCATTTTTTTGATTGAAAAGGGGTGAAAAGCGGTGAAAAGCTGTTTGAAAAGTGCACAATTCAAATAGACGCATAAAACGATTTGAAAATCGACGAAAAGATGAAAAGATCATAATGAAAAGCAACTTTTTTTTGTTTCTATATTGACTTTATCAAGTTTTTCTAATACTTTTAAACTAATAGGTTCATGTGTAACTGGTAAAATTGAATAAATTTTATAACAACTATTGGGTTGGTGAATTGAAAACTGCCAGCTATTGTCATATGTGACAGTTTGAGCACTTTCTTCAAAAGAAACCCATTTTGGTGTCAATGGAAAAGTTGTAGAGAATCAAAAATCAAGCTTATATCCAAATTTTCAGAACGATTCAAAAACTGGTTTTCAAGAAATGCCAAATTCACGAATTTTCACAAAACTTGCATTTTAAGCGAAACTACTAAGTGTATCCTTTTTGGAAATTTGGCTATAAGCCTAATTTTTGATTCTCTACAACTTTTCTATTGACACCAAAATGGGTTTCTTTTGAAGAAAGTGCCCAAACTGGGACATCTCCAGTCCTCCATTTTTGAGTCTCACACACAAACCAAAATCCTACTACGAAAGAGGAATCCGCAAATTGCCTGTAAAATGGGCAGAAGTCGTCAATAGTAATGTAATATTTGTCTATAATCTATCTAGCTTTTCTTACATTTCTTACAATAAAGAGCCTTGCTTGGGGACTTTTGGCGCATTCCCCATACAGTCCGGACCTCGCCCCTTTTGATTACTATTTATTCCGGACCATGAGTAATGAGCTTGCGGGAGAACACTTCGATTCGGAAGAAGCAGTCAAAAATTGGCCTTGGAAGTTTTTCGATTCAAAACCAAAATCCTACTACGAAAGAGGAATCCGCAAATTGCCTTTAAAATGGGCAGAAGTCGTCAATAATAATGGAAATTATTTCGAATGAATTGATGGTTTTATGTTGAATAAATTTTAGTCCAAAGTCCCGCAGTTTTCTTCATCAACCCAATAGTAACTGTCTTTATTTTTCTTTAGTTAAAGCTTAGAATACATTTTTCTGTAAAGCTTTTAAAACATTATTTAAAAAAATGAATGTAAAAGATTGAAAATTGAAAAATCTAAAAATTAAATTGAAACGATGAACAATCATCATTTGAATTTGAATGAATTGAATTGAATTAGAATTGAACAATGACTTCTTTTCAAAAGCCTTCCACCAAAAGAACTTTTCCAAGACTTTTTCCTTTGATAATATCAATTTTAAAGTTTTTATTACTGAATTAAAACTTAATATGAATAAAGTTCAGTCGGATCTTCATCCTAGATATCCTAGAGATCTTCATATCCTAGAGAAATCTTCAAATGTGCTTTCTGAATGACTTCAATTTAGTAGTAATCAGTGCATCGATACACGGTTTTTGCCGGAGTTTTGATAGTATTTTTCTCTGATAAAATCTGATCTGATGAAAACTTTCTGATTGTAAACCATTGCACTTCACGGAAACAAAAGACTCGAGTACTTTAAAAATCACTATGACGCTTTTCGGCTGATATATCCCTGGCGAATTTTTTTTTGTATTCCTTGTAGATTCTGCTCAATTTTTTAGCTTCCAAGGTTTAGTCTCATTCTGAGGCAAATTGGGGAACGGATCGCTTATCTTTAATTTCAATGGGATTCAATTTCTTTTCCTTTTTTTTTTGAGTCCATTTTCAGATCAGTAGCTGAAAGGCTTATCAAAAAGTTGAACAATGGATTCCCGAAAAAAAAGAATGGCTGAAGGGTTTCAGTTTTTGTTGGAATCCATGTGAGGTGATAGTCATTTGTTTAAGGGGGATACTGACTCTTTTGTTTGATAGCTTTGATCTTTGTCTATTGTTATTATATCAGTTGAATTTTGTTAGATTGTCATTGCATTGAGATTCTCTCGCTAGAGTGTCAGATTCTAAATAAGGTAAGATTTATATGTTAAGCTAGAGTACTCAAGCAGTAAAAGGATAGCTTGGGATAGCTTGGGATAGCTTTGATTAGACTAATTTGGATAAAGAAAAGAAAGAATAAAGGTTTTTCTTAGCATGACAATCTCCAGAGTTTCACCCTTTGTATGCAAACATGCGATTCTCTGCTCAAGTGAACAGAAAATTTCACCTGAAAGGGACAATATTTGCATCCATCTCTTTGACCATTCCCTAGACGATATTTTCTTGAGTCTTACAGATTTTTATTAGTCTAACAAAGTTCTTTATGAGAGTCTACCCCTTTTAAAGTCACTGATAAGTTTAGATCCACATTCAGCAGTTGACTTTATCAATTCATGTAATCTAATCCTGTTTTGATCTTTATAGATTCTATCAGATCATAGCTAAAAACACTGTTCTGCTCATGTCACCTTCAAAATCTTTAAACTCTTCTTTAAACCGAATTCATATTTAAACAAACAGACGATCTCTATTCTTCAGCTTTCATTGTATTCAATATTTTTCTCTTTCAATAGAATTGTCAAAGCTTTAAGAATTTACGATCTTTTTGGGTAAACTTCACGAGATTTGGGCAATTTAAATCTAAAATTGAATCTAACATTAAATAAAATAAACTTTATACTTAAGTTTACCTTCTCTAAGCCCCAGAAAGTCGCTTGTATGTTCAGCTTTGCTCCAAAATCAAATTTGATTAGAAAGTACAGCCATTTCTTGAGTTTTAAAGCATTTTCCCATAGAAAGCATTTATAAAATAAAAATTCGAGCTTTTCTTTTCTTTTAAAAGTGCAGAAATGTTGAAAGTTGTTTTTTTTAATCAAGTTTATCAGCAATTGCTAATAACAGTATATAAGAAAGCTATAAATATTGAATTCGATAGCTAATTTTAATTGCAATTGACTTTTAGATTCGTTTTTGAAAACTTTACTGTTATTTACAAGTTCAGCTATTTATCTAGCAGTATCGTACTGCTGTAATTTTCCTTTAAACGCTGAATATCGAAATCTTTTATTAACAAAGCTTAATGAAACGTTAATTCAACTTTTTCTTTCAGATCACCCATTCCCCGTCTCAATCGTTGGGTATAAAGATGAGGTTTGTTTTAAAATTTAAACTAATAAACTTAAAAACGAAGGCTTTGCCTAAGCCTGTCAAAGTACAAGCCTAACCTAAGCATAAGATCTCTCCGCCAATCCCACTGCCATGACCGAATGGCTAGCCTTGTATCTTAGTCGGGAGTTCAATCCCGTTCAAAGGGTTCAATCCCACCAGCTAGATTATTTCTTGTTCCCATATAGGTTTTTTCCCTACATTTAGAATTTAGGAGTTGAGGTCATTTTTGAGTCAAAACTTGCTGTTACATGTTTATGTAACAGTAAAACTGCAAACATGTAACAGTTTCTAATCTTTTGGTAACCATAAACATTTTTGAATCTAAACCTTTCACACTAGACTTTCCCTCGTTGCAGTCACAAACTGCACTCTTTGCATATTCTTTGCTATTTTCCGGGCAAGCCCTTTTCAGTAGTTCTCTTTTTCCTGTGAGTCCAAAATAATCAGATTAACGTCATTTTGAGGCAATATTAAGAACTGATAAGACTTTGAAACCATTTCGATTAGCCCATTTCTCCGACTTTTTTTTCTGGAATTCTTGAGGGTGTAAAAATTTATCCAAGAAGGGTAATAAATTTGTGAATTCTAGTGTTCGGGGAACTCAAAAATGAGGCTAAACATCAAAATTCTCGTGTTTTGTTTATTTAAAGATTAAAAGTTTAACGGTGGCTATTTTTGGGTTTGACTAGCCGAAAAATGAACTGATTAGCTTGGTCTGCATTGTTTTGCAATGATCACATGGGTTTAGCCTTTATCTTTGAAAAATCGGAAGCCAATTGTCTTTCAAAACAGCTGTTCAATGGGATTAAACTGCTGAAAATATATAAATTGAAATCTTTACGTTAAAAAGTGTCACAGGAAATATATTATTAAAAGGAACTATATTATTAAAAGTCATAGGAACTATGTTATTAAAAGGAACTATATTATTAAAAGTCACAGGAACTATATTATTAAAAGATCCAGTCCATCTTACTGTAGAAAGCAAAAAAAAAGATATAAAATCTATTGCCATACCAGTTTAAACATTAAAACAATATAAAATTCCATGTTTAGCATAGCCGGATTTTCCACGGGCAAATCGGAGTCCTTGGGCGACTTTTCTGGTGTTGGTGGAGAACATGTGAGCTCTCATGGACATCTTGGATGGTTTGTCACTGGTCTTTTCGTTGTTGGAGATCTTGCTGGTGGAGGACTTGTCGCTCTTCCTACGGCTATGATTCAATCTGGTTAGTAGAAGAGGAAATTGATGGCTAGCTTGTATTGAATTGAATATTGAATTCAAAAACTTCTTCATCTTTAAGTAAACCAACAAAGTTTACTTCAGTTCTAAGTAAACTTTTCTGATTTCACTGTAATTTCAATCCATTAACATTGGCATTTTAAAGAAAAACAAAACTTTTCAGGATTTTGGGGAGGACTTGTCATTTCCCTTGTGATGACTCTCGTCGTCACCTATACTGCTTACGTTCTCGGACTCTCATGGAATATTTTGCTTGATAGGTAAATATCATAATAATAGAACACGAAAGTTTGTAATTTGCATTTAAAGGGAGCCCACGGTTCTGAAGATCTGAATTTCCGTCTTTCTTTCTTTCTTTCTTCCTTTCTTTCTTCCTTTCTTCTTCCCCTTGTCTTTCCCTCTTTCTCTTGCCTAGTTAAGATACCGGATAGCTCAGTGGTTAGAGCCTGGAACGCCTGGAAAGTAAAAGATCAAGGGTTCAATCCCAGGAAATCTACTTTATCTTGTCTCCTTCATTTCTTCTTTCAGATGGCCCGAATATCACTCACATTGTCGCAAGCCTTATCCCGAGATTGGTTATCGTGCTCTTGGAGTCAATATGCGGTGGGAAAACTTTGATATAATCTAATCCTGATTTCATTTCAGCTAAATTAGTTACATTTTATCAATTTTACAGAAGGATAGTCTCTGTTTGCATTGATGTCACTCAGTTCGGTGTCGCCGTCGTTTATTTGCTGCTTTCATCGAAAAATATTCACGATTTCTTGAAGGTTTGATGAAATTATCATTAAAACATAATTTTTCTTTAGGCTTTTGTCAAGTCTGACCTTTCATTCTGCATTGTGATTCTCTGCTTAGCTGTTTGCCTTCTCCCAGTCACTTTTCTCAAGTCACCAAATGATTTCTGGTATTTTTAAATGATTGAGTTTTAGCTGCACTTTGAGTCTATTCTAAGTTCAAAACGCACACTTTCTAGCGCACTTGGTTAGGGATCAGTGGGTCAGAAAGATGCGTTTTCATACTGTTTGTATGTCTAACATTTAGCAATCATAAGATTATTTAGTTAAAATTTATTTCCAGGTGGGCCGTCGTGATTGCAATGATGACAACCAGTATGGCAGTAATGCTGATCCTCGTTGGAGCATCGATCGACTACGAGAAATGTCACAAAGAAAAGTAAGGACTTTAAAGCTCAATCTCTTCACAGCTTTAATATTCTAGAGCCATGCCCGATTTCCACATCACAAACTACTTCTTGGCGTTGGGCACTTTCCTTTTCGCGTACGGAGGACACTCAGCTTTTCCCACGATTCAACACGATATGAGACGACCGGCTGAGTTCACAAAATCTGTCATCCTTGCATTCTCAAGTAAGAATTGAAATGTTTTCTTTGAAAATTTGAATTTAAATTTATAATTTAGTTATGGCTGTTATGTATTTCCCAGTTTGCATCATGGGTTATATTGTCTACGGAAATTCGGTTCAAGATTCGATCATTAATTCGATTCAGGTTTGGAAGAGAGATTGCCAGAGAAATGAATCCCTTTTCTATACTGAAGTTTTAACCAATCTTTTTACAGCTCACTGGAATTCAACAAGCCATCAATATTCTGATCACAGTTCACTGCATTTTGACGCTAACCATTGTCTTCAATCCACTTATGCAGGAAGTTGAGGAAATCTTTCGAGTGCCACAACGTGAGTATTCAACATTTAGATAAGAAATTGAGATGAAATCGAAAAACTTGCCAATTCTAGATTTTGGAATTGGTCGCGTTGTAGTCCGATCGGGTATCATGGTTTGTGTGGTGATCGTCGCAGAAACCATTCCTACTTTTGGGCCATTACTTGATCTTGTTGGTAAGCTGTTCTTGTCTGAATTGTAAACTTCTGCTAGATCCAATAGTTTATCCTAATGCGAAACTCTAAAACTTCTAGGTGGATCAACGCTGACACTAACATCGGTCGTTTTCCCGTGTGTCTTCTATCTCTGGCTAGCGGCTGCTCAGAAAAAAGCTGAAGACAAGAAGTGTCCCGATGATGGACCATGCTCGTTCTCTGAGTAAATTTTTGAGTAACTAGTAGGGAAGCCTCTTATACAGGAGGGGTTTGCCAGGTCACGAGCGATTACACGGCCACACAAAGAACTTTGCCAGTCATTTTCTTTTGTAGGATATTGAGCTGTAAATTTGTACCTGGGGAATCAATTAAAGCTATTCGTTTTATTAACTCTACGAACTACGAACTACGAACCCTAGACTCGGATTTAACACCCACTTTCAGAAGTAACACTTCAATTTCAGGATGGTCCACTACACTCCAAGAAAAACGCTTTTCATTTGCGGTTTCATCACTGGTAAGTGGATTTACTGAAACAAAGATCAATCTTATTTTCAGTCTTCGGATTGATTGGCGGTTGTGCAGCCACATATTCAGCTATTAAAGAGCTAACCACATCATCTGTATTCACAACACCTTGCTATGCTCAAGGACGAGGATTTGTGCACACGGTTTGGCATTTTATTCTATTCATTATCTGACTAAATTGATATCGAATTTCAGCCAGAAGTAAGTACAGATTTTCGGAGAGGTATTTTGATTGAATTTTAACACCCAACACACAACACACAACAACTCACTCTTTTCTTTTCTTTTCTTCAATCACTTTACACAGTTAACTAACACAAATCAACTACTGTACTAACTTTTCTTTAAATTTTGAATTCTATTTAGATTCTATTTAATAAAAGTTATTTCAGACCGGTGACAGCGGGCACACGAATTGCTGTGGACGGTGTCAAAACGTTAAAACGCACAGGTGAGCTTTATTTGATTTGAAGAAGGCTATGGTTAAGTGGTTAAGTTAAGTCTTAGCTTAACTCAAAAAATGCTTCTTTAACATCAAAAGATAGCCCTGAATTTCAGCTATTTTTTGATGCCTAAGCGCGCATTGTAGCATAAATCAGTGTCGAGAAAAACTCGTTCAAAGCTAGACTACACAACACTCCGCACCGTCATTATGGGGATGGGGTATTAAAGTATTTATGGTAGTTATTGTAAGCTTAAATAAAGTTTATCTGTGATCTATTGTACATTAATTCTACAGTAACCAGGTCTATAAAGACTCATGAGGTTTACAAGTTTAAAGTACCAAAAGATTACCTTGTTAACTTATGTTGTATGTTAACTATTCAATCCTCTCGTTCTCTGGTCTATTGTAGATGTCTAGCTACCGAATATTTGACTTTTTAAGTATATTTTCTTGTCTAATTTGCTTTAAAACATTCAAAAATCTGTTCCAAATCTATTTTCTTTTAGTGATGTCAAATGCTCAGACACTAAACTCGATTTCTACCATGATACACACGATTGGAGTGTTGTTTGTGCGAATACAACAGCTGCGAATCTTATCACAAGCACGGTGGCCAACCAGCTTATCAATGGACTTTTTGGATTCAATTAAATTACCCAATTACCCTGCATAACTTCTGAAATTATATTTATTTAGCTTATGCAAATATGATAGCCTTTTGATTGATGTGATATTTTTGTCAAGAGTTTTTTTTGAATGACATCATTGCACATAATCTTGCGATGAGTCTTTGCGATAAAATTTTATTTTAAATGAAAGATTTTATGAATTAAATGACTAGAATGAGATCAAATCAAGGATTTTTTTTTAAAAAAAACTGGCAATTAGCATATGAAAGACCCAGAAAAACAGAGAGATGTGGGGAAAAGCACTTGTAAAAATGAAAATTGTATTATTAAAAGTTAAAAGTTGGATAAATATACAGTAAATGGCACTAGCAAGTTCATATTTTTAATGCTATAAATCAATTTGCATAAATCTCCATTGCAAAACCAATACTTGAGGGTACTATATCGATAAGAAAACCGTACTTTAAGAGTTTAAAAGTTCAGGAGGAGCATTTATCGTTCGATCTTCATTTAAACTACAACAATTTACTTCTTACTCTAAAAAGATTATTGGCGATTTCGGGTGTGAGTCGTTGATGAATCCAGGGACATGGAACGAGGAAATTTAACGTCCACCACGGTCCGAATACTAAGCGGAAGCGTTCATCTGAAAAATCATAATATAATAAGTTTATCTTGACTTGTAAACTTACTGATTGTCCTCCCATCTCCATCAAATTCCTCTCGGATTCCAAGTGAATGATACTCGTACATTGTGTACCCGTGACATGTATAGAACACCTAAAATGCTTGAATTAACAAAGAAATCAGAAATCAGAATTTAGGTATGCTTGCAAATTAGCTTACAAATTAAAATACAGATCAAGATACGCTAGAAAGTTGAAGATTGCAGAAATTTGGGTAACAATTTAATGTGAATTGATCTACTAAGGTCGATTTCTTTAATTTACTTCTCAATAAACCTTATTCTCATTACCTGAATCGCAAAGAAAGCCATAGAGGCGACACAAGAAGCGACTCCGAAAGAAAAGGCTACACAGATGAGAGCATTCAAGAGAAATTCTTTTCCCAACACCCATTTCACCACCGCAACCGGCGCAATGAAATGAGCCCATCCAAAAGGATACCTAAAAGAAAATAGAAATAATATTATTTGGATTGTTTTCCTTGTCTAATACTAACAATAAGTCAGTCAAGAATCGACTCAACTTTGAGATTTGACCATTCCATTGTCAAGGACAGTTGGAATTGTTGTAGAAAAATAGCGAATTTATGATTTCTTGCTGTTCTTTTGGTAAAGCCAAACTTTAACAACTCACCATGGCATCACCGCAAAATTCAAGTAATCCAGGATATACCAAGAGCAAAGCCCAGCACCGATCATTGACCAGAAGTTGAACACAATGAAATAGCGCTGAAATTTTAGAGATCAACTTGAATTTGAACCAAAATCAACCTGATTTCCCAATCCAACACAAGCACCTGTGATAAAACAATGATGATCTTTTCTCAGAACGCAAATATTGCACATGTAACAGTGATGAGATCGGATTGGAGCTCTTCTAAATGATGGATTTATCTACAAAATTTGAAGTTGGCTTGAAATTTAATTGTTTAGCCATTGGCTCTATTTAGATCTTGCCTCTGACGGTGAATGTTTATAAACAATCTTCGGATAAACCATTCTTACAACTAGAATTGTAAATATAAGATACCTATTGCAATCGACACAAAATTTCGCGTCCGGTGTACAAGAGTTTTGCTCTTCTCCCTCGTAGCGCACAAAATCTTCAATCTCATCACTGTGTCGACACAAATCCGCCACGCAAGAAACTCGTTGCCAAAACGAGACGCAATTGTTACTAAAATTCAAAATATAGCTACCGTAAATACTGTAATTGGACCCCACCCCCATAATGACGGTGCGGAGTATTGCGTAGTCTAGCTTTGAACGAGTTTTTCTCGACACTGGTTTATGCTACAATGCTCGCTTAGGTATCAAAAAATAGCTTTGAATGTCAGCTATTTTTTGATACCAAAGACGTATTTTTTGAAAGTGCGGGCGCTTTGAAAAAAATGAAATACTAAAAAACTTTTGCGACTACGCGACTGTACGAGGGGGGTGGGGTACTATTACAGTATTTACGGTAGTTTTTATAAAGTTTACAAATATACCTTGAAAAGTGATGAAAACAGTAGAGATTGATGGCGATTTCAAGCAAAATCACCCATAACCAAAACTCTAAGCTATCACAATGTTCAGCTGATTTCGTGGCCGGGCAAGAGATCGATGAGGTGAGGTAGTACAAGATTGAGGCTAAATAGAAATTAAATAAATTAATGAAATTAATGAAATCTGAAATAGAAAATAGAAAATAGTTTGTAGACAATGTAAACTATTGGGTTGGTGAATTGAAAACTGCCGGCTATTGTCATATGGCACAGTTTGAGCACTTTCTTCAAAAGAAACCCATTTTGGTGTCAATGGAAAAGTTGTAGAGAATCAAAAATCAAGCTTATATCCAAATTTCCAGAACGATTCAAAAACTGGTTTTCAAGAAATGCCAAATTCACGAATTTTCACAAAACTTGCATTTTAAGCGAAACTACTAAGTGTATCTTTTTGGAAATGTGGCTATAAGCCTAATTTTTGATTCTCTACAACTTTTCTATTGACACCAAAATGGGTTTCTTTTGAAGAATGTGCTCAAACTGGGACATCTGGACAATTTTGAGTCTCACACACAAACCAAAATCCTACTACGAAAGAGGAATCCGCAAATTGCCTATAAAATGGGCAGAAGTCGTCAATAGTAATGTAATATTTGTCTATAATCTATCTTATCTTTTCTTACATTTCTTACAATAAATAGCCTTATTTGGGGACTTTTGGCGCATTCCCCATACAGTCCGGACCTCGCCCCTTTTGATTACTATTTATTCCGGATCATGAGTAATGAGCTTGCGGGAGAACACTTCGATTCGGAAGAAGCAGTCAAAAATTGGCTTTGGAAGTTTTTCGATTCAAAACCAAAATCCTAATACGAAAGAGGAATCCGCAAATTGCCTGTAAAATGCGCAGAAGTCGCCAATAATAATGGTAATTATTTGGAATGAATTCATGGTTTTATGTTCAATAAATTTTAGTTCAGAGTCCCGCAGTTTTCAATTCACCAACCTAATATATTGGGACTAAAAAATGATTCTTTTGAATTTGGCAAGGCTTGATCAAGTTAGTAAGTCTAGTCAATGTCAATTTACCGGTTATGACACAGAATAGAATCCCGGCATATTCAAGGACGAATCGAGCAAGTGGGGATAGCTGTCGTTGGAGTCTTCCTATCGACATCTAAATAATAATTTAACTGAAAATTAAAAGAAAGTAGAAATTTTGAAGAGAAATAGAAGAATTTAAGCTTTTAATCTACTTTAATGCTTAAAATTCAACGAATTCTTGTTGCTTACCATTACCGTAAATACAGTAATAGTACCCCACCCCCCTCGTACAGTCGGGTAGTCGCAAAAGTTTTTTCGTATTTCTTGTTTTTCAAAGCGCTCGTACTTTCAAAAAATGCGTCTTTGGTATCAAAAAATAGCTGAAATTCAGGGCTATTTTTTGATATTTAAACGAGCATTGTAGCATAAACCAGTGTTGAGAAAAACGCGTCCAAAGCTAGACTACGCAACGCTCCGCACCGTCATTATGGGGGTGGACTACTATTACAGTATTACTATTACGGTAGCCTACATAATGAACAAGTTATCTAATACCTAATAGATTTTAAATTTAAAATCTAATATCTAATGAACTGAGTTTAAATTTAAATAAGTTACTTTTTTTATATAAAAAGAAGCATTAGATCTGAATTTGTTTTAAAAATGTTAAAAAACACTAAAATATATTTCTACAAAGTAATAAAAGTAACAAAAACTATTTCAAAATGCCTATGAATAACTTATTCTTCATCTAAAAAGAAACAAAAACCAAACCTATTACACAAATCTTCAAAGCGACAATTGATTTGAAGTAAAGTTTAAATAATAGTGAAGAAGGCTTATTTCTATGACTTGTTCAATGTGTAGTTGGGCCCAAGTAGTGGTCACTCTCCAAGAGAGGCCAGCTGCCTCTATTTCTTTATTTTCTCTATTTTTCTTCAATTCTCTCGTTTTGTCCATATCTCTAACTCTTTTTTTTTGTTTCTCTCACCTCTTTTCTCAACTATCGATCCCTTTTCCATTGACACCGAAAGCACTTCATTCATTAATAATAAATAAGTCGATTGAGAAAATGTGAATAAACAAAGTTTTTTTTTTAAACTTACTGCTTAGAAACTGCTTAGAAGCTTAGAAAGGTGAATCTACGAATTTTCTTTTGTTAAAATCTCAAAATCTCCGTTGAAATTTCATTACTGAGTTTTCTTAAAGGGTGAAAAAGAGCGCTCCGGTTACACAACACTTGGTTTCATTTTTCTTTTCGTTTATTTCTATCATAAGTTTCAGTTTTTAGTTAAAACTGGGCTCTAATGATGACTGGTTTTCACTTTACAAAGCCAATTTGGATGGGAAAACTTATTAGGTTATGGAGAGAAGAGAAGACTCAACAAAGGGATAATCATTTAAAAATACTTCAGAACTTGTTACTTATTTAGTTGATTTTAAGGCTAAATTTCTATTTTTAGATGTCAAAAGGGATTCTACAAGTTTTTGCAAAAAAAAATGACTCAAACATGGCCCAAAAATGACCTAAACATGGCTCAAAAATGACCTAAACATGGCCCAAAAATGACTCAAAGAACTGCACTTTGACTCAACTCTGATAGAAACAAAGCACAGTCTCGTCAAATTGAGTCCTTAATAACTGATTTAACTGTAAGTTAACATTTATTCAATAAATGTTAAGTGAAAGCTTTAATCTTCACCTCAAGCTTTGATCTTGTGGTTTTTATTTGTCTAAAAGTCGTCACTGTTGTCGAAGTGAGACATTTATGGAGGATGGAGTCTTGAGAGTGCCAAATTTATGACCTCCACGTCCATTCTCGTCTCCCATTTATGCATTTCAAACAAAAATTCTATTCGAGCAAGTCTTTCTCTTGAATTTCATCACTCTTAAGCTTTTCTTATAGTTGCTTAATATCAAAATATAACTATAAAAAGATATTTTAAATTGATTGATTGATTGCTTTGAAGCCTTGAATGCTGATCTTTAAAATTAACTAAAATTAAGCTCTGTTCACATTCCCAAACAACAAGATATGTTCATGAAAAGTGACATGAAAAGTTGTATATGATCGAAATCGAAAAAAAAGAAGAGATCTGTGTTTTCTGTTTATTTTGCCCTTTCCCCATTTTCCATTGCTTTCATGCTTCTCTTCAGTCAAACACCTCCTTTTCTCTCTTCAGATCGATAAAACGATCAAATTCTTGAAGATTTTTAGATATTCTTAGTATTCTTAGCATGCATTTTGTGCTTAAAATGGAAACAAACCTTCTCTAATACACTCAATTGTTAAAAGAAATCTGTTCAGTAGTTTCTTTCAAGTACAAACCTCATAGAACAAGTATTACTCTGTTTTTTCACACCAATTTTGGAATCATTTTCATATTTTTATTCATTGAACCTGTTGGACTGGGTGTTTGTCGTTAAAACTTTTCACTAATCTATCCAAAACTCCCAATGACTTGTATTCTATTTTAATCCACCATTTCACGAGCGCTAATCCTTACATTGATAACGAAACACTTGTAAGCCTTTCTTTTCAACCATTTCTTGTTAATCCAAAGGATTTGTTCAATCGTAAACTTTGCAAGATTGCCTGATTGTTTTTAAAAACTTTGTCTTGTTGAAAATGAACAATTTAGCTTTTATTTCTTCCTTGAAATGAATATTATTAGTTAAACTTTTTGGAACCCTTTTTGGACCAGAATGGCAACATTTTTAAGCTCTTATTCAAGCATTTTGTAGAGACCATATTTGAACCTTTTAAAACCATATTGGAATATGTAACCGTATCTGAAGTCATATCAACCATTTGGAGCCATTTGGATTTAAGAACATGCCAGAACCATTTGGAACCCCCCCAGAGTTTGGAGACAGTACCGAACAGTATCGGAACCATATTGGAACCTTATCTGAACCATATCGGAACCATATCGGAACCATATTGGAACCATATTGGAACCGTATCTGAACCATATCGGAACCATATTGGAACCGTATCTGAACCATATTGGAACCATATTGGAACCATATTGGAACCATATTTTTTTTCTTCCTTGAAATGAATATTATTAGTTAAACTTTTTGCCTAATGCTCAAGAATGGCAAATTTTTAAGTTCTTTTAGATTTTGTAGAGACAAATTTACCTTTTAAACTTGAAATGTAACATTTTGAAGTCAATAACTTTAGAGATTTAAGCATTTAAACAATCCCAATGTCGTTCTTGAGCATTTAAATAATAAAAGTTTTGAGTTGACAAATATTAGCGTAAACTTTAAACTATAAATTGAATAATGTATTGAAATATAGTACTTTCTTTACTCTCCAGTGAATAAAGTAGTGAATTCAAATTGGCGCCTTCACTTTCCCCCTTTTCCCTCGAGAGCTTTGAATCATTCGATCAACATTCTCATCTGATTCACCCAAAATGTTTTATTTTTCTCCTCTCCAAATTAACGCTTTTCGTTTCTTCTATTATTTATACGAATAGATTAATATTTTCTCAGCATTTTTTTACTAAATTCAAACAATCGGGGTAGGCTAATTTCCGCCATTTTATTTGCGCAACTGGGTCGTTTGCGCAACTCGCCATAACTTTCTTCTAAGTAAGCCAATCTTTAGGATTTTGGTGTCATTTTCTAGAACTTAATGAGTGCAACAAAATGACACCAAAATCATAAAGATTGGCTTACTTAGAAGAGAAAGTTATGGCGGGTTGCGCAAATCAAATGGCGGAAATTAGCCTACCCCCAAACAATCTGGTAGTTTGTCTCAAAATAATACTGTAACTAGTCAAAACGGTGCTTTGTTATTTGAATTACAGTATTCTCTGACTTTTTAAAAATTAATTTACTTTATTTTAAATGCAAATTTTACCAGTGCAGTACTCAAAAGTTTTAAACTTTAAGATTTCCCATGTGAGAGACTCGAAATTTGCTTTGCTTTCCTGCTTTCAGCTATGACAACAAATAGAGAGGTTGGGGATATTGTAGACAATAATTTGATTTTGTATTACTTTTTAAAATTCGATAAATTTCATATTTTAGGAGTGTTCTTGTAGAAAGAAACTCGTGCTTCCGCCAATTTTACCTTGGGAATCCGGCTCGAACAAATTCGCTTCACAGAAAGGGGAGAGTCCGTTTGGAGCGACAAGAAACAATGGTATACCTGGATAAACGAAAATATAATAGAAATAGATTTAAATTGTTTAATTTAGCAATAATATTTAGTACTGAGCCTCGATCCACCAAAACCAAACTCCGATCCACCGCCATTTGTCGACAATCGACCGATTCCAATCTTTGGCGGGCCTCGACCTCACCTCACAAGCACTGTAATTGTAAGTTTCGATTTGAAATTAGGCTTAAAATAATCTAACAACTAAATAGTTTACAAATCAAAACACAATTCCAAAGTTAGTTGCCAAAGTGATCGACTCTTGCGTAGTTTCCAGGTATTTTGAACGGATTGTCACACTTTGAAGGTCTATAACTTTGTCCAGAGATAATATTTTTGTTAACTTTTTATAGCACTGTACAGAGGACATTTCAGGCTTTCAAATGATACTAAATAAAGCTTGACTGGATTTTTCATTCCCATGCAAACAAGGCTACACGACACCCGAGTTGGATAGACCTCATTTGCTCAGAGTTGGCTTTGATTTTCTTGGACTGGACTATTCAATCAAGCTCTTTTTAGTATCATTTGAAAGCCTGAAATGTCCTCTATACAGTGCTATAAAAAGTTAACAAAAATATTATCTCTGGAAAAAGTTATAAGCTTTCAAAGTGTGACAATCCGTTCAAAATACCCGGGAACGACGCAAGAGCCAAATTATTTACTAATCTTTTATTCATTTGCCATTGCAATCCAAAACTAGTAAATTGCTAACAGTTTTTAAGTAAAATAGTTAAAGTTTCTTTAAAAATATTTAATTTATAAAACAAAACTCTTGTCTCAAGGTTTTTGGCTAATAAATTGTCACGAGTTCAGCTCAGATCAGCTTTTTTTTATAGAAAAGAAGTTTTATAAAACAAATTTCGACTCTAATGCTGTTCAATTACTTTTTTTCTTAGTGAAAAACATCAAAATCAAGTGATCCTGTTATATATCTTAGGCAACAGCTGTTTCCATTTAACTTCATCCCCGTTTTTTTCTTTTTTTAGTGAATTCGAAAACAACTCCCCTTTCAAATAACTATTATTTTCAATTAAAGACTTTTATTTTCTATAAATATTTATTTAACTACAATATTTCTAGAAAATGTTAAGCGTATTTGATGTATTGAATCTTTTACATTTCAAGAACAACGAGAAAACTTCGACGAAACGACACAATTTTTCCCCAACTCCATCAGATTCAATTAACGTCGAGAAAACTTTTAGAACACGTGAGTTTTAGCTAAATTGATCGTATTGACGATCAAATTTAAGTCTTGACTTTAGAAAATCTAAAGATTGAGAGCACTAGACTGCGAACGTTGAATGAGGAAGAAGAATTATTGTGCAAGGTACGCAAAATAACGCATTCTTTGTTTTCAAACTATTTCAAACTATATTCAAACTATCTTTAGGCAGCGATTCCCCGTTTTGTTTCCCCATCAAGTTCAATCGCAGAAAAACACGAAAAGGAATTGGTAAGGCTGATGAACTTTAAAAGCAGCTTTTCATTATAAGCTTTTTAAAGTCTCTGCCAATTTGTTAAACATTTGAGCTTGAATATTAAGTAAACAAAACTCTCAGCACAATTTTAAGCGATCTGCTGTGCTTTGTTTTGCGCAATGATGCTTGAAATCAGTAAAGCCAAACAAGACAAAACTCAAACAGTAAAAGCTTTGTGAAAAATGATTCTTATCAGAAATAAATTCGATTTTTACGTTGTACACCAATCGAGAAACGGACCAAATCGAATCTAATCCAAACTTTTAGAAAGAGAATCACACTCGCCATCGAAGCACATGGAATGGAGACTATTCAGTGATTGGATCAGAAGAGAGACAAAGATATTTGGCGTGGATTGGAGGACAGGTGAGAATAAGATAGATGCACAAAATTGAAAAGCTAAAGGTTTAAATAAAGATTGAATTAGCAATATATGAATATGCTTATATTGCTAATTCAATCCTCAATAGCCTTATCAATCGTCTACAGGTTGTGGCAAGATTATTGAAACCAATATTTTTCAGGATAAAAATCGATAAAAGAGAAATTAACTCAAAAAATTTAACAATTGATTTTTAAAGATATATTAAATAAGAAAAAGTACTTCCTAGATCTCTATTAGCAAAAATGCAGGCCTTGTGACATTTAGAAAATGCAATTTTAGGAAATAGTAAACGGGATCGAGTTTATCATACTTTTTGAAAAGATTTCTTAAGCGAATCAATGCTGGAATGCGGTTTTGACGACGTTTTTGCTTCAAGAATATTCTAAACACTGAAATCTATCGGTTTAAGATCCAGATTTGAAGCTAGCCAAATCAGGAAAATGCTGCTTGTCCTGAACCACTCGAACCTTGTGAGCATAAGCATCATCTTACATAAAACATCAAATCCTGTTGCCAAAGTAATTTTTGGCTCATGGAAGATCTTTCTGGTGTCAAGATAGTTGTTAGAACTAACACTGATTGCAATAATCCTGCCCCATCCTGTAGCCAATTAGTAGCTTTATCAATAGTCTACTCAGCTGACAACCGTTCGTCCGATTGGACAACCCAATCCATCGAAGAATCAAACATATTACGAGAGGTTGATGTTCGAAAGAGATCAGCAAGTCCGACCAGAGGTGAGTAACATTGGCAACGTTTTTTAATGACAAGCAGTTGAGAAGCATTCTCAAGAATGACAGCATTCTCAATCCAACACCCCCCCACACAACAACCCCCCCCCCCCCAACAACACCCCCCAAAAAAAAAACCACCCCCAAAAAAAAAACAACCCAAACAAAAAAAACCCCCCCAACAAAAAAAACCCCCAAAAAAAAAAAAAACACCACAACAAAAAAAAACCACCACCCAAAAAAAAAACACCCAAAAAAAAAAAAAAAAAAAAAAAAAAAAAAAACCTCAAAAAAAAAAAAAAAATCTCCAAAAAAAAAAAAATTTTCAAAAAAAAAAACACCTTTTAAAAAAAAAAACCATTCTCCCAAACACAATTTTACCGCAAATTTCAGGTCCTTTCCGCAAAGCTTGAGGCTTACGCAAATCCTTTGAATTCATAAAGACAAATTTGAAATCTATTTTCTTGAATGTTTTGCTTGAAATTCCTATTACTCAATTAATTTTTGGTTGTGAAATTTACGCGTCCGGTCTTCCTATTCACAAAATTGCAATTCTTATTAAATTTCATGTGAATTTTGAAGTTCTGATGTCATCTTTGAGAGATTTGTTCATCTTGATGTGCCTTTAATCATTTAAATAAAATTTTTTAAAGAAATAAAGTACTATTTTTCATAAAATTCATATAATATTAGAAAAATAGCCTTTTTACCACTGCTCAATCGCATTGTTAATGTTGTTCTCGCAAAATTTTCCAATTTTCACGGAGTTTTCTTCGACGTGAATTGTTTTTAATGAAATAATAGATTCATAAAGTAATTTAATTACTGATTTGGCTTTCTAAAAAGAATTTTCAAAGGCTTATTGGGTTAGTCTAATAAATATTTCAATAAATTTCTGGCTTTTCACCTGGTCTGGCATCGATAGCTATGGCTTTTAGCTTTTTTGAAAGCCTAAAAGTTAGAAAATTGTCTTGGACTTAATCAAATCAAATTCAAATATCTAACTGTTTTTAAAGAAATGACCTGGCTTTGGCTTAAAGAAAGTAGCACCTTTGGACCTTTGAAAGTGAAGACTAAACAATTACGAAAATCTTCTCTTTGCTTGACCAATCTTGTCGAATAAAATCTTGTCCAATCTTGTCCAATCAATGTTTCGTTAAAATCTTGTCCAATCAATGTTTCGTTTCTGAAAATAAACTCTTTTTTTAACCTTTTACTAAATGATTTTCGTTTGAATTGAATATTTCGTGAAACCCTCAAAAAAATGTGTCAATCTTTCAATCAAAAAAGTGTCTTGCTTTCTTTCATCTTTCCTCTTTCATCTTTCAACCAATTGCACCAAAATAAGAGTCAGATTTTCTCCTTTCATCACTTCAGGCATCCACTACAAGAGATATTCAACTTGTCCAGTAGATATTCAGTTTATCTATGACATTGCTTTCTTACTGTAGTTTTCATCTTTAGAGTTATTGGAGGATGCGTGGACGTTGGCTGCTTCTAGCGGCACTCGTCTCGTGTCTCAACTGGGTCAAAAAGACCAAAAAAATGTGTCAATCTTTCAAAAAAAAAAGTGTCTTGCTTTCTTTCATCTTTCATCTTTCAACCAATTGCACCAAAATGAGAGTCAGATTTTCTCCTTTCATCACTTCTATAAATGAATTTATTGGAGAGTTTATATAGAAAATAGTCTCTGTTTTCCGTAGATTTCGCTTAATCGTCGGGATGTTTTTGTCAAGTAAATCTTCAAGTTTGACGGAGTTGTTTTGTGACTTGAGTCTTGAAGCGTTGAAACTAAAATCATATTGTAGTTTAGGGTTATTAGTGATGGGAAATGTTACAGTATTACATGCATTCATTGCTTTCAAATGCCAGTGATTGTACCTCTTTTGATTAAAAGATAAGACTTGATACTTTTAGGATTTATAAAGTTCATGCTTAACATTCGTAAATTTGTATTTAAAATTCCCATCAACCAGTCCACCTCACCATTTCCATTCACTCACCTAAAGATCTTCCAATCGAACCAACCATTCTCCGATTGAAACGAGTGGTCACCAAAATGATACAACTGTTGACAAGCGAATGGAGAGCAGCGATTGCTGGAGCAATTCCACCAACTAAAGCTTTAAACCTATAGAATTTAATGATCTACTACTTGTCTCCGGTAGAGGGAAACGAGCAATGATTATGATCATCAACGTGTACGGGAGAACGATTGTCACAAAGGCGGCCAAGGACTGAAAGGGGGTTTTTAAGTGGATTCAAATACTAGTGAGAGAGATAGCCAGTCAGGATTGCTAAAAAAAGTTTTTTGCCTGGCCAAGGCCTTGCATTGCTTAAAAGTACTTGGGCCCGCCAGAAGGAAGCCAGAAGAGCGTCTGTCTGAATCTAGCTTGGCTCCAGCCTTACCTGGTCCAGCCTGGTCTGACCCTTACTTTAGGTCTGGCCCACGAAAAGTACCAGAAGCCAGACTTGCACCTGCTGGTCTGGCTACTCCCAGACTTGCACCTGGATTTGGCCCGACTTCTCCCAGACTTGCACCTGGATCTGGCCTGGCTTCTCCCAGACTTGCACCTGGATCTGGCCCGGCTTCTTCTAAACTTGCACCTGGATCTGGCCTTAGATTAGCGATCCTAATCTATTGTTTAGCTGAGTTTTATCCACCAACTTGTAAAGACAAAACACGAATACATTGTTTTTGCATATCTCTCGTTTTACGACTCTTTGACAAATCTCGATCTCTTGAATATCGAAACAAAAAATATGCAGTAATCCCAAGAAATAGAACAACGAAAAACGTCAAAGTGAACCCCAAAAAGGCACAAATAAGACGAATGAGGTCATTTTCTTTGAAAATATACACAAGTGAATATTTTTCTAAAGATTGAAGCTCTGCTGTGAGGGTCTAAACGAAAATTTCTTGATAAAAGAAATTCTTACGCACTCACGATCGCATTTTGGTTTAATAGAAATCCTGTTGAGTAAGCACCCCAAAATATGCCTTGGATTCCAAAAATTGCGATCACAAAAAAGATGATTAGCATTTTATTATAAAAATCAAGCCGTCTTTTACGATTTTGAAGATTTAAAGAGAAAACTCGATAAAATAATGAGTAGAATATGGAAACCAAAGTATAGGGAAGAATGATAAAATAGATTGTCTGAAAGGAGTTTTAGATTAGAATTTAGATGATATAATAATAAGATTTGAATCTAAGGTAGGAAATGGTAGGTAGGAAATGTCAATCAAAGTTAAATCAACCGAGTCTGGATGGCAATTTTCTAGGTCAGATTTGCCTAGCCTGCCTTTGAAGCCATTGGCGCAAGGAGTTAAGCTTGAACCGGATTTAGCTTGGATTTGCACTGATAACCTTTATCAAAACAAACCATAAAAGCTAGCCCTACTGGCATTGGACCTTGCAAAGGTGTTAGAAGCAATATTGTCAAATGGGGAACGCACACCACTGGCTCTCCAACAGCAATCAGTATATCGCAGAGTTGAGCAGAGATCTGAAACATGACTGTAAATAAAAGAGTTTAAATATTTACTTCTTTACCAAGATATTAAGCTGAACGAGTTGATAGTGTCGATTCGAGTTGAAAGAGTTTTTCAAAATCGAGTACAACGTTATGAAGAAGATGATCGATGTGAGGAGACCGTTCATTAAATAGAACCAATTCAACACCAGTTTTTCAGTGGAATTTGGGAAAAACATTGTAACTGAAACATTAATTGAGATAACTACAGAATTTATTAATCAATGAAATCAAGGAAGAAGAATAAAAACCTCTTGAACATCTGCTAAATTAAAAAAGCTAAGAGTTACCGTATTTTCTCTAATAGTAGTGCACCCTGAGCGTCGCCTAAATTGCTCGAAATCTCGAGAACCGCTTAACAGAAACTATCGATGTGGGGTCGGAAAATGTAGCTGACGATGAGATCTTGACGATGATTAGAGTCTTGAGCTTCTGCAAAAGCTTGGAAACCGTAAAATAGTCACCAATTCGGCTTGGCGGGGTGCACTACTATTAGAGAAAATACGGTAATTATGTTATAAAATAATATTCAGTTGTATAAATAATGAATATGAATAAGATCGAGAGAAAAAGACTCAGATGGGCCGGCCACGTAGCCAGAAGAACAGACGACAGATGGACTATACGGATCACAGAGTGGCTACCACGAGACCAGAAGAGGCCCATCGGAAGACCAGCAACGAGGTGGAGCACAAGAGTGGCAGAGACAGTCAGAGAAAGGATGGTTAGAGTGCAACCACCACCAACCATAAGCAAGTCGAAGACTTCGAACCAGGAACAACCAAGATAGGAAACACTGGATGACAATAGCAATGGATAGAGAAATGTGGAAGCATGTGATCTGCGCAAAATAGGAACACCTACGTGCAAAGACAGATAAAAAAAAGAATACTTGATGTGCTGGGGAAATTAAAAAAATAACAGTTTAGCCTTGATTTTACAGGCTTACAGGTTTTTACAGGCCGAGTTCACTCCACCAATTATAGTGGAGTGAACTCGATATTGTATGAATTGTAGATAACTTTTGAACACTCCACCAATTATAGTGGAGTGAACTCGGCTTACAATCAAGCCCTGTTCAGCTTCATTTTGATTATTCAAAAGGTTAAAGAAAAATAACAGGATTTGTAACAGGATTTGTAAAAGGATTTGGACAAAAAAGTAACAGGATTTGCCTTAAATCTAGATCAAACAATCAGTTTATGAATATTTAAATCAACAATTATAGTGGAGTGAACTCGACTCGGGATTACAGCTAAATATTTTCACCTGTTTCGAAAAATAGTCTTGTTTTTTTTGGCTAGCACCTATAATTTACCCGTTTGAAAACAAATGATCAGTCTAATAAAAGCATTGATCCAATAAATTGTTTTGTTTATTGCCTCATTTGTACGTTTGTTTCAAAAAACATTCAGGTGTAAGTGCACAAGACTTGTTTACACGAAATGAAGTTCGAGAATTTTCTTAATTTTCTTCTTAATCAGCAAGCAAAAGAGGTACAAATCTTTGCAAAAGCAAAAGAGGTACAACTCTCCCAGTTTAGCTGCTGTTTAATAATTTTTTTTAACAGAATGTCGAATTTATAGCAGAAATCGGCCAAATTTAAGGTAAAAATTGGTCACAAGGATTTGGACATAGTGGCGTTGAAGCCGGCTCAGTTTGGATTTGGACATGGTGGCGTTGAAGCCGGCTCAGTCGCTCACCACTCCTTCCCCTTCAAAAACAAAAGTATCTTCTTGTTTGTCGGTGTGGAATTTGTGCATTCCATTCATAAACAGAGCACTGCGAGTAACACTTTCAGTTAAAATAAGTCAAAGTTAATGTTCAACGTTTTAATTTCAGCTCTAAGAAAGCTAAAAAGCTATAGAGTTAAGCTCAACTTTTATTCAAAAGCAAATAAATGAGAGAACACAAAAATATAGTGGATTTTGATGTACTTCTGCAAAACTGCTTCCGCTTTTCCATAACCAAGAAGCCAGCTTCCGGTTAGATTACGATAAAAAAGACTCACTGTATCTATGATTTCTATTTGACACTAACATCAACATCAGCATCAAAATCAAAATCTTATCTCAATTCTTCTGTCCAGCATGTACATAAAGAAAATATTTTTTTAAAAGTCCGATAGACATTTTTTTGCAAACAAAACTTTCAAAACTTTGATTAGCATTTGATTTGATCAAAAAATATTTTGTAGAATCTTGTAGAATTACCAGTATTTATGAGTAATTTCATGGAATTTGAAAAATAATGATTTTTGTTTATTTTATGGATTTCTGGTGGGGCATTTTCTATGTTTTACAGCAATAATTCAGCATATACTTGTACAGCAATAATTCTAAGGATTTTGGGCCTATTAGAAACAGTTTTGATTTTCCTGTTTTTATCGCTAACAATTATTGAGCTCTTCAAGAAGTTCAAGACATTTCTTCCGATTCTCATATGAATTCAGCATACAACGAAAGTTGTTGTTGTGGTAGTCGTCGTGGTGGTTGTTGTAGTTGTTGTGGTTGTTGTAGTTGTTGTGGTTGTTGTCGTGGTTGTTGTTGTCGTGGTTGTTGTTGTCGTGGTTGTTGTTGTCTTGGTAGTCGTGGTTGTTATAGTTGTTGTGGTTGTTGTCGTGGTTGTGGTTGTCGTGGTTGTTGTTGTCGTGGTTGTTGTCGTTGTGGTTGTTGTCGTTGTGGTTGTGGTAGTCGTGGCTGTTGTTGTTGTTGTGGCTGTTGTCGTAGTTGTTGTTGATAAATGAAATATGTTGTATTCAAAAATTTTATCTACTTCTTTGCTAACCAAATTGCGGAAACTGACTATTGTCTTGGTTTAGCAAAATTTGATAATGAACTCTGTTTAAAATTGTCAAATACTTGACCGAACTTTGACTCTGATTTATATCTGATTTATCGGATTTATAAATGTTTATATAAAGCATTACCCTATTTATGAGATCATTTCGAAAATCAGCATTTGAAAAATGTCAGATTGTGATTTTTTTGTTGTCTGAATATTTGATTGAAGAGACGAGGAAAATCAGTTGCATTTTGCAGTCAAATATTGATTTCTTGCTTGATTGCTTGATTTTTGCATTAATTTTACCATTTTTTATTGTAAAAGTTAAGTTATTCTTTATTCAAAAGGAAATATGGAAAATATTTTCAAATAAATGTTTCTAACCGAGCGAATTTTTGACAAAACACTGTTAGAAGCATTGAAATGACAAGGGAAAGGCAGAAGTCAAACTGATCTTTTAACTCTTATACAAAGTCCTTCTTATAGAGTCGGCCATGGGGATCTCGAATCTGTTTTTAGTTTTTACAGAACGCTAGATGAATATAGAATCAAATGTCTGTTCTCAAATGAAATCCCGTTTCCCACTTATCATTGCTTCATAATATCTCTTCTTCATCACAAGCATTTCCATTTTTGCTTTGTGTTCCTCTCGCTGAAATTCAATCAACTCCAATTGTGCTCTTCTCCGTGCTTCCCAGAAATCTTTCTTATCTTTCAGAATCTCTTCATTAAGTTGTTCTTCTTGAACCAATTCCTGTTTTCCTTTTTTCTTGGATGGTTCAATAGGATCAATAGTTGTTGGTGATTCGTAGCTCAACGAGTTCTCCGATTCTTCTAAAGCTTCAAATTTCATCTCAATATTCGGAATGGATTGATAGCTTTCATCTTGTTCACTTGTTATTCTCAAAAGTTTCTCAATCGATGAAGCATTTGTCCAATTTGGAATTTGACTTCCCATTTCTTCTCTCAAAATTTTCTCTAAAACTTCCAAATGAATTTTTGGTTTAGCAAAAGCTCCAGTTTCCATCTCCAACGCGAGAACTTTCCTCAGTCGACTCAAATCATTCGAAATTCTTTTCGCCAATTGTTCTTCAGTAAACTCAACCGGTATTCTCTCCATTTGCAAACGATCAAAGATTTTTATATAAATTTTTTGTCTAGTTGCATTGGATTGTGATGATCCCTTGTTGACAACAGTTGAGTAATCGATCCAATTTGTCGCAACAATGTCAAAGATTATTGATAGAGCTTCATTGGTAAAAACTGGTTTCGGTTGTCGATTTCTTGGTTGTTCCATTGTGAAAGCTTTTGAAATGTTCAGGAAAACAAAATTGTTAGAAAGAATACGGAAATAGGACAAAAGCTAATCAATATTGTACAATTCTTGAGGGAAGAAGGTGGTTGAGTGGCGCCACTCAACGCAACGCAACACGCAACGCGTCTCTCTCGTTGTTCACTCATTTTCTGTTCAACTTTCAATGGATAACAATGAAAATTTTAAGGACTTTCCATTAGAAATTATTTGAATAAGAATTCTTTCTATGAAAATAAAAGGAGATCTTTTTGCAAACGATCTTCTTGCAAACGATCTTCTTGCAAACGATCTTCTTGCAAACGATCTTCTTGCAAACGATCTTCTTGCAAACGATCTTCTTTAGGCTTTCAACGAACCAGAATCATCTAGAAGTTTTTAAACAACGTTGATAATGAAGATTTGAGAGCTTTATTTTAAAGCAATTCAAAATTTTATGAAAATTGAGAAAGATTTTCGGGTACTTTTCTTTATTTCGAGAGTAACTGTCGAATATATTTTGGTGTTAGTGGAGGTTTTCGTTTTCGAAGACGCGCTGAAATTAAACCGTCTGACATTGGAAAGCTTGATTTATTTCTTCTCAAAAATATTTCTATAGGCTGCTGCACAAGCGGCGAGACGTTTTGGGAAGCTGTCGATAATGGCTAAAAGATACGCAAGATCGAGTTCAGCCCAAGCTTTCTGGAGTGATTTTTTTCAGTGAATCAATACTTAAATCTGCTTTTGAGCAGGCCTTTGCTTTGAGAACAATCCGGACTGAGTAATCCATTGGATTTAAATTGGGTCTTGATTGTGACCACTGCTTAAAGTTGATGAAATCCGACAACACCATTGTGATGATCCCTTGTTGACAACAGTTGTGATGATCCCCTGTTGATCGATCGATCCAATTTGTCTTGGACAAGTCTCGGGCTTTGTGAGTGTTAAATAGAGATCAAAAATCCAAAAACTTGTAAGCCAGTTATTTTGGCATCGAGAGCAAAAACTAAAAGCAGATTTGAACTCAGCTTAACCGATTCTATAAGATGGGTTTGGTCTCCAAAAGGCCACAGCAAGTGTTCCCTAGTTAATGTCATTTTTGTAACTGTAAGGCTGCTCATACAGTAATGTTGTAACAGTTTGGCCGACTTTGACGTCCTTGAAGTTTCAACCACTCAAATCACGAGAGAAATCAGACTCAGCATTGGATTTGGATTCAACTCATCATTCTACTCAAAGATCACCTCATCACCCCCATATTCACCTTTTTTCGACCCCTTCCCTCCAAAAAACCCTCCCAATCACTGTCCAAGTCTCATCGTTTTTCTTCAAAGAGCAATACGACACTCAACACATAAATTTTTAAAAGCTTTTCCATCATTTTCTTGATTGTGAGAGAAATAAATAAATAAGAGCTAAAAAGAATGGCCCTAAACGAACGGTTTTATGAAATTTTTAGGAGTTTCTGATAAAGAAAATGATTGTGAAAGTCGAGTAAATTGGGAAAAGAAATTCAGGTTTTAGATATGATGACGGCACTGGCAGAAAGTATGTCTTAGTTCCAGTTGATGCCGATGCCCAATCGCTTCTCATCGCCGTTAACGGATACAAAGCCACTGTTCAACTCTTCAATGGATACAGTAATTTGAAGTGATTGAAATATAAGCCTTTATTCTAGATAAACTTCAACAAGCACCCAACTTCCAAGCAATCGCCAACGCCAATGATCCGATTTCGGGATGGAGTTTCTTCACTCAACGAGCTTGTCAGTAAAACTTTTGCTCTTATTAATAACTTAATAATTAATTTAGCTTGTGACCCTGACTGGGATCCGCTCGGTGACTATTGTGTCAAGTTCTCACTTACTCCAAACGATTATGATAGCGCTGTGGCGATTTGTCACAATGGAGGTCTCATCGTTTTCCTTCAAAGAGCAATACGACACTCAACACATAAACCTTTTTTAAGCTTTTTTATCATTTTCTTGATTGTGAGAGAAATAAATAAATAAGAGCTAAAAAGAATGGCTCTAAACGAACAATTTTATGAAATTTTTAGGAGTTTCTGATAAAGAAAATGGTTGTGAAAAGTGGTGGTTGGGAACTGATGAAAGTCGAGTAAACTGGGAAAAGAAATTCAGGTTTTAGATATTCAGATATTCAAATAGATATTCATATATACTAAAATCTTTCTATGTTTAAATTCTTGTAACTTATCTTATATTCAACTCTTATATACAATCTGTAGCTCGAGCAATTCTTTTGGACTCCAAAAGAATTCAAAAGAAAATTTGCTCGAGTTTTGAATAGATTGTACATTTACACTTTACACTTCTTTTTTTTACTACAGTTTTTACTCAGCTTATCCATTGCTGGATTACTGTAACCTTTTCCATTTTTACTTCTAGTTTAATTGACTACGGTACTTAGATTGAAATTTAAAGCTTCAAAGCCAAGATTCGCAACTGTAAATCTAATAGTAAGCTACAGTAGGCATCCACTACAAGAGATATTCAACTTGTCCAGTAGATATTCACTAATGGAATAGCATTAGATATTCAGTTTATCTATGGCATTGCTTTCTTACTGTAGTTTTCATCTTTAGAGTTATTGGAGGATGCGTGGACGTTGGCTGCTTCCAGCGGCACTCATCTCGTGTCTCAACTGGGTCAAAAAGGATCCACTCCCGGTTGGACATGAATCGGAAGTGATCGCAAAAAGTAACAATTTTAAAAACAATCCGCCTACCGTAGTCTTGTCACTTTTTAAAAAGCACAACAGAGATTAACAGTGTTAAGTTAAGTCTAGAAGTGTCTAAGCAAGATATATTATATTTCTAAAGCTTGCACTCACCACTTGTTAGCTACAGTTCTTGATTCTAAGCCATATCCTGAACAGCAGTTGGTCCATCAAGGCTCACAATCATTCTGAGATGATCAATTAAGACCTAACAGCAGGTCGATTCCAGGTGAACACTACCTCTTCGTCATCATTGTACAACGTGGGCCTGGAATTCTCAGTGGAATGTACTCAACTCTTGCCCTGCAACCCTACTATCTCACTGCGACATCCGATGTCCCAAACGCTCCCGAGATCAAAGATTTGAAGTTTACAATAAAAAGTTTACATCACCAAGTCTCTTTCCAGGTCTATGTAATCACCGATTCGATGCCCCAAGACTATGGAGATGTACTTGACACTGTTTTCCAACTTGACTCCTATATTCAAATAAGGATATTGGTTCTGATTCTGAATACAGACAATTTCTAGGTTCCAATCTATTTCCTCTACGTTGAAGCATCTCCTGGACAGGGTTTTGTACCCGATGTTCACGATCCCGATTTCCGCGCAATGAATGATATCACTCAACAAACGGAGAGTCTCGCTTTCTATGTCACATGTCTCGTTTTTTCATTCTATGTTTTTCTGTCAAATTCTATGTATCGCTTTCTCGCTTTCTATGTCACGCTTTCTATGTCACTTTCTATGTTTTTCTTTCTATGTCTTTCTTTCTATGTTTTTCTTTCTATGTGGAACGGAGGGTTTCGCTTTCTACAACAAGTCTTTAGGCTATCATTCCACTCCATCACCACCAACGCCAGCCCCAACGGGGACCACTCCAGTGCCAACTTCTCCAGCGAACTGTTCGAATGGTGGATGGCTTGTTCAGGTAAATTTTCAGCCACTATCTAAGCCAATTGAACAAATCTTTCAATTTCTAGAACCCGGACGGCTCAGCTTTCTGCGTGTGCCAAGGGTTGTGGCAAGGAGCAACTTGTAATCAACTTGTTTGCATGAATGGTGGATATGACACTGGAGGTACTCGTTGTACTTGCTTGGCCGGTTTCCAGGGAATTCATTGTGAGGTAAGTTAAAAGTTGATTACGATAATCCATTACAGTAATCTATTTATTGATTCCATCTATCTTTTAGGACGTTGTTTGCGTTGATCGTGGCCGTGATCAATTCTACGTCGACGAGCCAAATCTCGTCTTTGTCGTCCGTGTTCGCCAACAAATGCAAGACGTTTTGGATCAAGTAAAAATCTCTACCTAGAAAACCACAGCTCTAACTTAGGTGATGAGCGCTGTGACCAACATTGTCAATGCAATCCAAATCTACGACGCGAACTATGTGAAGAAGTTTGGCGTCGTCTTCTACAATAACGGAAGTGAGTTTGAAACAGTCAAATAAAGAGTTTGACAGGAACTGATTATATTCCTATGAATGGTATTCTTTAGAACAACTCTTCTCGGCCAGCTACTCCTCTTTCGGAGCATTCCAATTGGGTTGGACGAGATGGGCCACCGATGTGACAGATCAAAGCGGAAATTGTACGGACAATGAGTTCACTTTCTTAGCCGCTGCCTTGCAGAGTCTTCCCGTTTCACCGAGATCAAAGGTTTGAAGTTTACAGTAAAAAGTTTACATCTCCAAGTCTCTTTCCAGGTTTATGTGATCACCGATTCGATGCCGCAAGACTATGGAGATGTGCTCGACACTGTTTTCCAACTTGACTCCTATTTCCGAGTAAGGAGTTCGGTTAGATTCTGAAACCAGACAATTTTCAGGTTCCAATCTATTTCCTCTACGTTGAAGCATCTCCCGGACAGGGTTGTGTACCCGATGTTCACGATCCCGGTTTCCGCGCAATGGACGATATCACTCAACGAACGGAGGGTCTCGCTTTCTATGTCACAAATCGAACATCAGTCAATCAGGCAAAGATTTAAAAGAAAAAAATCAAAAATCCAAACTGAGCGGCACTACGGGAAGTCGAACCCGGATCGTGTGGGCTATAGGCAAGCGGATTTCCGAGTGCGCTATAGCGACAAAAAAAAGATAATCGCAGTTTTCATACCAAAGTATTCTCTTTCAGCTCCTCTACAACCATCTCTATTACACCTTCTATCGTACTCAATTGATTCTATTGAATGATCTCGATGTGTGCACTTTCCAACCAGCCTACCAGACGCTTTCAATCGACTCGAAACTCGATCAATTGGTGGTTGTTGGAAGAGGAAGTGAGTATTTGTGCTAAAACTCTTGAATTCTTGCTTAACAACACATTTTAGATCAACTCGACTTCCAAATCACCTCAGACACGGGAATTGCGAACCCAATAAAAAAATACTCTGGCAACGACATCACTATCTGGTAAAACAATTGTAAACCTTAAGATTCAACTTGTTTTCAGGTCAGCAGCCGGTATTGTAGCTGGAAACTATCGTGTGAGCTTCCCAAGTGCTCCATCGTCAAGTTGTTCATATCGAATCTATCAACAAGCATTCACAGTAACTGGAAGTGTAAGTTTAAGATATTTCTAGAGTATTATACCGTAATCAATGCAGTCTTATCAATTCGAACTCTTCTGGAAGCTCACTGAGTTACTCAACTCCGATGGATACTATCAACAGCCAGTTGCTGGTTTGTTTAACTACTAGATATCTAAGGATCTAGATTCTAGAAAACATTGACCTTGTAAAACTTCCTTTAGGTGTTCCATTGGCGATCGGTGTGCATTTGAATCAATTCCCAGCGAACATCCCACCCCAGTATGTGCAAGCCGAGTTCCTCATCACTGCACAAAGAGGCCAACAACAAGTCGACATTTACTCATCGAATGGAATCTGGCGAGATGGATGTGACTACAATTTCTACTTCCCGCCATTCACTTGCCGAAATGAGGGAGAGCTTCTGCGCTTCCAGTTCTTCGCCCGTGATGGACTTGGGTTCCCGATTCAAAGAGCTGGTAAGAGATAAAGAACTGTCTACCATTATCAAGCCTTTAGGCAACATGTACTGCACCGGCTATCATCCAACTCAATCACCACCTGGTGGCTGTCAGAATGGTGGAGTCATCAATCCAGCTGATAACAGCACTTGCTTCTGTCCACCTGGCTATGAGGGAACTCTATGCGAGAAGTTGATCTGCTGGAATGGTGGAACCCCGTTGATCTTTGGCTTCTGCCAGTGTCCGCCTGGCTTCTTGGGAACTCACTGTGAAACAAGTAAGTGAATTTGTTGTTCAACTATCATTTTACTCTCAAAACTTTAACTTCTAACAGTAAGCCTTAACCTTTCCAGTCTCTTGCATTGAGGAAGGCCCAGCTCCTCAGATCTTCACTCGTTACGTCGACATGGTGTTTGCTGTAGAGATGACTACAACAGCATATGCTCAGGTTTTAATATAAACCCATTTCTTCTAAAGTTTTGGTTTTAGATGACTTTCCTCAACAAAATGTTCCCAGAGATCCTCAGAGACGTCGTCTCTCATCACGAGGAATGGATCAGAAACTTTGTTCTCATTGGTTACAACTCGACATGGGGAGGAACTCTTGCTACCGCATCGTCTCTTGATCCAACTAGTGTAAGTGCAGTTATTGAGTTGTTGGTTGTTGGTTGTTGGTTTAACTCTTAGCCTTAAAGTTTACGCATTCCAGGTCCTCATCGCTCTCAACAATACCGTCTCCAACTACAACGGTCTCGACAAAACGACGGACGCTTGCAATGCCACCGTGCAAGTGTGGCATGCAATGGCGCAAGCTGTCATTCAAAGAAGGATTCGACCCGGATCTTACATCAATCTCTTCTTGGCCAGCAAACCGGATGAGTCAAATTTGCAAGAGATCATCACCATGTACAACGATGTTCGACAGATGAAGATCCTTGTTACAGCGAATATTGCTTACACGAGTAGTGGAACGTATGTGTGCAACAATACTTGGGTTGGTTGAGTGTGCATTAAAATCATTTTTTGAGATTTAGAACAACTATGCATTGGTTCACGACTTGTGTCGTTACTCTAATGGAGAGTCGTACAACATGCAACAGCCATACGTTGAAGGAGTGGGTATCTAGATAAATTAAAGCTAAAAGTTAAAAAGCACCAGCTCCATCTTCTCATTTCCAGTTCGTCCGCACGATCCCGATGAAATTCATGCAAGGAGTGCTTGCGCATCGCCGATATGATGACTGCACTGGCACAATGTATGTCTCAGTTCCAGTTGATGCCTATGCCCAATCGCTTCTCATCGCCGTTAACGGATACAAAGCCACTGTTCAACTCTTCAATGGATACAGTAATTTGAAGTGATTGGAATATAAGCCTTTATTCTAGATAAACTCCAACAAGCACCCAACTTCCGATCAATCACCAACGCCAATGATCCGATTTCGGGATGGAATTTCTTCACTCAACGAGCTTGTCAGTAAAACTTTTGCTCTTATTAATGACTTAATAATTAATTTAGCTTGTGACCCTGACTGGGATCCGCTCGGTGACTATTGTGTCAAGTTCTCACTTACTCCAAACGATTATGATAGCGCTGTGGCGATTTGTCACAATGGAGGCGGAATGCTGGTCGACGATTTAACCCAGGATAAACATGATTTCCTCATCAGTGGGTATTTGAATTATTGACGACAATATTACTGCTTACAGTGGGTCGAATTTTGTAAACTATCGTATTCTTCCTCTATCCTGTTTCATTGCTCTTTTAGACACATAAATTAGAGCAGATGTAGCTGACTTGTACAAAAACTGGGCAAGATTATGGTAGTTTAAAAAATGATACGTTTTAGAAGAGAATCAAGAGGATCTAAGCAGTTTTGTTTAGGAGAAGGAGCGACCTCTTCTTTCTGGTTCGGTCTCAACAATCGCAACAACACCGGCTGGCAATGGGATCGAGAAGATGGACGACCGCCTGTGCCTGTTTGTTTTTGAATTTATAATTTGCTTTTTGAAACTAACTGTAAGATAATTTAGTATGATTCGACTGGAACAAACTTCTGGCCAGGAGGCACTGTGCCAAATGATCCAACCAAGCTCTGCGCCTATTTCGACTCATCTAAATCGACTGAGAATTGGTAGCTTTTAAGAAATTTACCATTCAAATCCAATCTATAGGTTTCCCGAGTCTTGCAATGTTCAGAAATACTTCGTTTGTCAGAGACATATCTATGACTGGAACTATATGCCGAATAGGATCGATGATGGTAAGATTAAATTCATCTTTTTGGATTTTATGACTGAAATAGCTCATTCTTTTAGTTGAGTTTGAATGTTTTTATATTCACTGAACTCTAGCTAATCAGAAAAAATAAAGCATTAGGTGATCTAGAAAGGTTTCGTTTCATTTCTATGCATAAGGCCTTTTATTGTTCATTGTTAAAGACAAGTCATACTGTTGTTTCTATCAGTTTCACAGTTTAAAATTCAATTTAAGATGACATGCCTGCTGGAAAGTACTACCTTGCGATCACCACTCAATTGCCACCCACCGACGGTTCGACCAATCTCGGGAAAGGATGCTTTGCTGAAGTCCGTGTCCAATCACACCTCCAGGTATTTAAAATTTCTGGACTGAAACAGCACAATTCTTCTTCTAGATCTACGGTGGCTTCACTGAAGACACTCACAACGATTATCCAAACATGGACCCTGTGGCAAAATCGAGTACGTTTTCTGATGACCACGAATTATAGCGACAACTTTTTAAAAAAATAGCTGACAAATGCTTAACTTATTTTAGAAATATCAAGTGTTATTTAGAGAGTTATAGCCCTAATTCTTGGCAACATTTATCTATCAAAAACTTTTCGATTAGACTTATAGAACTCATTTTACAAGCGCTTGAATTGTAGTCGACATCTCTCCAGCCGCTTTTCTCTATTAAAAATTGTTAAAAAAAGGTTTTCAATATTTCTTCAATGCAAAAATAGCGTTTAAAATCACTTAATAACATTAAGAATCACAAATTAGCTACTTTGGCTGAACTGACATAACCAAAATCCAAGTTGATGCTCTTCTAAAATAAGTTAAGCATTTGTCAGATAGTTTTCTAAAAAGCTGCTGCTATAATTCGCGATTATCCTGTAAAATTGAGACTTTTTGCCTAGCCATCAATCAAAATATCCAATTTTTCAGCTCAAAACCGTTTGATCACTTTCGTCGACTCGGCCGCCTCATTCCAACAGAGAACCCCAATTTTGACTCACGGTCTCATCTTCAACGCACACAACGAAACCATGTGGGATGCAGTCACTTATCAGGTAAGGAAATTTTGATTTACACAGGTTTTAGATCTGCATCTGAACAGGTTAAAGATACTGTAATCTTTTATCCACAACGAAACCAACCACCCCTTTATCAACCAACAGCTTTTATCCACAGCCTTAAGAACTGATCTCTCGGCTTCAATTGAAGCTAAAGGTCTCTAGACAAACTTGTCGCCTGCTGCGCTTTCAGTCGGATACTGGTATGCTGTAGTAAACTTATAGCGATATACTGTAGTTAAAGAGTTGAATTAACATCTTCAAAAATTATCTCATGAATTCAATTCAGCCTCGCGCTCTTTGCTCTCTCGATTGGATCTCCCAACCGTTCTACTGCCCCGACAGTGACAACAGTGACAATCTCTTCTCGATTTATGTAAGCTTTATTCTTTTCTTTTATTCTTTAATTATTAATTAAATATTTTTAGACTAAGTATACTATTCTATTCTTTAAAGATATTCTATTATCTTGAACCGTTTTCAGCACCTTGGCGAGGATGAGTATGGACACACTTTCCAGAGAATCGTCAACGCTCACTGCCAGAATCCGTGTAAGTTTTTAAACTATAAGGTTCTAGATTAAGATTAGAATTTAAATTCTAATAATGAAGCAAAAAATCAAGTTAATCAAGTTCTCAATTTTCAATTCCAGCTATCACTTGCGGTAATGGCGGCCTCCGTTACAATGGAACTTGTGTGTGCACAGAGTACTGGCAGGTGAAGAAAAGTTGATTGAAACCTGAGAACCGATGGAGATCTTGTTAACTCTAAAAATTTACATTCATTTATTTCTAGGGAAGCAATTGCTCGATTCCGATTTGCGTGAACGGTGGAGTCTTGGATCGAACGAACACGCGTTGCTTGTGCCCAGATGGATTTGTTGGATCAGCTTGTGAATATCGTGAGTCTCCTCTAGTTGTACTTTGGGCTAGAAATGGAAACACACCTTGCCTGGTGCAGAGTTTGGCTATTTAAAGCACAATCAAGTGCACTGGGAAGACAATGTTTAAATTTTTAGCTTAGAAGAAAGGCTACAAAATTTATACTAAACAAATTACTCAAAGCAAACAAAAAACTTTCAGAGGCTTGCACGAACCCACAGAACTTCACTTTCGACACTTCTGGCGCCTCGTTGACCATCGTTTTAGAGGTCACTCAAAACAATAGAAACAATGCAAACGGCTTCCTGGCCGGTCTTCGAGATGTCATTGATAAACTTCCATCTGATTGGTTCTCCAACTATCTCCTTGTCACTTTTAACTGTAAGTGTGATTTGATTGGTGATAAGCTTCAAAGTCTGACTAAATATAAACTCTGGCTCAATTACCCAAGCTCATTCTGTCTATCTTTAGCCGGCGGAGTCGTCTCGAACAAAGACTATTCAACGACAGCCACTCTATTGACTGATATCACCTCTCAAATCAACAATGGAAATGATGGAGGCTCTTGCAATATGCCACTTTTCGGGTAAAAGAATTCGAAAATGCTGATTTTGTTCTTTTTAGAGCTGTCAGTGCCGCTCTCACGAATCAGGCTCTGCGTTTGGCTGGTCATCTCATTGTCGTCTCGTCATCGATTCCAAGTGACTCGGCCAGTCGGCAAGGAACGATTCAGTTGATCAATGGGGCTACGCCAAAGGTGAGCTTAAGTTTGCGTTACAGATAGTTTGCAAAGTTTAACTACACCAAAAAGCCTGGTCCAAATGGGTGGGGCAAGGCCATAAACCGCTATCTTGAACCAAAGTTCCCTACGGTTTTAGACAACAAGACTTAGGATCTTAAGGCCTAGTAGCCAAGTGTACTACCGTATACTTACAGTTTTATCGCTAAATTCAGATCCACAACTTCTACTCGAACTCGTCCGGTTGCTTGAATAATGCTGAGATTCCGAACACCGATGACGCTCTCCACTTCCAACGATTCGCCTATGCGACAGATGGAAATAATTTCTTCACGAATTCGGATCAAATTCAGAAGGTAAATGGTTGGTGATTGTTTTGTGAACACAGCTTGCAGGCTATTACTGTCTATCTGCCGACAATCGGTGGATTGACAAATACTCTTGCTCATCCAACCTATTTCAATAATTTCACTTGTGCAGCTACTGAGGATTGGTTTGTTGCAGATATTGTAAGTATGAGTTGATATTTTAGGTGGATCCAAGTTGACAACAATTCCACTGATATCTATATTACTGTCTCCAATGTTTTTGCTTCGATTGTGGTGATAGATCCACATGGAAGTTTGTGTTTGGAAATGCATTTATCCTGTACTTGTGTTCAAAATGAAAACACCAGTTCTGGCAGACTGAACTCTCGTTTTTGTCTATTTTAGTAAGCTTTGAATGCAAGAAGACATGCGTTTCTATTTTGGACGCAAAGTACATCCTAGAGTCATTGAAAGAATTCAAGAAATCCTTCGGATTTAGACCTAATCTCGACCGATGTTCTCTACAGTTACGCCAGCCAGAAATACTATCACATCGACAAAGATGAAGCAGGAATCTATCTCTTTAGCGTAAATGCTTGAAATCTGAGAGAAAAAATGAGAGCTTCCAGGCTGTTGGACCCGGTCCATGCTATGTGAACATCCAAGCGACTGGTGGAGTGCAAGCGTGGAATGGTTTCGCATTGACAAGCGCTGCTGATCCCACCGGATCACACACTGATGACACAAATCTTTTTGCGACTGCTGGTAAAGTTGATAATAATAAGCTCCAAGTTCTGAAAACAGTTTTAGTTTTTGGAGGTTTTAAAGTATCGAACTTTATACTTGAATACTTTCAGGTGTTCCAAACATTGCCGTCTTCCACGTTTTCAACGGAAATCAAGATCCGCGAAGATTGGCTGGAGTACTCACCTATATGGTCATGTGGGATCCAAACACTTTAACGGTAAGCTATTAGGCTCGTTTCATGTCATGTCTTCAAAGCTTTGTTTAGTCTGTTTACGGAGAGCTGTATCCTCGCGCCAATTGCCACTTCGAGTACTACTCGGATCCATTCAACTGCACGGTATTTCCTTTTCTAACAATAAACAATTCAATTTTATACTTAAAATCGTTTTTTTTACCTTTATTTCTTATATTTTAGGTCTACGAAGGCTTCTACATGACAATTCACGGCTACGATGAGTTGGGCATGACGTTCGTGAGACAAATCGCCGCTTGGTGCTTGCCAGGTAAAGGAAATAAGGCTCAGCTAGAGATAAAATAAGACTTCTTTATTTTTGTTAGTTATCTAGTACTTATCCAAGCTAAACTTATCCTTGGTTTCAGCTGTTACCCCGACTGGATCGACCCCAATTGGCACCATAACAACGACGACAACAACGACCACAACAACGACCACCACAACGCCTAACACCGGACCACCTCTTGTACGTTATTTTATGCAAATTTGTTTTATTTCAAAATCGAATGTATGATATATATTTTAGTCATCAACCACTGCCATGCCCACAACAACCTCGGACTCATTGGCGGGAAGAAATGTGAGTTTGAAATCAAGTTGTGCTTCGGGGGTTGACTCAAAATTTAAAAGTTCATAACGAAAATTTTCTTGGGTAACTGAAAAATATTTGGTTGGTGATAATGAAATAGTGCCGAAAATTAAAGAAATTTCTAAAACTTCTAGCAGAATTTGTCAAATGATACGCGTTTGATATCAATACAAAGGTTAACTAATTCTCTACAAAATAACATTTAAAAGAGAACTCAAAAATCGTCTCAGCTAAAAAAGTCTATAAACTGTGATCTAGTGAAGACGGTTGGAGGGATTTTCCTGAAAATTTGGGAACTTATGTAATTGAGTGTGCTCTATCTTTTTATGTAGACACCAAAGGAGGTTTATGTGGAAGAAACTGCTCAAATGATGAGTCGGACTTTGCCATTTTGACCAGCCATGTTTAGGAGTTCATAAACTCCACGAAAGAAAAGATTTGTGGAATCTGATTTCGTAGAGAAGTGGACCCTTTTGATGAAACAAAATGTGTATTTAAAGAAGGCTTTATGCGTGCAAAAAGTGTCTTTAAAGTTCGCGTCATTTCATTCTCCTCAACCCAATAGTATTAACAATAAGCTAAGATATTAGTTAACTACTATAAATTTCTTTGTTAAGGTTTAAAGTTCAATTTCCAGGTGGACATCGTTCTCCTCCTTGACACCTCATCCACCGCTCAGCCGTATTTCGATGATGTGAGTTTTTAACTGATATATAAAAAGAATTGTTTCGAAAAATTTAAGCAAAAATAAGCCGATACTCAATGCAAGGAAAAATCTTAATTTCCAGTACATCCAATTCGTGAAAACCTTCTTCACGGCGTTTACGGTGAGCCAAGCGAGAACGAGGATTGGAATTGTGACCGTTCCCGGAGATGACTTTGCAACGTTCCTCGTTATTCAACTTGGAGGAATTGATAATACGGTGAGATTAGCTGATATCTATGAGCTAAGTAAGGTAAAAATTAGTCCAGAATAAGATATTGAAAGTGAACTAAATTCAAAACAATCCATAACTTTCAGGCTGCACTCTTCAAAACTCTTGACGACATCAAGAACTTCTACACCGATTTCGATGATCAAGGCCAATATGCTGGAGCGTGGGTTCCCAATTTTTAGCAAAGAAATTCTGTGTTTAGAGCTCTTGATCTTGTCCGTCAAAAGTATATGACACTGGGGAATGGTTACCGAACACAGATCAACAACCATTGGATTATCTATTTGACATCGGCGGCCAGGTAGAAGAAAAACAGTGATCATTTAGAGAAATTGTTTAGCATTACCGACTTGAATGACGCCATCACTAATGCGAACTTCTTGAAGTCTGGCAAGTACTACTCGATTGCTGGAATCGCTTATGGAACTGGAGTTATGGACAGAGCGACGCTTGCGGTGAGCTGTACTAGTTGATCAAGTCTTCAGCTAGTAGTTTTCTAGTACTTTTAGATCAAAAGTGTAAACACAGCGTACAGCCCGAAGCAAAAGGCTTTTACTGTGCTTAAGATCAAGACTTAAGTCTTAAGGCCATTAAAACAATGGCCTTAAAACATTAGTTTCTTGAGGGAAAACACAAATTGTGGTGCTATTGACTAGGCTTGGCTAGGCTGACTGACTAGACTGACCAGTATTCGTACTCGAGCTAATCTCTAGCTTTATATCTAATTTTGGTCAGCTACAGTAAAATGTATTAAAACAAAAATTGACGTAAGAAAATTCGCGTTCTTCCGCATTTTATTAAGCTTAAATTTATCTCCATCACTTTCAGCAAATCACCGGCGGCACATCGTGCTCGTTCTCCACCGATAACCAAAACAACTTGAAGACCACAATCGCCCGAAATATTCAACAACAAATTTTTGACAATGATGGCACTTATTGCATGGCATCGCCGTAAATCCTTTTCTTTTCAAAAACAATAAATTTTATTATACTCTTATCAAAAATTTCCTTCCGAACCCTGATCTATAAACCCGTAATATGGCAAGAAAGTGTGAAAAAAGTGAATTTCGGGGAAATCGATACAAAACAAATAGTAAAGTGAAAAAAAACCCGCTTTGGAGTTGTAACAATGGGAAGCATCACAAGTGGAATCAAAATGAGAAAAATCTCAGAAAAAAATAAGCATGATTGATTTGAGTCAAAATAAGAGTTAATTTCACAGATTTTTGCAAACTTTGAGCTTAAAAATTCTCAAAAATGTATTTGGATCGTTTCCGCCTCGAAAAACCGTAGTTCTTGGTTTGAAGAGAGTAAGAATCTAATCTAAACTAGGCAGCATTTTGATTGACGTCAACAAATCGGATGCTCGAAGACTCTCGATTTGAAAGAGACTCGAATTCGAGGTGAGCCTCTCTGCTTGAATCGCTGAGATCATTGAACGAGCAGCTCGTAGTTGGATCACGTGTCTGAAATCGATTCGTACACCTGTTTCTAGACACTATACTCACTTCTTCAGCACTACTTAATTGTGATGAGCGTGCAATGGATCATGATGTAGCTGTTTGAGTTGTCTTTGCGATTCTCTTAAAGAACGAATTCTCGCCTTTAACCAATGAATGTGTCGATTGAGGCGACGAAGAGCACGAGGAGTGGAGACGCGATCCAGAAGCTGCAAGTGATATTTGTTAACAAAAGGATTGCTGGGAACGAGTCTAGCAATAGCAATCTAGCAGTTAACAACATTAGCCTAGCAGCAACATCTAGCAACAACATTAGCTAGACTCTAGCCGTTGGTGAAACAGTATTCAAAATCCCGATCCTCAAAAGCTATTTTCAGCCTTAGTTGATGATTACATCTTGATAGAATGAAAGAGAAGAGATTCGGCACGGTAATTGGGACATCTTCTGGGAATTTCCAAGAGAGATCATCGCTGAAATATCGGAGCTGCACTTGGATAAGAAGACTTGTCATTTGGATAGCAAGACCATAAGACTTTTCTTTGGCTTGATTTTGTATTTAAAAAATTGGAATCGCATCCTATCTGGTGTACTCAATTTGTGTTATTGAAAGTGTGCCAGGAATCAATCAATTAGTCGGATCGGATTCAATCCGATGGATGTGGTCATCGGAGCTGATCTTCATCCGATTCGATCCATCGGATAGCAAGCCTACCGGGTACCCTTACATATCTTACTGTGAGCTTAGCCTTATTTCCCATAGTATTCTAGGGATTCAGGTGTCAGTTTAAATGTTTTTATCTTATTTAAAAGATATCGAGCTTGTCGGCATATTGTAGCCATTGGACTAAACACTGGACTACCTAGAATTGAAGCTTTCCAGAACTTTTGCATTATATAATTAAACAAATTTGCAATTAAATCTTTTTTTTCTATAGATTTGCATGTAATTTTTATTTATAATTAGTGAAAAGTGAAAAGAGAATTGCTGTGAGGACGATTCGCTGTTGAAGGTATTTCCAGATTGATTACATGACTCTGGCTTTCTGAAATTCTTTTGCTTTAAACATTTCAAAAAAATCGGCTCACTTTTGAAAGAAAATCGCAAGACTTTCTGAATTCTCATTCGATAAGAACGAGTGGCGATGAGGAGGATTAATGAGTTGAATGTGGAATGGACACTCAGTGATAGGGGACCGATTGCACCAACTGGAAACCAGGAAATCACGGGAAATGAGGGTTCTTCTCAGAAATCCAAGTCTTTTGATAGAATACGAGTCTTTTCAGTGTGAAAAGCTATCAAAGCTATTCTCTATCAAAGAAAAGCTATCCAAGCTAATTCTCTATCAAAGAAAAGCTATCAAAGCTATTCTCTATCAGCTATCAAAGCTATTCTCTATCAAAGAAAAGCTATCAAAGCTAATTCTATTCTCTTTGAACTTTTCTTGAAACAAAGCGTTAAAATAAACTGTACCAATCGGCTTTAAAACCCTTGAAAACGCTGGGCATAAATTTTTCACATTAAATCTTTGGGAATCATTTACAGAACAAAAGAAAAATCATTGATGAGATGTTTCTTGGTACAACAATTGTCTTAGCATTGGTTTAAATCAATTCTTCATCTTGAAGGAACAACCTTGTTAGCCTTGTTTCAGGAAAGCAATTAAAGTTGATTCAATGAAAGCAATTCCTGTTCTTTGTTTCACTCACCGATTTCTGGAAGAAACGGAACACCAGCATCAACAAGCATAATCAACATCATTGGCACAACAATGAACACAGCTGCAGCCATAGCCTAAAATCTTTAGTCAACTCAATACTTACACAGTTTCTCAAATCTTGCTTTTGCTACCAATTCTCAAAACTTATAAGTTTTAATGCCAAGTAGTGTTATTGTTTTATGATATGAATTTAGTGGTTTTGAGTCAATTTTTAACAATTCTATCCTTCTAGTTGCAGTTCTAGTCCCTTCAATAGTTACAGTTCTAGTCCCTTCAATAATTACAGTTCTAGTCCCTTCAATAGTTACAGTTCTAGCTCCTTCAATAGTTACAGTTCTAGTCCCTTCAATAGTTACAGTACTAGTTCCTTCAATAGTTACAGTTCTAGTCCCTTCAATAGTTACAGTTCTAGTTCCTTCAATAGTTACAGTTCTAGTTCCTTCAATAATTACAGTTCTAGTTCCTTCAATAGTTACAGTACTAGTCCCTTCAATTCTAGTTAACATAGATGTTTTTAAAGTAACAATTCATCCTTTAAACTTTATATTTTCTCTTTTACTGTTGTTTCATTTCCGTTTTTCAAAAAATCTCTTACTTTACATATTCATAAAACTTGATTTTCTCTTTTTTCAAAAAAAATGATTTAAACTTATCACATGTTTCCTCAAAAAAAACTTTTCCACCTGCATCGCCAACACTTTGATAAAAGTTTTCTGTAGTTGCTGTGTGCGCTGGCTTCCGATTTGTGACTAAAGCAGAAATTTATTAAGAAAACTTTATTAAATTAATCTTTTGTCTCAAATTTTGATCAGAAAGGTTTAACTCAGAGTTGTAGTGCTCAAAGATCATTGATAGATATATTTGATATTTGATATTTGGATGTCCTTTGGGATTCAAAATATTTCAGAGAGTTTTGTCTGGTCAATTCCGTCATTATAAAACTATTACTGAAGATTTTATAAAGCGTTTTCTTTTAAGATTTCAGAAATTTGAAAAATAGTTTAAGAGGTTCAAAGTTTAAGAGGCATTTAAATGAATATTCATAGTTTTTCAGATCAGTTTTTGTTCTTTATTTAATGTCAGATCTGGTCTTGCACAGATTTAGCCTGTTCAACTAATGTAAAGTCTAAAGAAAAACGAATTTTATAGCTCAACAATTCACAACAATTCACATATACCGTACTCTCTCTAGTGCACCATAGCGTTGCCTAAATTGCTTGAAATCTCGAGAACCGCTTATCAGAACCTATCGATGTGGGGTCGGAAAATGTAGCTAACGATGAGATCTAGTGGGGGATTTGAGTGTTGAGCTTCTGCAAAAGCTTGGAAACCGTAAAATAGTCATCAACTCGGCTCGGCCGGGTGCACTACTGTTAGAGATAATACGGTATAATTCTAATAGATATTATAAAATCCTAGTTACAAGTATCCTGCCAATAAAACTGCTTTTTATATACCGTATTTTCTCTAATAGTAGTGCACCATGAGCGTCGCCTAAATTCCTCGAAATCTCGAAAACCGCTTATCAGAACCTATCGATGTGGGGTCGGAAAATGCAGCTGACGATGAGATCTTGATGATGATTAGAGTCTTGAGCTTCTGCAAAAGCTTGGAAACCGTAAAATAGTCATCAACTCGGCTTGCTGGGGTGCACTACTATTAGAGAGTTTTTCAGATCAGTTTTTGTTCTTTATTTAATGTCAGATCTGGTCTTGCACAGGTTTAACCTGTTCAACTAATGTAAAGTCTAAAGAAAAACAAATTTTATAGCTTGTTAAGCCAGTTTTATACACTCTGAACAAAGATAGAAATTTAATTTACCTGATATCGATGAAATCTCAGAATATAATAAGCAGAGATGAGCAGAAATGATACAGCCATCGCCATCAACAAGAGCCCACTTATGAGGAAAACCGTTCGGAAAGCTTGATCTTCTTTGAAGATTACAGCCATTTCTTCGTTTTGCAAGAGTGACACTTCAAGTGATGGATCGATCTATTTAACTGGATCATTAGAAAGATTTCAAAAAGCCCAACCGTTTCCCCCGGTGCATACAAACGATGCGTAAACCATCCAAACCAAATCAAACCACCGCAAAATGAGATAGTTAATCCAAAGAAAATGTAAATAAATTTGTTAAAATTTGCTGAGATTTCTTTCTGGGTTTTAGGATTTAAAGAGAAGAGTCGATAAAAGAGGGAATAATAGATGAAACCGACGGTGGTGGAAAGGTCGATCATGTAGAGGCTCTGAAATCGAGTTCATGTTTAAGTACATAGCATTAACTTGGGCTAGTGAAACTAACGCCAGTAAAGTATACTTTTTAAGCCATTTTGCTGGAAGTAGGTTTCATTGGGTTTATCATTTGCTTAGCCAACTTTTATTTAATCTACTCTTATCAAAATGCGATCCTTGCGGGTTCTAGCGTTATAAAATCATCATTCAGTGCAAAGATAGATGTCTATTCAATACTGTTCTTTTTGTAAATGTAATCTAAACTTACATTTAATGCTAAACCTAAAAAGTAAGGAGTTGGAATCGGGGAGAGGTGAACAAAAGCGATTCGGGGAGTGCAAGCGATCGGTTGAGTGATGAGTGAGAGGAGATCGCCGATTTGAGCTGATATCTAGAAGATATGAAGGCTGATTGGATTTTGAATTGGATTTTGATTGGATCGGATTGTGAACTCTGGATACTAGACTTGCTAGTCGATCGAAGATCTGTCGAATGGATTGGATTGGAATCCGATAGAGGCTTTATCAGATCGATAATTCGATGTAATCCGGATTCAATCCATCCGGTACCCTTACAGCCTTCAATTCACAAACGACACTTATGATAGTGTTACTAATGTTGTCTTGCATCTTTTTCTGCTCAAAATTTCCATCTTAAAGATAAAATTCTTGGCTAGAAGAGTGTCAATTGTACTCACTGTAAATACTGTAATAGTACCCCACCCTCCCCGTACAGTCGGGTAGTCGCAAAAGTTTTTTCGTATTTCATTTTTTTCGAAGCGCCCGTACTTTCAAAAAATGCCTTTTTGGTATCAAAAAATAGCTGTAATTCAGGGCTATTTTTTTGATACCTAAGCGCGCATTGTAGCATAAACCAGTGTCGAGAAAAACGCGTCCAAAGCTGGACTACGCAACGCTTCGCACCGTCATTATGGGGGTGGGGTACTATTACAGTATTTACGGTAGATTTAAATACAAAATTTCATGGCACAAACCCCTATCAACAATTGCACATTTCTGTACTGTTTATTATGCGTTGTGATCTTCGTGCTTAATATCAAATAGAGAACAATTGAAAAGAGACTCGTCGCCAGGAATCCATTAAAGAAATAAATCCATGAGAGAACTTGTCGAAAGATTGGACCGGGATAGAACATTTTAGAACTTTGAAATTGTAAAGTTTTCTCTAATTGAGCTCATTATGAGAAGTTAGTTTCAAAGAGGCGGGTTTTCCTCACCAGGCTTATAGAACTCTGATTTCGAATTCTAATAACCTTTAATAATGAAAATCACCTGTTAAACAGTCTTTGTCCTCACAGTTTTCCTCACAGCTTTGTTGCTCAATAGCCTATAATTTTTTGAGAAAAACAAGCTTGCAAAATTGTTTGGCAAAGAAAAACAAGAAGTTATTGTTGCAATTTTGGTGTGTTTTTTTGAAATTACACGTTAAACAGGCAATTTTCATGTTTATTGACCAATTTAAGTCTGTAGTGATTATTGTAGTGATTGTAAGAAATGTATGTTGATGTTTTGATCTATATAATTTCTTGTGAGACCGTGTCTCGGTGTGGTTCAATGGTGGTCTTCTCGAAAACGTAATAATTTATCCAACTTTCCCTTATTAGGGCAACTTCGCTCAAACTAGAGCAACTTGGCACTATCACAATTAAATCAACACTTGAATGTGAAAAAAGAATGATAAAGCACAAAAAAGGAGAAGAACAAACTCACTCGAAAGCAAAGCTTAAATAATGGGTTTTTTAAGCATACAAGCTACAACAACCGGACAGCTGAATATCATTTAGTGACTGATTACGGTAGTTTATCCACCAACGTTGAACTTTAACTTGTATTGAATTTTTGACTAACTGCAGAGCAGTGGCAATTCGCCACAGTGATTATACGGAACTCAGACGTTGGTCTCGTCTTACACACTATGGAGTTGAACGGATAGCGACGCATATTAAATCTCGCACAAGAGGCGTTCGTCCACATAGGTGTCTAGCTGGCCATTTCCATACGTGGCGATCTCGATCACGAGATCGTCACGACAAAGTCTCTTTTAGAGTCAATTGAATGAAAACTGTTTGCAGAATTGTCACTGTAATCTCTAAAAAAAGATTTATTAAGAAATTAGTTCTAAGATTTTTTGTTTATCAATGAAAATAGAACCATTTTTAGGGGTTTGTTTCAATTTCAGCATTCAACGAGCTCGACTTCTGAACTTCTTGACTTCTACTTCTACTTCTTGACTTCTACTTCTGAACTTCTTAACTTCGACTTCTTGACTCCAAAAACTTTCGAGCTAGAATAGAAAATAAAAAAAATAAAGAAAGAAAGAAAATAAAATAGAAATGATGGTGAATATACTATCAATAATTTCTCATCTAGTTATTAAAATATGATTGACTTTGCACTTTGCTTTGCAGACTTTGCAAGACATTTCAACCTTATTGCCATTTTCAGCCTTATTGCCTTATTGCCTTATTACCAAAGTTTTGCCCAAGTGGTGGAAGTTTGAATCGATTTGAACTCGTTTTCGGGAAAAACTTTTACACAGTCAAAATATAAAATCTGAGTTTGATTCCAAGGCTGAAACGTAAAAATCGTCAAAATCGTCAAAATATGATGACTTTCCCCGAATAGATTTATCAGAAAATTATCTGTCGAAAATTATGTGACTAATCAACCATTTTTATTAGAAATTAGAACTAAACTATGCCTTTTCCATTGTTAAAAGGTTGTTCATTCAACAAAAAACTGAAAAAAAGTTGTTTTTACAACAGTTTATTTACGTAAAAAGACCGCAGGGAATAGTTTGATCTTTTGTCAAGTTTACCATTTCAAAAAATAACAATTATCAGGTGAAAACTTGTTCGGCAGAAAAATCTCTTCTACTTTTCCTTTTCCAAAAAATCGGACGATTCAGTATTCTATTAGGTTGAGGAAAAAGTAATGTCGCTTTTTGTCACAAAATTGTTTATTGCTAAAAACATAGACAAACGCAGATCAATCAATGAGATCTTCTCCATTATTATTGATGACTTGTTCCCATCTTTGTCGCAAGTCCCTGATCGGATCCTCAAAAAAAAAATGGGGAGTTTTCGAGCCAAAATAAGTGTCGACTGCTTTTTTGATCTGTGCATGATCCTCAAACTTTTCGCCCATAAGAAAACTCTTCAACGACCAAAACAAAAAATAATCTGATGGGCCCAGGTCCGGACTATAAGTCGCGTGGGGCAGAAGTTTCCAACCAAGCTCGTCGATTTTTTGGTGAGTAATTTTTTGCAGCGTGAGGTTTTGCATTATCATGCAAAAATAGCACTTTTGATGTTTCAACGCCCAATTTCTTTAAAGCCTCGTTAACTCTCATCAACTGTTTTGAATAACGATCAGCGGTGACAGTTTCACCAGGATTCAACGACTCATAATACTCTAAACCTTTTGTATTTCACCAACAGCAAAGCATAAGTTTCTTTCCATGCATACCGGGTTTTGAAGTTTTTTGTGGGGGTTGACCAAGAGAAAGCCACTGATTTTTGCCCTTCACATTCTCATATTGAATCCATGTTTCATCAGATGTTAGAATTCTTCCCCAAAAATCAGAGATTTGCCTTTTTGAAGCAGAGTAGAGCTAACGATAACACGAGTTGTTTTGTTGCCTTGAGTCAGTTCATGAGGAACCCATATTCCGCAGTGAATTGTTTTTTCTAACTGTTGTAAGTGGTTGTCGATTGTTTTTTGGTCCATCCCAAATGTGTCCGCTAACTCACAAGTGGTAACAGTTGGATTGAGTTCAATGGCATCAAGCAAATTCTCATCTGAAATCTCCTGGGGTCGTCCAGACCGTTCCTCGTCTTGGAGACTTTCATTTCCATCTTTGAACCGCTGAAACCATCTTTGGCATTGTCTTTCGCTAATGCTGTCTTCCCCCAAAATTTCAATGATTGTCCGATGCGATTCAGCCGCGGATTTCCCTTGTTTAAAATCATACCACAAAGTCGAAGCTTTTCGTCTTGCATTTTGTACCTGAAAATATTGTTAAATTTATAAAAGTTAAATATAATATGAAAGTATAGAATGCCTAGCTGATATCTATTTGAAAAAGTCGCATAAGCAAAGAGCTGGACAATTGCCAACAACAGGAATTGAAAAGCGACATTACTTTTTCCTCAACCTAATACTTAAAAACAGTTTTCCAGAAATAGATCTATCAGAAAATTATCTGTCTAAAATTATGTGACTAATCAACCATTGCTATTAGAAATTAGAACTAAACGAGAAGCCAATGAAGTTACTCGAGGAAAACTCATTGCAATGCATTGTTGTTTCTCATGTGACACACTGATCTATGCAAAAATTATGTGAAAATTTGTCTAGTTCGACTATAGACTGGTTTAAAAGTACAAAACTTTCGATGAAAACTAAGCAAATCCAGAATCAACTATTTGTATCTTTAAAATAAAGGTTTAAACGCAAAAAAACCACTTTCTAATGGCTTTTTTTCCTATACGGATCTCAAAAGGAAAGCACTTTATACCAGACCGGTTTGCCAGATGGCGAACGATTCCCCGGCCGCACAAAGAACACCACAGGGAAATCTTCTTTTGCTCTGAAAATGATGCCTATATGAGATTAAAGGCTAAAAATTTGTACCCAGAGGTTTTCAGAATCGATTGGCATTGCTTTTTATTGGAAGAAATGATTAAAATTGAGCAGAATTTAGTGTGACTTTTATATTTCTTTTTTTGAGTGCATTTCATCTAAATTTCAGAAGGAAAGTTTATTGTAAAAATTGATCACAAAGCTTTCATAGCATCATTGTGGGTTTTGATAATAAAAAGAGGGTCATTTCATGACAAAATCACAAAAAAAGAGCCTTTAAAAACTACAGAAATCAAAAGAAAGAATTTAGAAAAAAAAAATCGGTATGTACCTTCGTTAACTGGGTCTGAGAAATGTAAAGATCACAAGAAACTTTAAAAAATAATGCAAGCATTTGTCTTTTTAAATGGGTGAGCACTTAAAAGTTGAATAAATGAACCGAAATTTTTTTTGATGGGCACAATTGGATTAGTGAAAAAAATGACAAGGAAAAATGGCCCGATTGAATGAAAATTATCAGAAAGAAAAGCTTCAAAAGATACCAGTTTTTAAAAATATTTGAAAAAATAAACCCTGAAAATGAAAACATGCACTAGATCTGGTGAAAAAAAACATTGCGCAATTGGTTTTGCAATTTTTTTGGTATTTGAAAACAAAACTCGATGACATCATGGATGAAATGTGACTGGGAATTGCGAGAAAGTGGAGGGAAAAAAGAGCGATCAAGTAAACTGCCAAATAATAATCTTCTAAAACGTGGCAACTTTCGAAATCTATCTTCTTTTGGTCTGATTCTGTATGGGTTTTGCGAAGAATGCCAAAAATGGGGGTGGGACAAATGCGATCTTTTTTTGCGCACCTGAACATTTGCGCACCTTTTTTCGCTGGAAAGGGCCTTAGGCAAGGCCGTAGAGCTTCAAAAATGTTTTCATAGAAGGGAATCGTATGCGTAGATTCCGAATTTCGACAAATAACACTGACCCGTCAAATTTGGGCTAAAAGGCAAAACCTACGCAACTTAACGCTTTTCCGCAGTTTTTGCCTTTTGGCCCAAAGACGTGTCAGCGAGGTCTGATTTGTCGAAATTCGGAATCTACGCATACGATTCCCTTCTATGAAAACATTTTTGAAGCTCTACGGCCTTTCCTAAGGCCTTTTCCAGCGAAAAAAAGGTGCGCAAAGGTCCAGGTGCGCAAAAAAAGATCGCATTTGTCCCACCGCCGCAAAAATACAAAAATCTAAATAAATTGGGTAAGATTACGGTAGTTTACAAAAGTCGACACGTTTTAGAAAACGGATTAATCAAGAGGAGTTGAGAAATTAATTGACTGGGAATTTCATTCTTTAAAGGATACTGTAGTCACCGTACTGGGTCACACTAACTCAAGTTAGTGCCTCAAAGTTAGATCAAGTTAGTGTCAAATAAAAAGCACAGATAAGCCGATTGTAGAGTTTTCGTAATCCGGGTCCTATTCTGAAGCAAATCTCAACCTTTGATTATATAAAAATGGCAAAAAAAAACGAAATTAAAGTTGTTGTTGTAAACTGGTTGGAATTGTAAGCACAAAATATATGTTTTGTTTTGGGGCCTAATCAGGGACACTTATCAATAAGTGAGTAAAAGTGAAAACGTTTAGAAACGGGTTTTTTTTTAAACTCGAATAGGGTGAAGGCTTTAAGGAATCATATGGATTGACAGAATGAAAGAGAAATAAAATCAAAAATTCTGACTTAGGTATTAAAGGGGAATCTTTTCTATTCACCACAGATATTTCACAAAAATAAATATGTAAATTTGAGAGAGAAAAATGAGTAGAGAAAAGGCACAGAATCTTCAGGAGAAAAACCAGGATTTTTGGGAAAAGTTGAGCTACCGAAAAAAAGTGGAAATATTGCAAAAATTAATGCGTTTTGGCTGGAAATATTAAAGCAAAAGTGATGGCCTAAAACTTTTTTTGATACATAAAAACCCAAATAAATAAGGTAAGCTTGGAAAAACGTGATAGACTTGAACAAGAAAGTTCGGGGGGAAATAAAAACGACGTGCTTTCCTTTAGTCTTTCGATTTTGCACTAAAGAATTGTTTTCTAAAAGGTACGCTTTAGAGAAAGTTACCGTAACCCTGTTAAGCTAAGGCAAAATTACCGTAACCGATACGCGTAGTGATTTAAACAGAGACTAATTACTAGCAACGCGGGTAATTAGTCAAGTTTCAGCCCGAGTACAGTAGCTTTATCTAACTAAAAAGTAGGGTAATGAGTACGGTAGCTTTTCATTCTACACCTTTTAGAAAACGTTGTCCAATCATTGTGGAGGCGTCGATAGAGCAGCGAGACTCTTGAGCGCATCCAACGCCGCACAATCAGCCGCCTCCTCCGCCGTGGAGCCGATTCCTTTGTGAACCTAGAAAGAACATGATTGGGTAAAAAAAGACAAGCTAATTCCAACAATCCAATCACTTACCAAAGCTTTTTGATTCTCCAATCCCATCGTTGCCAGCGCTAGATTGTCTGAACCGGCCGAGGCGGGTAGGTGACAAAATTGGAGAGAGAATTTGAATTGCTCTGAGAGAGCCTCGAGACGACGACGAGCGGTTACACTTTGCATTGAGAAGACTGTAGAGGAATCGCCGTGTGGATCACCTAGGAAAGCTTTCTGAATGCAAAACTTGGTATGATTTTTTTACCTTTTGTCGGCAAGATTGCAGCCTTTGTTTCCTGATTGAACGCTGAAAGGAATTCCCGAGCTCTCAACGATAACTCTTCGATTTGCTCCGAAGTCAGAACTCGTTTATTCTTTCGATCTCTCCTAAAAGATTTTGAGTTTAAGAATCGTTTAAAGGTTAAAGTTTTTAGTAAACTGTACTTCGTAAGCTTTGCAACAACAGCCACATCATCAGTCTTCAGAGGGGCAATCTCGGGAGATGGATACGAGCTGTCATCTAAAAATTGAAATTTTGGAAATTCTGAAAAGCAGAAAATTTAATTTTTGAGTCAGATCTGATGAAAACGAAACCTGGCGGCGGACAAGCGCTGACTTGCGAGCTGAACGTGACTTTCCTCTTGCCACCATTCGGACTCGATCTCTCGTTTCCCTGTGTCGGACTCACTTCCGAGCTCTCATCCGATCCTTTCTCCGGCATTTCCACAGTAATCTCTGCATTCCATTCCTCTTGTTGGACCACTTCATTCGGATCAAATACACCGATCACCATCTCATCCCCCCGTTTCTTTAGCAAACTCTTTCCCGGAGCTGGCAGTGGCTTCACATACCCTATTTCAGATAGAATATTCTCAGCAGCCGCTCTTTTTGCCAATCTCTTGTTTGGGCCAGTTCCTTGGCAAGACAATCCATTCCACAGCACTTCTACAATAAACTCTTTGTATCGATTTTGACCTTGTTCACGGATTAGCTCGAATTTTGGATCAGGTGACCCTTGTGCTTGAGCAATTTGCATGAGTCTTGAAACGGGATTGATCTGATGTCCATACTCTGGATCCATCTTTTTATCTTTCACAATCGTTTTCCGTTTGCTTTCTTTGCTCATTGAGTTTTTGCGATCATTTTTGTAGATGGTTTGAGCAAGGAGAAGGGGTGATTTGTCTAAAAATGACAGATTTAAAAGTAAACTTCAAGGATTGATCCTATAGTTTTATTGTTTTGACGGACATTGAACAATTTAAACCAATTATAGAAGTATTTCACTTACCAATATCCTGTATTTGTTCCAAGATCATCCGACATGCTTCCTGTTTTGCCGTTTTTTTATTCTTTCCATGACCTTCAGCAGATATTGAGTGATTTGGACCATTCAGATGACAACGAACGATGTAATGCCGATTATGGGCTGGGCCATCTTCAGATAGATTCTGAAATTTAGCTAATAAAATATGTAATATTGTTAATAAAATTTATTAAAGTATGTTCTATTTAAAATATAATAGAAACGCATCCTTTCTGGCACATTACTTCCTGTTTCTGCAAAGCCAAGATGATCAATGCATTGGTGTGCCGGAAAGGAATCGTTTCCACTTTTGAGCACAATCTTTCTTCAATTCGTCAAGTATGATTCCCATTCTCACCTCAAATCTCACGTTCAACTTCAGCTGCAACGCGTACTCGTGCATTCTCGAGACGACACTTTTCGGTTTTTGACTTTTTCCCTCTTTTCTATGTTCGTGCTCGTTTTCACGTTCGTTTTCATCATCCGAGCTATTCGAATCCTGAAATGAGCTTATCAAATATTGAAATCATTAATCAACCTCGTTTTTTTCTTCAGTATCCTCTTCTTCTTCAACAATAAGTAATTTTTCGATCGGTTTCTCCTTCACCTCTTGATCAAGCTTTGCCAATAACGGACCGAGATGGGTTAAAGCCTAAAAAGCGGTGTTTTATTTTGATAAATTCTTTACCTGTGAAGCACAGTTTTCCTTGGCTTGGGTGAAAGAAGGGGCGGTGGTTCGGAAGAGTGGATGTTCAGGTCCAATCGAAAGGGTTACATGTACAGGGCGGGCCGGTCCATGTGGAACGAATAATGGTTGAGGGATTGGTCTGAAATTGAAGATCATCCAAATTAGTCAGATCTGCTATCTGTTTATCTGTTTCAGACACAGTTCCTTGGTATCAAAGATGAGTTTTCTTCAGAGGAATTGCTAGCTTTATTTAGCCTTTTAACATGATTCAGTTGCAAGCTGGCTGTTCAAAGCCAACCTTGGTAGAAAAGCTCCAGGTTGTGGAATGGGTGGTGGAATGGGAAGTCCGTTTGGTGGAGGGATGAATGGATGAACACATGGAGGATACTCGTACGGTGGACTCATCGGAGAGAGAATCATGCTAAAGCTTTTGCATCATTTCAAAAAGAACGATTGTTGAGTTAAAATTTAAAACCTTAAGTTCCAATCACTTACTGTGGTGAAGGAATTGGCATTGGTCCATTTCCAGAGATGATAAAAGGTTTAGCAGAGAAAAGAGGTCGAGGAGGACCAGGGTAATGGGGATTTCCGTTGCTTGATGCCGGCATCAAAGGAATCTAAAGACAAAGTTCATATTTTGAAGATTTTTTTGAAACTTACCCTTGGTCCAGATGGTGGAAATATTGGTATCATTTGTTTCTTGTAATCGGGTTCAGGGAGCCCCAATCGTTGAATGGCATGCCGGAGGAGGACTGATGGTGACGAGGCGGCTGCTGAAATAAGTGAATAGCTGCATATAGCAGATCAATTCTTTATTACTAGTAAAATATTCAATTTTAAACATCCTAAATAATTTTTGGAAACGATGAGGAATTCAAATTCCAGATTTTAGATCAAAAACCAGCTCTGAAACGGGCTAAAACTGGTTAAAACTGTTCAGATGAATTAAAAAAAGTTAAAAATCATTGCATGACTTCTAGAATTGTAATTATTGTTTCATTTTAGTTATATTCAATTTGCATACGTTTCTTTTTATTCTCTCGTTTCATCGGCGGCATTGTGCGATTCGTTTCCTTTAGCGCCACTGCTGCGGCGGCTTGTTGCGCCTTCTTAATTGATCCGCCAGTGCCCTCGAATTTCTGAAATCAGAAATATTAAATGAAAGGTCAATTGTAAATCAATACTCTAACTTCATCAGTTTGTAAACTTGACAATATCATTCCTAAAGAACCTCATCTTGCGAGAAGACCAACTGAACGGTGAACATTTTCTTGTGAGCCGGCCCGCTCTCGTCCATCAATTTGTACTCGTGTTTTATCTGCAAAAATAGAAATTGTGAATTTTAGAGTTTAAAGACCTTATTAAAAATGAAAATTATCAACCTTATTAAATCGGCACAGCTCTGCAATCTGGCACATCGGCGTTTTCTCCTTGTCCTGCCACGAGCCATAGTGGTATTCCTAAAGATTTTGAGCTGACTATGAGACTAAAAGTAATAAGAAAAACTAATTAGATAGTTTATAAATCTAAGTTTCTTTCAGTTGTTGTTAGTTTACCTTATTATCCGGATCGCGGTCCAAGCTCGTTGACCCGTTCGCTGCTCCACACCACGGTCGAGGATGATTCTAAAAGTTTTCATTTAAGGTCAGCTACATGATTTCAATTTTGATAAGCTAAGAATTTAGTTTCTGTACTTTACTGATAAAAACTCTAGTAATAATAAATAAACCGTAGCATAAAAGGAGTTGGGTAATTTAACAAAGCTGGGTAATTTAACAAAGCTGGATAATTTAACAAAGCTGGGTAATTTAACAAAGCTGGATAATTTAACAAAGCTGGCTTATTTGGCTAACCCGAAAGAACAAATTCTTGATTTGATTTATTGAATGAATATTTTGATTCTTGTTTAGAAATCAGGAGCCAGCTCAACTAAAAAAACCTAATATCAAACAACTTGATGATCTACCAACAACACTTATAGTAAATATCTTTTAAATCACTTACATTCTCGATTTTCTTCTTGATCTTTGTGCCATCTTTCGACATTTTGTTGTTATTTTGTGCTGGTGTGACGCTGAGATCCGTTGAGAATGAAACCATTTTGGAGAAGAGTTGATATTAGGCACTTTTATACATCGTATGGATTTGTGAAGACCCGATTTCTAAAAGAAATTAGCATAAAGAGATAAGAAAAACATAAAATCAAGAACTAGTAGAACCAGTGAGTTCAATGTCATCAAAAACCTTATCTTTCGAAAAACAATGCTAGATAAGAATGGTTAATTTAGAAATTAAAAAATTATTAGTTAGAAGTTAAAGATAAACATGAATGGCTGAATGATTTCTAAAAATAGGTTACCAGACTTGTTATGTCAGGCTATGGCTATATGTTGAGGATGGGGGGAAAAGGGGGGCACATCGCCGCCTTGCTCGAGGTGTCTTTTAGAATGCAATCATTGTCATAACACTGCTGAGCTATCAAAGCTAACAAACAAGTTTATTGTTTTTTAATTTAACGGTTCTTTAACAATTTAACAATTTTGCATACAGTTCTTTAACAAAAACTGTATACAAATTCTTGTTTAACTTTTGTTTAAAAGTTGGCTACTTGCCAAATAAACTTGCTCAATGGCAAATTTGGGGGTAGGTTAATTTCAACAACTTTTTTTGCGCAACAGGGTCATTTGCGCAACTGAGTCGTTTGCGCAACTTGGTCATTTGCGCAACTCGCCATAACTTTCTTCTAAATGGGTCAATCTTTATGATTTTGGTTTCATTTTGTAGATCTCAATAAGTGCAACAAAATCACACCAAAATCAGAAAGATTGACCCACTTAGAAGAAAGTTATGGCGAGTTGTGCAAACGACCCAGTTGCGCAAAAAAAAAATTGCGGAAATTAGCCTACGCCATGTTTTACAATAAAATAATGAGTAAAACAAAAAAAAGTTCTTCCTAACTTTCTTCTAAGTGGGCCAATCTTTATGATTTTGGTGTGATTTTGTTGCACTTATTGAGATCTACAAAATGAAACCAAATGGTGAGTTGCGCAAACGACCCAGTTGCGCAAATGACCCAGTTGCGCAAAAAAAATTGCGGAAATTAGCCTACCCCATCTTTTACAATAAAATAATGAGTAAAACAAAAAAAAGTTCTTCCTAACTTTCTTCTAAGTGGGCTAATATTTATGATTTTGGTATCTATCGCTATTCAAAAGCAAACTTCAATTTCTTCAGAGTTGACAGTTTGATATTCAAAAAATTAGATTAAGATTGCTATTCTTGAGATGTAAGATTCAACAGTTTAACTCTGAAACATTGAACAACTTCTTTACAGTACAGATAAATACAATTTATTTACAAAGAGTGAATTTAAAGGAAATTCAAAGAAAATCTGGACCACTTTTCAATCCTTTCTTTTTCTGTGATCGAAGGAAAAGAAACATGATGATTGGAAGGATGATGAGAAGAAAACCAACAAGGCCGATCACTGTCCAGAACCACCATTCTAGAACAAAAGTTTTTGAAAGATTTACATTGTTGCTGTAAATTGTACAATAATGTTTTTACAGTTATTGAAAGATACACTACTGGACAATGAAATATCATATTCGAAAAAAGATCGTCACTTTCGCGCGTCTGTAACTCCATTGTCCTTACCGTATTTCTAAATATTAATATTACCATTGTGTAGCCCTTGAAAAGAGCTTTCAGAAAATGTATAACACTAATAGTTTAAACTCAAAGACCAGGGAGTTACAGACGCGCGAAAGTGACGATCTTTTTTCAAATATGATATTTCATTGTCCAGTACTGTACATAATCTTTTGACTTACCATTGTAAACCTCTTCAATCTCACAATATCTTCCCTTGAACGGCGCATGACATCGACAAGATGGTTGACTGTGTGACGTGCCCCAACAAGAGCCCCGATTTAGACAATGATGCGCACAACGAGACAATTCTACTGTCCACCACATCCTGAAAAGTTCTTGATTGAGAAAGTTCACATGGTAAAAGCTATTCAATCTTACAATTTAGGTATACTTCTGCACAGTTTAAGCTTGAGTATTGAACTGAACAAAAGCTTGAACTAATAGCTGAATAAAAGCTGATCTAATAGCTGAATAAAAGCTGAATTAAAACCGTAGCTAGACAAGGATACTGTAAACGTTTCCAAAAGAGTACAGTAGCTAGTAGAAGTATAGAATTGTTATAGTTTAATGCTCAACTTTTAAAACTATAGTAGCCAAAGCAATGATTACAGTAACCTTGATTCCAGTAAGCCTAATCACTGCTTAAGAGATGAAATCAATGAAGTTAAATATCGAATTTCAAAAGCAAATCCCTTGATAACAAATAAGAATCTAAGAAATCAGGCAAAACGAAAACGATCAAATGTTTTACAATGCTCTCCCCTTTTTCCTCATTTTATATCTTATTTCGATCAACAGCTGCACTCAGTTGATCAAAGAAATAAATCAAGAGTTGTTTTTTTCGAGAATTCGACAAAATTAATTGAAAGCGAGAAAAATGGTGACCGGAAAGGGAAAGTTTTAAGGGAGATATCGCTAGTTGTTGAGATGCTAGACCAGTGTCACATGCGATCAAAGTTTAGCTTATAACTTAAAAGAATTACTACCATGTTAGATTATAAAATAGCTTTAGAGTTATGTTTTCTTGTTTTCTTTAAAAAACAAGACATTCAACCATCTCATAGCTGTTAGTTTCACAGAGCTTTGAGTTTATCTACCTCATTTCATTTTAAACTTATAATCTGGCTACAACACTCAATCCATATGCATTTTTTTGACATAAAGTCTTATACAAAATTTGAAATATGTTAGAATTTAACAGTTAGAAAAGGTAAAGAGCAAATTTGGTCAACTTACCGACTAAAATCAAGTTGAGACCGAACGGGAATTCGATCCATTTGCAAGAGAGAATGATTTTTCTTTTCTCTGTTTGACGTTATTGCACCTGTGCACCCGAAAAGTGAGCTTTTTTTCTTCAAAAGTTGATGAACACATGTTTCTTTTTGATCTTTTTTTGGAAACTTTATTCGAGCTGAAACTTTAAAGCTGAAAAAAGTTATTCCTATGATCAAAACAGGAAGACAGTCATAATTATCAATTTTTAGTCGATCATTAAATGTTCATTAAAGCATGCTCATTAAAGATGTTCATTAAAGCTCGATTGTCAAACAGTAGTCAGCCATACTTGATGGATTTGTTGGTAGTAATCTACCAAAGCCAATAAAACCAACTAAAATCGATGCTTATTTGCAAGCCCATTCTAAATTAGATAGTTATTGATCAATTGCTCAAAAAAACAGAAACCCATAATTTCTGGAGCACTGAACACACATACCGTATTTTCTGTAATAGTAGTAATATTTTTTTCAACCCCCCTCCTGCCTGCATTACTATTACAGACTGCACTACTATTATAGACTGCACTACTATTACAGAAAATACGGTAGTTTCCGCGTTTTTCTTCAGGAACGCAGGAAATTCTTTGTTTTTCTCTTTTTGAGCTCAAAGTACACAATGAAGACTCAATCTAACAGCTACTTCAAGTTTCCAGTCATAATTATCAATTTTTAGTCGATCTATTATGTTCAGCATTATGTCAAACAGCAGTCAGCCATCTTTCATTTTCTTCGCTCTTCCCTAAAACCCACCCCTTTTTGTAGTTTATCGTCTCTTCCATTTCTTGTTGTCCATCCAAAATAACTTTAATTACTCTTTGATTGTCGTTTTCTTTCATAAAACATATCGAAAATTCTCAAATTCGAGGACTTTACATCATCAGATGCGAGAAGAAGATCAAGAAGAGGAGACAGAAGAGACGAGTATTGAAGAGGAAGAACAAGAAGAACAACAAGAACAACAAGAAGAAGAACAAGAGGAAGAGAAGTATGGTTTGACTTTGACTTTTAGATCTAGATTTAAATGATTGCTTTGTAATTTTGATTACTTTAACTAAACTAATTTCTAATTTCTAGATCAATCAACGAGTTTGCTGAAGAAATCGTTGAGAATTGTATCGAAGAGGCGCTGGACGAGGCGATCACTTCTTTAGAGATACAAGGTGAGAAAGTTTCATTCCAACTCTAGAAATTCGAGTTTAACTTCTTGGATTCTTTAAACTATAATATCAAATCAATTAGCTAAAGCTATGTATTGATTTGGTATGTTTTAAGCATTGACTAAGAGAATTAGATCAGATTGAGTAAACATAGTCGAAACAACAACAACAACAAGTCGTAAACTAAAATTCGAGTGTTCACGATTTTACTCATAATTTCTTTGTCTTTTTTTCATAGAATTCATAAGCTTTATTTAACGCATGAAAGGTATAAAATTTCTTTTGCGCAAAGTCTACTAAATTCCCTCCATTTCCTTTCAAGAAACTTTTGTTTGAGTTTAGAAATCCTTCTAAATCAACTTTACAATATAGAATTTCTCAATTAGAATTACTAAAGTATTACAAGTATTTAAATTAATTTATATTTATATACAAAGCAATCAAATCTATAAAATCTTTATCTATTTGTTTATTTGTTCAAAAAGTTTCCTTTTCTCTATACAGAAGCCTTTGCCTCTTTTTGAAGTTTATTCAATTCCTCTCATTTTCCTTTTCCCAAAAAGTGGCCACGTCAGTTAATCGATAGATTGCATTCTGAAGAGATTTTTGAGAAAAAAGGAGAATTTTTAAAGCACGAAAAAGGGCGGAGACTGAAAAAGGAAAGAGAGGGAGGATTTCAGACAATAAAGCTAGTAGCTAGTACAATAATCAATCCCATTTTAAAACTAATTCTTTAAAGTACTATTTATAAATATTTTTCTTAACTTTTCAACGTCACTTTCTTACCTTAGCATAGAAATTTATCAATTAACTGTAGCTTTTGAAGCTTTTGAAAGCTTTTGCTTTTGAAATGTAGCTTTTGAAAAGCTGAACAGAATAGAAAAGCAATCAGACTAGCTGAAACAAAATTACTATCTAGAATTTACTAGTTAGAATCTAAAGTATAATTCTTTAGTAATCTTAAGTCAATAATTCATTTGTATACTTATATTTTTAGATTATTGGCTAAACGAAGAGAAAAGTGAAGAGGAAGAGTCAAATTCACCACCAAAAACGGGTATCTTCCGAAAAGAGATGATATGGAGGATATTTATTGCACTCATCGTTGTCTATCCATCAATATTTTACGTTTGGAGGTGAGTTTACCATTTTAATGCCAATTAAATGACATTAGTTATTAGAGTTGACTTGAAACTCAACTAGACTTCTAGAATTCATAGACTTGAGCTTGAGCTCAGTGTTTTCATTTCATTTTCATTCACCCAGACTTAACCAAGTCAGCTTGAGCCTTTGTGTGTTTTCATTTGCAAAGTCCATTCACAATCTACTAAACTACAAGTAGAAATTAGAATTTAAACCTTAAATTCAGCGGTGGGACAACAAAAACTCGGCAGCCATACCCTCCACGCCCATTTTTCTCAAACTTCAGTCGACAATATGTTGCCGATTTCCATAGTGGAGATGCCACAGCTGAGAGATTATCAAGGTAAACATCTAATATTGTCAAAAATTGTAGAGCAAAAGATTTAGCCATAACAAGATCACAATTGTAATGTATTATGCTCCATGGGATCGTTTCTCGGCAGCAATGAGAAGGCCGTTTGAATTCGTCGCAAGGGAGTTCGTCAATGAGCCACAGGTATCAAAGACTTGTTCCCGGTTTAATTACCCAACTAAAGGTCCGCTTTGTGGCGATAAACTGCTTCGCACTGGCGGGTGAATGCAGGAGAACGTATCGATTGTTCTCTTATCCGATAATTATGGCTCATGCAGGAGCTTCAGCTATCTCAGTGTATCAAGGAGAGTACTCAGCTGATCATTTCTACAGGTATCGTTTAAATTTATTAGATAAACAATTTCTAGTTTAGATGGGTTGAAGATTTACTTTATCCATTCGATTTCTTGATCGATTCTCAAGATATTGAACAGTTCGTTGAGAAAAATCTCTTTTCAATCATTGGTTATTTTCCTCAAGTGAGTTGGAATTGTTGAAAAATTGAAAAATTAGAGCTACAGGGTGCGTCATAATTATTGCAACAAGAGTTCAAAGACCGTTTTCCAAACGCTTCTTTTTGCCCCTTTTTTGTTGTGTTGCGTTCGATCTTCTTTATTCTTGCCTAATTGCCTCCCGCTCACACGAAGAAGACGGTTCAGGACTGGTATGTGGCCAACTTTCCCTCAGTGATCACCAAGGATGAATGGCCTCCAAACTCACCGGATCTCAATGTGATGGACTTTTCCATTTGGGCAATCTTAGAGGCTAATGTCTGCTCTTTGACCTTGAAGAAGTGTTTGACCAAAGGATGGAAGGCGACTCCTCTGCTTGATGACGACTCCAAGATGACATTCGGGCCGCAGTGGAGGCATATCCGAACCGATTAAGGGCTGTTATCAAGGCAAAAGGCGGTCATATCGAATGATCTCTTGTTTCCTTATTTGTTACTGTTAAATAAAGCTATTTCTGTTTAAAAATCTTCATCCAGTGAAACTTCCAATGCCTTGAGTATCTTGTTGCAATAATTATGACGCACCCTGTAGAATCATTGCTAACATCATCAATCTAAACCAAAGATACAAATTTTAAACTTCAATTGAAAATTGACGGTATTTGAATCATTCTTTAAAGCTATAAATCTAGAAAATTCACATTTTCTTATTATATTTTCATTTGTAGAATGGAAAATTCCCAACAAGCGATCTTCGAAGGTATCTTGCTTGTGCTTTTCAGTCAAATACTGGGCAAAGAAGTTTGTTTTTTTTTGAGAAACAGAAAAAAAGCAATCAGTTTCATCTTTAGACCGTCAAGATGCTCGTTTTGGGGTGATCACTAATCAAAAGTTGGCTCAAAGTCTCGATCTCTCTGAAGGATTACCAATTGTGATGAAGGTGAAGAGTTAAAACCATATATTTAATCTAGAATCTTGAATGAATCAATTTCGTTCTTAATTTCAAATCTATTAAATATTGTTTAGATTAGAGAGGCTGCAATAATGTTCCATGATGAGATAACATCGGAAAGAATCGAGGAATGGTTGAGAGAAAACGCGAAACATGACTCTGCACTGCACTGGCTAACGATTAGTGAGTGTTAAAAGTGATTGATCACAGATCAATTCTGTAATATTCTTCAGATAAGCACAATGATTTGAGCAGCACTTATTTGGACAATTTACTCACCAAATTCCCAACGATTTTGTTGTTCGATCAGCAAAAACCTTTAGCCGAAAATGAACTTCTCAAAACGTTTTCTGAGGTAAGTAAAAAGAATTTTCAAGTACCGTATTTCTTCGAATAGAAGACCGGGTAAAGAGTATGATCGCGTACTCCTGCGTAACAGCCCTTTTTAAAATTTCTTTTCTGCATAAAAGCTTTCAATGAAGTGCTATAGGGCTGGAAAATGACTCAAAAATACCACATGAGCTAACAGATTTTTGAGCCATTTTCCAGCTCTATAGCACTTGATTGAAAGCTTTTATGCAGAGTTAAATTTTGAATCTTCAATCAATCTCTTTTAAATCATAGCTTCTAGATTTCAGACTTTTTACAGATCGCTGAAGAATATTGGGATTGCAATCAAAACACGAGAGTACCCATTGTTCAAGAAATTGAGCCAATCGATTGTCAACATTCATTAACATCAAAATTGGTATTTTATTGTCTAAAGTTGAAGTTTAAAAGTTGAAAATTTAGACAAAAGATTGCTGTGAAATGAGTTGGAATGAGATTCAGATGAAAGCTCTCTGTAACGGGCTTCGAACTTGCTCTTCTACGAATTCTCCTGAAAAATGTTCTGAGAAGTTGACAGTGAGTTGTGAAAAGGGTATTTGTGAATCTTTTGTACGCACATTTAAGCTAGGAACTAGGATTTAAAAGATTTTTTTGAAAATTTGCATATAAACTGTTTGAAATTAATTTTCTAAAAAACGTTCGGAAATACCTCTAACCTTTAGTAGCTTATGTTCCCCCAGCTGTAAGAATGTGACCCGGGAATGGCGCATCACGTGTTTTCCCAGAGCGATAGGCCAATAAAAAAAAACACGGTGTAACGCAGGTCACTTCCGAACCGCGCATCACGAGCTAGCACAGGCGTCACTCAATTTAAAAGCCATTTGAAACCATTTAGCAGATTTCAAATGCATATTTGCACATATTATATATGCAAATTTTCAAAACAAATGATATTTAGGTAATATGCATACAACAGATTTACAAGTACCGTGAAAAGTTAAGAAGTTAAAGGTTTCAAAAAGATCATTAACTTTGTTGTGAAACCATTCAAAAATCTCGTTTAGATGTGGTCAAAACCGTCAGTTGAGACTTGTCCAATCATTGCTGACGTGGAAACAGGTTTGTTCTAATTGTAAGTGTTAAATTCTACTAATAAATTTCAGTTGAGATTTTGAAGATTTGTTGTGAGGAGAGATTTGTAAAAGAAGAGGATCCAAGATTGCCTGAAGCACTTTGGGAAGAGAGAAAGAAACGACGGGAAATTGCTTCGGCTATGGTTTGCTCAAGGAAGAGAACACATAGGAAATCGAAGTATAAGATGTGAGTGGCAGTAAGACTTAATCTTTAACACATTAACGACAATCCGACTCACAAGTGAACGAATATTTTTGGGTGTTAACTCAACTTTTTAAGGACTTTTATTATTGATTTTGCAGAAAGTTCTCAATCAATAATGATGGTAAATATATTTTGGATTAAACTGTGTTGTTTCTGTTTTTAAGATAAATTTTGTCAACGACTAAAACACTTGTTTATATCCGAACAACCTAATAATTTTCAAGAGGAGATTCAGGGCTATCGAATGACTATAATAGTTTAGTTTATCTTTGAATCTTCACCAAATTATCAGTAAAATAGTTAACGACTACGCGACTACAAAATACTAGCGTCGTGAATGTGTTAAAATGATTTTAGAAGCTAAAATACACTCATCAACTTTTAAAGTGAACGAATTTCTTAAGATCTAGCATAACTTTGACAATGTTCTTCTTCTCTGTACTTTATTTTCTTGCAAACACGAGCTCTCTAATGCTCGAGCAATTAATTTGAACTCGTTTTATTCAGGAAAATCTCTTCTTCATCAACCGATCCTTTGGAAAATCTCTCAGTGAAGTCATTCGCCTGTTCCTACAAGAATAACACTCTCCAATTCGGCTTCATTGACTCAAAGCATTACTCATTTTTTGCACAAAAATGGGGACTAAAAAGTGAGTTGTTTATAAAAAGAATAAAGAAGTGAAAGAATTGGCAAGTAAAAGTAGATTTCCGAAGAGCTTACCGTATTTTAATTGAGTAAATCGAATCGCTTCAGCTTTTCTTCCAACTCTTATGGCTATCGATTCTCAACAAGAGCTTTTCGCTGTGTTAGAAGGAGTGAACAAGTGTGTAATATTAGAATTTTTTTTTAAATTTGAATGATAGATTAGTAATTCTAGTTAGCATCAAGATTTTAGAACAAATATTCGTCGTTTCATCATCGATTTTCACGATAAAGTTCTCGATGATTACTATTTGACTGAAGAGCGGCGGAAGAGTGCATTTTCGCATGAAGTAAACATTTTTAAAATGTTAATAGACTTATTAAGTGTAATTTTATGAAATAAATGTAAATTTTTAGGCCCCAAAGCTTGAAGAAACGATTCCCGGCCGATCAGTGCTCATCGAGCGGCTCACCGAGTTGACGTTCAGAGGAGCTGTTGAGGTGAATTTCTGAATGAAACTTGTAATTTAAGGCGAACGCAACTATTTAAAACTATTTAGAACTATTTAGAACAACTCTTTTAGTACAAAACTCTTTTAGAACAAAACAAAAATCGATACGATCGTCTATTTTTCGGGTGGCAGCTGGCACGGAGCGTCGATGGTCAATCTTCACATTTTCCACTCAATCTCGAGAATTTTTCTCCCAGCTGCCCAGGGACTTGTTCGATTTTATATGTGAGTTTTGTTTTTTGAAATCTTATAACCATGCCAAAGCTTTCAGGATTGACACCTCAAGAAATGAGCTTCCATACAACTACAACTTTGAGACCTATCCGGCGATTGTTGTTTTCAATGGGCATAGGTTGTTCAAGAATTTTGATAGACACGTTTCCAAGATGTACTTTAAACTTAAACATTAAACACACTTCCTGGCAGACTAGTTACTTTGAGTGTACCAGATCGGATGCGATTCTAGTTTCTTGCATAGAGTCAAGTTAAAGACAAGTCTTATGGTCTTGCTATCCAAATGACAAGTCTTCTTATACAAATTCAACTCCGATATTTCAGCGATGATCTCTCATGGAAATTCCCAGAAGATGCCCCAATTACCGTGCCGAATCTCTTCTCTTTCATTCTATCAAGATGTAGTCATCAACTAAGGCTGAAAATAGCTTTTGAGGTTCGGGATTTTGAATACTGTTTCACCAACGGCTAGAGTCTAGCTAATGTTGTTGCTAGATGTTGCTGCTAGGCTAATGTTGTTAACTGCTAGATTGCTATTGCTAGACTCGTTCCCAGCAATCCTTTTGTTAACAAATATCACTTGCAGCTTCTGGATCGCGTCTCCACTCCTCGTGCTCTTCGTCGCCTCAATCGACACATTCATTGGTTAAAGACGAGAATTCGTTCTTTAAGAGAATCGCAAAGACAACTCAAACAGCTACATCATGATCCATTGCACGCTCATCACAATGAAGTAGTGCTGAAGAAGTGAGTATAGTGATTGTATGACATTTGATATGCGCCCGCCCCCTTTGCCATTGACAATCCAACTTTGGGCTCAAATATCTTGGTGTTGGGCTGTTCAATTTAAATAGTTTTTGTACCAATCGAAAGAGAAAGACTTGGCGCATTCAATGATACCAAGAATATATAAATTGAACAGCCAAACACCAAGATATTTGAGCTCAAAGTTAGATTGCCAATGGCAAAAGAGGTGGGACGCGTATCAAATACCCGATCAACGAGTATAGTAAAGCACCAAAATCAAGATTTAGCTTAAATGTTTACTTAAACATCAGTATAAGCCTTGAGCTGTCTAGAAACAGGTCTACAAATCGATTTCAGACACGTGATCCAACTACGAGCTGCTCGTTCAATGATCTCAGCGATTCAAGCAGAGAGGCTCACCTCGAATTCGAGTCTCTTTCAAATCGAGAGTCTTCGAGCATCCGATTTGTTGACTTCAATCAAAATGTTGCCTAGTTTAGATTAGATTCTTAATCTCTTCAAACCAAGAACTACGGTTTTTCGAGGGGGAAACGATCCAAATATATTTTTGAGAATTTTTAAGCTCAAAGTTTGCAAAAATCTGTGAAATGAACACTTATTTTGACTCAAACCAATCATGCTTATTTTTTTCTGAGATTTTTCTCATTTTGATTCCATTTGTGATGCTTCCCATTGTTACAACTCCAAAGCGGGTTTTTTTTTCACTTTACTATTTCTTTTGTATCGATTTCCCCGAAATTCACTTTTTTCACACTTTCTTGCCATATTACGGGTTTATAGATCAGGGTTCGGAAGGAAATTTTTGATAAGAGTATAATAAAATTTATTGTTTTTGAAAAGAAAAGGATTTACGGCGATGCCATGCAATAAGTGCCATCATTGTCAAAAATTTGTTGTTGAATATTTCGGGCGATTGTGGTCATCAAGCTGTTTTGGTTATCGGTGGAGAACGAGCACGATGTGCCGCCGGTGATTTGCTGAAAGTGATGGAGATAAATTTAAGCTTAATAAAATGCAGAAGAACGCCAATTTTCTTACGTCAACTTTTGTTTTAATACATTTTACTGTAGCTGACCAAAATTAGATATAAATCTAGAGTAAGAGAGTAATCTAGAGTAATTAGCTCGAGTAAGAAAACTGGTCAGCCTAGTCAGTCAGCCTAGCCAAGTCTAGTCAATAGCACCCCGATTTGTGTTTTCCCACAAGAAACTAATGTTTTCAGGCCATTTTTTAATTTTCTAACAATGTAAGCTTGACTTGATCTTAAATACAATAACCTTTTTTGCTTCGAGCTGTACTCAAATAACGCAAACTCACTCTTTCTGGTACATTTTTTCTAGCGGGAACCTAGGGGTGAGTGCGCCAGAAAGTGTGTGTTTACGCTTTTGATCTAAAGGTACTAGAAAACTGCTAGCTGAAGACTTGATCAACTAGTACAGCTCACCGCAAGCGTCGCTCTGTCCATAACTCCAGTTCCATAAGCGATTCCAGCAATCGAGTAGTACTTGCCAGACTTCAAGAAGTTCGCATTAGTGATGGCGACATTCAAGTCGGTAATGCTAAACAATTTCTCTAAATGATCACTGTTTTTCTTCTACCTGGCCGCCGATGTCAAATAGATGATCCAATGGTTGTTGATCTGTGTTCGATAACCATTCCCCAGTGTCATATACTCTTGACGGACAACATCAAGAGCTCTAAACACAGAATTTCTTTGCTAAAAATTGGGAACCCACGCTCCAGCATATTGGCCTTGATCATCGAAATCGGTGTAGTAGTTCTTGATGTCGTCAAGAGTTTTGAAGAGTGCAGCCTGAAAGTTATTGATTGTTTTGAATTTAGTTCACTTTCAATATCTTATTCTGAACTGCTTTTTACCTTACTTAGCTCATAGATATCAGCTAATCTCACCGTATTATCAATTGCTCCAAGTTGATTAACGGGGAACGTTGCAAAGTCATCTCCGGGAACGGTCACAATTCCAATCCTCGTTCTCGCTTGGCTCACCGTGAACGCCGTGAAGAACGTTTTCACGAATTGGATGTACTGGAAATTAAGACTTTTCCTTGCATTGGGTATCGGCTTATTCCAAAATTAATAATATTAGAACATTTTTGGAAACAATTCTTTTTATATAACAGTTAAATACTCACATCATCGAAATACGGCTGAGCGGTGGATGAGGTGTCAAGGAGGAGAACGATGTCCACCTGGAAATCGAACTTTAAACCTTAACAAAGAAATTTATAGTAGTTAACTAATATCTTAGCTTATTGTTAATACTATTGGGTTGAGGAGAATGAACTGACGCGAACTTTAAAGACACTTTTTGCACACATAAGGCCTTCTTTAAATACACATTTTGTTTCATCAAAAGGGTCCACTTCTCTACAAAATGAGATTCCACAAATCTTTTCTTTCGTGGAGTTTATGAACTCCCAAACATGGCTGGTCAAAATGGCAAAGTCCGACTCATCATTTGAGCAGTTTCTTCCGCAGAAACCTCCTTTGGTGTCTACATAAAACAGATAGAGCACACTCAATTACATAAGTTCCCAAATTTTCAGGAAAATCCCTCCAACCGTCTTCTCTAGATCACAGTTTATAGACTTTTTTAGCTGAGACGATTTTTGAGTTCTCGTTTAAATGTTATTTTGTAGAGAATTAGTTAACCTTTCTATTGATATCAAATGCGTATCATTTGACAAATTCTGCTAGAAGTTTTAGAAATTTCTTTCATTTTCGGCACTATTTCATTATCACCAACCAAATATTCTTCAGTTACCTCAGAAAATTTTCGTTATGAAATTTTAAATTTTGAGTCAACCCCCGAAGCACAACTTGATTTCAAACTCACATTTCTTCCCGCCAATGAGTCCGATGTTGTTGTGGGCATGGCAGTGGTTGATGGCTAAAATATATATCATACGCTCGATTTTGAAATAAAACAAATTTGCATAAAATAACGTACAAGAGGTGATCCGGTGTAAGGCGTTGTGGTGGTCGTTGTGGTGGTGGTCGTTGTGGTGGTCGTTGTTGTGGTCGTTGTTGTGGGGCCAGTTGGGATCGATCCAGTCGGGGTAACAGCTGAAATCAAGGATAAGTTTAGCTTGGATAAGTACTAGATAACTAACAAAAATCAAGAAGTCTTATTTTATCTCTAGCTGAGCCTTATTTCCTTTACCTGGCAAGCACCAAGCGGCGATTTGTCTCACGAACGTCATGCCCAACTCATCGTAGCCGTGAATTGTCATGTAGAAGCCTTCGTAAGCCTAAAATATAAGAAATAAAGGTAAAAGAAACGATTTTAAGTATAAAATTGAATTGTTTATTGTTAGAAAAGGAAATACCGTGCAGTTGAATGGATCCGAGTAGTACTCGAAGTGGCAATTGGCGCGAGGATACAGCTCTCCGTAAACAGACTAAACGAAGCTTTGAAGACATGACATGAAACGAGCCTAATAGCTTACCGTTAAAGTGTTTGGATCCCACATGACCATATAGGTGAGTACTCCAGCCAATCTTCGCGGATCTTGATTTCCGTTGAAAACGTGGAAGACGGCAATGTTTGGAACACCTGAAAGTATTCAAGTATAAAGTTCGATACTTTAAAACCTCCAAAAACTAAAACTGTTTCCAGATTTCGAATCTTATTATTATCAACTTTACCAGCAGTCGCAAAAAGATTTGTGTCATCAGTGTGTGATCCGGTAGGATCAGCAGCGCTTGTCAATGCGAAACCATTCCACGCTTGCACTCCACCAGTCGCTTGGATGTTCACATAGCATGGACCGGGTCCAACAGCCTGGAAACTCTCATTTTATTTCTCTCAGATTTCAAGCATTTACTCTGAAGAGATAGATTCCGGCTTCATTCTTTTCAAGGTGATAGTATTTCTGGCTGGCGTAACTGTAGAGAACATCGGCCGAGATTTGGCCTAAATCCGAAGGATTTCTTGAATTCTTTCAATGACTCTAGGATGTATTTTGTGTCCAAAATAGAAACGCATGCCTTCTTGCATTCAAAGCTTACTAAAATAGACAAATAGGAGAGTTCAGTCTGCCAGAGTTGCTGTTTTCATTTTGAACACAAGTACAGGATAAATGCATTTCCAAACACAAACTTCCACGTGGATCCATCACCACAATCGAAGCGACATCATTGGAGACAGTAATATAGATATCAGTGGAATTGTTGTCAACTTGGATCCACCTAAAACATCAACTCATACTTACAATATCTGCAACAAACCAATCCTCAGGAGTTTCACAAGTGAAATTATTGAAATAGGTTGGATGAGCAAGAGTATTTGTCAATCCACCGATTGTCGGCAGATAGGCGGTAATAGCCTGAAAGCTGTGTTCACTAAACAATAGCCAACCATTTACCTTCTGAATTTGATCCGAATTCGTGAAGAAATTATTTCCATCTGTCGCATAGGCGAATCGTTGGAAGTGGAGAGCGTCATCGGTGTTCGGAATCTCAGCATTATTCAAGCAACCGGACGAGTTCGAGTAGAAGTTGTGGATCTGAATTTAGCGATAAAACTGTAAGTATACGGTAGTACACTTGGCTACTAGGCCTTAAGATCCTAAGTCTTGCTGTCTAAAGCCGTAGGGAACTTTGATTCAAGCTGACCTTTTATGGCCTTGGCCCACCCATTTGGACCAGGCTTTTTGGTGTAGTTAAACTTTGCAAACTATCTGTAACGCAAACTTAAGCTCACCTTTGGCGTAGCCCCATTGATCAACTGAATCGTTCCTTGCCGACTGGCCGAGTCACTTGGAACCGATGACGAGACGACAATGAGATGACCAGCCAAACGCAGAGCCTGATTCGTGAGAGCGGCACTGACAGCTCTAAAAAAGACAAAATCAGCATTTTCAAATTCTTTTACCCGAAAAGTGGCATATTGCAAGATCCTCCATCATTTCCATTGTTGATTTGAGAGGTGATATCAGTCAATAGAGTGGCTGTCGTTGAATAGTCTTTGTTCGAGACGACTCCGCCGGCTAAAGATAGACAGGATGAGCTTGGGTAATTGAGCCAGAGTTTATATTTAGTCAGACTTTGAAGCTTATCACCGATCAAATCACACTTACAGTTGAAAGTGACAAGGAGATAGTTGGAGAACCAATCAGATGGAAGTTTATCAATGACATCTCGAAGACCGGCCAGGAAGCCGTTTGCATTGTTTCTATTGTTTTGAGTGACCTCTAAAACGATGGTCAACGAGGCGCCAGAAGTGTCGAAAGTGAAGTTCTGTGGGTTCGTGCAAGCCTCTGAAAGTTTTTTGTTCGCTTTGAGTAATTTGTTTAGTATAAATTAAGTATTTCTTAAGTTTGAGCCCAAAAATGAGAACATTGTCTTCCCAGTGCACTTGATTGTGCTTTAAATCGCCAAACTCTGCACCAGGTAAGGTGTGTTTCCATTTCTAGACCAAAGGCCAACTAGAGGAGACTCACGATATTCACAAGCTGATCCAACAAATCCATCTGGGCACAAGCAACGCGTGTTCGTTCGATCCAAGACTCCACCGTTCACGCAAATCGGGATCGAGCAAGTGCTTCCCTAGAAATAAATGAATGTAAATTTTTAGAGGTAACAAGATTTTCATCGGTTCTCAGGTTTCAATCAACTTTTCTTCACCTGCCAGTACTCTGTGCACACACAAGTTCCATTGTAACGGAGGCCGCCATTACCGCAAGTGACAGCTAGAATTGAAGAATTGGGAATTGATTAACTTCATTTTTTGATTCATTATTAGAATTTAAATTCTAATCTTAATCTAGAACCTTATAGTTTAAAAAATTACACGGATTCTGGCAGTGAGCGTTGACGATTCTCTGGAAAGTGTGTCCATACTCATCCTCGCCAAGGTGCTGAAAACGGTTCAAAATAATAGAATAGCATACTTAGTCTAAGAATATTTAATTAATAATTAAAGAATAAAAGAAAAGAATAAAGCTTACATAAATCGAGAAGAGATTGTCACTGTTGTCACTGTCGGGGCAGTAGAACGGTTGGGAGATCCAATCGAGAGAGCAAAGAGCGCGAGGCTGAATTGAACTCTTTAATTCAACTGTTAATTCAACTCTTTAAATACAGTATACCACTACAACTTTATTACAATATACCAGTACAGTATCGAGCTGAAAAAGCAGCAGGCGACAAGTTTGTCTAGAGACCTTTAGCTTCAATTGAAGCCGAGAGATCAGTTCTTAAGGTTGTTGATAAAAGCGTGGTTGGTTTCGTTGTGGATAAAGATTACAGTATCTTTAACCTGTTCAGATACAGATCTAAAACCTGTGTAAATCAAAATTTCCTTACCTGATAAGTGACTGCATCCCACATGGTTTCGTTGTGTGCGTTGAAGATGAGACCGTGAGTCAAAATTGGGGTTCTCTGTTGGAATGAGGCGGCCGAGTCGACGAAAGTGATCAAACGGTTTTGAGCTGAAAAATTGGATATTTTGATTGATGGACAGGCAAAAAGTCTCAATTTTACAGGATAATCGCGAATTATAGAAGCAGCTTTTTTGGAAAACTATCTGACAAATGCTTAACTTATTTTAGAAGAGCATCAACTTGGATTTTGGTTATGTCAGTTCAGCCAAAGTAGCTAATTTGTGATTCTTAATGTTATTAAGTGATGTTAAACGCTATTTTTGCATTGAAGAAATATTGAAAACCTTTTTTTAACAATTTTTAATAGAGAAAAGCGGCTGGAGAGATGTCGACTACAATTCAAGCGCTTGTAAAATGAGTTCTATAAGTCTAATCGAAAAGTTTTTGGTAGATAAATGTTGCCAAGAATTAGGGCTACAATGCTATAAATAATAATTGATATTTCTAAAATAAGTTAAGCATTTGTCAGCTATTTTTTAAAAAAGTTGTCGCTATAATTCGTGGTCATCGTACAGAAAACGTACTCGATTTTGCCACAGGGTCCATGTTTGGATAATCGTTGTGAGTGTCTTCAGTGAAGCCACCGTAGATCTAGAAGAAGAATTGTGCTGTTCAAGTCTACAAATTTTAAATACCTGGAGGTGTGATTGGACACGGACTTCAGCAAAGCATCCTTTCCCGAGACTGGTCGAACCGTCGGTGGGTGGCAATTGAGTGGTGATCGCAAGGTAGTACTTTCCAGCAGGCATGTCATCTTAAATTGAATTTTAAACTGTGAAACTGATAGAAACAACAGTATGACTTGTCTTTAACAATGAACAATAAAAGGCCTTATGCTTAGAAATGAAACGAAACCTTTCTAGATCACCTAATGCTTTATTTTTCTGATTAGCTAGAGTTCAGTGAATATAAAAACATTCAAACTCAACTAAAAGTATGAGCTATTTCAGTTATAAAATCCAAAAAGCTGAATTTAATCTTACCATCATCGATCCTATTCGGCATATAGTTCCAGTCATAGATATGTCTCTGACAAACGAAGTATTTCTGAACATTGCAAGACTCGGCAAACCTATAGATTGGATTTGAATGGTAAATTTCTTAAAAGCTACCAATTCTCAGTCGATTTAGATGAGTCGAAATAGGCGCAGAGCTTGGTTGGATCATTTGGCACAGTGCCTCCTGGCCAGAAGTTTGTTCCAGTCGAATCATACTAAATTATCTTACAGTTAGTTTCAAAACGCAAATTATAGATTCAAAAACAAACAGGCACAGGCGGTCGTCCATCTTCTCGATCCCATTGCCAGCCGGTGTTGTTGCGATTGTTGAGACCGAACCAGAAAGAAGAGGTCGCTCCTTCTCCTAAACAAAACTGCTTAGATCCTCTTGATTCTCTTCTAAAACGTATCAACTTTTAAACTACCATAATCTTGCCCAGTTTTTGTATAATTCAGCTACATCTGCTCTTCCAGATCTGCTAGATTTATGAGTCTAAAAGAGTAATGAAAATAGATAAACACTTTGAGGAAGAGTACGATAGTTTAAAAAAGCCTACGCACTGGAAGCAGTAATATTGTCGTCAATAATTCAAATACCCACTGATGAGGAAATCATGTTTATCCTGGGTTAAATCGTCGACCAGCATTCCGCCTCCATTATGACAAATCGCCACAGCGCTATCATAATCGTTTGGAGTAAGTGAGAACTTGACACAATAGTCACCGAGCGGATCCCAGTCAGGGTCACAAGCTAAATTAATTATTAAGTTATTAATAAGAGCAAAAGTTTTACTGACAAGCTCGTTGAGTGAAGAAACTCCATCCCGAAATCGGATCATTGGCGTTGGTGATTGATCGGAAGTTGGGTGCTTGTTGGAGTTTATCTAGAATAAAGGCTTATATTCCAATCACTTCAAATTACTGTATCCATTGAAGAGTTGAACAGTGGCTTTGTATCCGTTAACGGCGATGAGAAGCGATTGGGCATAGGCATCAACTGGAACTGAGACATACACTGTGCCAGTGCAGTCATCATATCGGCGATGCGCAAGCACTCCTTGCATGAATTTCATCGGGATCGTGCGGACGAACTGGAAATGAGAAGATGAAGCTGGTGCTTTTTAATTTTTAGCTTTAATTTATCTAGATACCCACTCCTTCAACGTATGGCTGTTGCATGTTGTACGACTCTCCATTAGAGTAACGACACAAGTCGTGAACCAATGCATAGTTGTTCTAAATCTCAAAAAATGATTTTAATGCACACTCAACCAACCCAAGTATTGTTGCACACATACGTTCCACTACTCGTGTAAGCAATATTCGCTGTAACAAGGATCTTCATCTGTCGAACATCGTTGTACATGGTGATGATCTCTTGCAAATTTGACTCATCCGGTTTGCTGGCCAAGAAGAGATTGATGTAAGATCCGGGTCGAATCCTTCTTTGAATGACAGCTTGCGCCATTGCATGCCACACTTGCACGGTGGCATTGCAAGCGTCCGTCGTTTTGTCGAGACCGTTGTAGTTGGAGACGGTATTGTTGAGAGCGATGAGGACCTGGAATGCGTAAACTTTAAGGCTAAGAGTTAAACCAACAACCAACAACCAACAACTCAATAACTGCACTTACACTAGTTGGATCAAGAGACGATGCGGTAGCAAGAGTTCCTCCCCATGTCGAGTTGTAACCAATGAGAACAAAGTTTCTGATCCATTCCTCGTGATGAGAGACGACGTCTCTGAGGATCTCTGGGAACATTTTGTTGAGGAAAGTCATCTGAAACCAAAACTTTAGAAGAAATGGGTTTATATTAAAACCTGAGCATATGCTGTTGTAGTCATCTCTACAGCAAACACCATGTCGACGTAACGAGTGAAGATCTGAGGAGCTGGGCCTTCCTCAATGCAAGAGACTGGAAAGGTTAAGGCTTACTGTTAGAAGTTAAAGTTTTGAGAGTAAAATGATAGTTGAACAACAAGTTCACTCACTTGTTTCACAGTGAGTTCCCAAGAAGCCAGGCGGACACTGGCAGAAGCCAAAGCTCAACGGGGTTCCACCATTCCAGCAGATCAACTTCTCGCATAGAGTTCCCTCATAGCCAGGTGGACAGAAGCAAGTGCTGTTATCAGCTGGATTGATCACTCCACCATTCTGACAGCCACCAGGTGGTGATTGAGTTGGATGATAGCCGGTGCAGTACATGTTGCCTAAATGCTTGATAATGGTAGACAGTTCTTTATCTCTTACCAGCTCTTTGAATCGGGAACCCAAGTCCATCACGGGCGAAGAACTGGAAGCGCAGAAGCTCTCCCTCATTTCGGCAAGTGAATGGCGGGAAGTAGAAATTGTAGTCACATCCATCTCGCCAGATTCCATTCGATGAGTAAATGTCGACTTGTTGTTGGCCTCTTTGTGCAGTGATGAGGAACTCGGCTTGCACATACTGGGGTGGGATGTTCGCTGGGAATTGATTCAAATGCACACCGATCGCCAATGGAACACCTAAAGGAAGTTTTACAAGGTCAATGTTTTCTAGAATCTAGATCCTTAGATATCTAGTAGTTAAACAAACCAGCAACTGGCTGTTGATAGTATCCATCGGAGTTGAGTAACTCAGTGAGCTTCCAGAAGAGTTCGAATTGATAAGACTGCATTGATTACGGTATAATACTCTAGAAATATCTTAAACTTACACTTCCAGTTACTGTGAATGCTTGTTGATAGATTCGATATGAACAACTTGACGATGGAGCACTTGGGAAGCTCACACGATAGTTTCCAGCTACAATACCGGCTGCTGACCTGAAAACAAGTTGAATCTTAAGGTTTACAATTGTTTTACCAGATAGTGATGTCGTTGCCAGAGTATTTTTTTATTGGGTTCGCAATTCCCGTGTCTGAGGTGATTTGGAAGTCGAGTTGATCTAAAATGTGTTGTTAAGCAAGAATTCAAGAGTTTTAGCACAAATACTCACTTCCTCTTCCAACAACCACCAATTGATCGAGTTTCGAGTCGATTGAAAGCGTCTGGTAGGCTGGTTGGAAAGTGCACACATCGAGATCATTCAATAGAATCAATTGAGTACGATAGAAAGTGTAATAGAGATGGTTGTAGAGGAGCTGAAAGAGAATACTTTGGTATGAAAACTGCGATTATCTTTTTTTGTCGCTATAGCGCACTCGGAAGTCCGCTTGCCTATAGCCCACACGATCCGGGTTCGACTTCCCGTAGTGCCGCTCAGTTTGGATTTTTGGTTTTTTTTCTTTTAAATCTTTGCCTGATTGACTGATGTTCGATTTGTGACATAGAAAGCGAGACCCTCCGTTCGTTGAGTGATATCGTCCATTGCGCGGAAACCGGGATCGTGAACATCGGGTACACAACCCTGTCCGGGAGATGCTTCAACGTAGAGGAAATAGATTGGAACCTGAAAATTGTCTGGTTTCAGAATCTAACCGAACTCCTTACTCGGAAATAGGAGTCAAGTTGGAAAACAGTGTCAAGTACATCTCCATAGTCTTGCGGCATCGAATCGGTGATCACATAGACCTGGAAAGAGACTTAGAGGTGTAAACTTTTCACTGTAAACTTCAAACCTTTGATCTCGGTGAAACGGGAAGACTCTGCAAGGCAGCGGCTAAGAAAGTGAACTCATTGTCCGTACAATTTCCGCTTTGATCTGTCACATCGGTGGCCCATCTCGTCCAACCCAATTGGAATGCTCCGAAAGAGGAGTAGCTGGCCGAGAAGAGTTGTTCTAAAGAATACCATTCATAGGAATATAATCAGTTCCTGTCAAACTCTTTATTTGACTGTTTCAAACTCACTTCCGTTATTGTAGAAGACGACGCCAAACTTCTTCACATAGTTCGCGTCGTAGATTTGGATTGCATTGACAATGTTGGTCACAGCGCTCATCACCTAAGTTAGAGCTGTGGTTTTCTAGATAGAGATTTTTACTTGATCCAAAACGTCTTGCATTTGTTGGCGAACACGGACGACAAAGACGAGATTTGGCTCGTCGACGTAGAATTGATCACGGCCACGATCAACGCAAACAACGTCCTAAAAGATAGATGGAATCAATAAATAGATTACTGCAATGGATTACCGTAATCAACTTTTGACTTACCTCACAATGAATTCCCTGGAAACCGGCCAAGCAGGTACAACGAGTACCTCCAGTGTCATATCCACCATTCATGCAAACAAGTTGATTACAAGTTGCTCCTTGCCACAACCCTTGGCACACGCAGAAAGCTGAGCCGTCCGGGTTCTAGAAATTGAAAGATTTGTTCAATTGGCTTAGATAGTGGCTGAAAATTTACCTGAACAAGCCATCCACCATTCGAACAGTTCGCTGGAGAAGTTGGCACTGGAGTGGTCCCCGTTGGGGCTGGCGTTGGTCGATTTGTATTATACAAACAGCTGAAGATTCCCACTCGTCTGAACGGATATCCCGTCCATGTCACTCCTTCAATCATCCACAAATAGTCGCCAAGATCGGTGCAAAAGAAACTTTCAAAGTAGTACTCGTATCCGCATCCATATCTTGTGCGCATTGCTTGCGGTCTGGACACTGCATTCGATCCACCGATCATTGTCACAACAGCTAATTGACCGGGTGAGCGGAGGTTAAAGCCGTGAGCAACAACTGTGTTCAAAGTGTATTGATACGCAGCACGGAGAGCCGGATAATCCGAGCGTTCAGTTGCCCAGCCTTCTCCAGTGATGAAGCCAGCTTCGACTGTGAGTCGGGTTGTTCCTTTGATCTCGAGTCGGCATGGAGCGTTTGGGACATCGGGTGTCGCGGTGAGATAGTAGGTTTGTGGGGCAAGGTTTGAGTACAATCCACTGAGAATTCCAGGTCCACGTTGGACTGTGATATCGAAGAAGTAGTGTTTGCCTGGAATAGATTTGCTGAACATGTTAATTGCCTTAGAATGATTGTGAGTTTTGATTGACTCAAGATATGGCTTAGAGTCAAGTACTGTAGCTAAGTGATAAGTGCAAGCTTTAGAAATGGAAATATATCTAGGACTTCTGGACTTGACATTGTTAATCTCTGCTCATTTCAAACTCACCATTTGCATCAACTAGATCAAAGCCTGGATAGATATCGGTGTCAGCAGAGAGAGTGATAATGACATTTGTGAGTGAATCATCAATAACTGTGATGTATTGAAGAGTGCAATTGTCTCCCATATAAGCTGCATCGACAATCACTCCCTAAAACTGGATTTAAGAGTTATCTAGAACCTCTCCAACCTCTCCAAAGACATCAGGTTGATCAATGACTCGCGGATTTGTCTCGATACAGATTGCTGAAAGGTGTTATTGTTAAAAAGTTAACTTACTGTAAATACTGTAATAGTACCCCACCCCCCTCGTACAGTCGCGTAGTCGCAAAAGTTTTTTAGTATTTTTTAGTATTTAATTTTTTTCAAAGCACCCGTACTTTCAAAAAATGCGTCTTTGGTATCAAAAAATAGCTGAAATTCAGGGCTATTTTTTGATATTTAAACGAGCATTGTAGCATAAATCAGTGTCGAGAAAAACGCGTCCAAAGCTAGACTACGCAACACTCCGCACCGTCATTATGGGGGTGGGGTACTATTACAGTATTTACGGTATGTAAGTTGGCATTCTTTTGTACATTCTTAAAACCTACGATATTGACAGAACTCTCCAGTGTACCCTGGGATATTGCAAAACCGCGTTGACAAAAGCGGAGCACGGACATTTGGAGCAACTGCTTCAATGAAACTGGATCGTTTTGATCGAGCATGATTCTGAAAATGATATTTTCATCTAATGTAAGTTTACGAACATTTTTCTGTATTCAATCAAGCCAATTTCTGTATTCAATCAAGCCAATTTCTGTATTCAATCAAGCCAAACCTCTATCGCAAATTCATCGTGTTGAAAATCTTGATTGAAAATCGAATTCTTTGGGTTTTCTTCGACTGTCTTTTGCCAGTGATCTTGAATTTGAATTGGTCCATCGTTCCAAGTGGAGAAAACTGAAAAAAGATTAGGTTTTGTTTCTTAAAAATGCGTGCAGAAATCTATAGAGTGGATTTCTGATCTTTCTTTAGATAATCTCTAGCTTCAATTGTGCTTTATGTGTCTAAAACTCTTTCACTTTCTCTATAAAATCTTGTGTAGAGAAATTCTCTATAAGATTTCTCTATATTTTCTCTATCTCTACTTTCTCTATAAGATCTTGTCTAGAGAAATCAGTTTCAAGTCTATATTCTGCCACTAAACTACCAGCGACGGAAAATACAGCAAATATTTATTTATTATTATTTTCCACAAAGTGACAAGACAAGTTTTTAGTCTAAAAAACCCTATAATAGGGTTTTTTGAATTGTTACCTTTTGCGATTACTTCTGATTCATATCCAGCCGGATCCTTGGCCCAGGCAAGACACGAGACGAGTGCCGCTAGAAGCAGCCAACGTCCACGCATCCTCCAATAACCCTAAAGATAAAAGCTACAGTAAGAAAACATAGATAAACTGAATATCTATTGGAACTTGAGAGATCTCTAGTTCAATCTAAGTACGCTACTGGACAATGAAATATGATATTTGAAAAAAGATCGTCACTTTCGCGCGTCTATAACTCCCTTGTCTTTACCGTATTTCTAGATATTAATATTACCATTGTGTAGCCCTTGAAAAGGGCTTTCAGAAAATGTATAACACTAATAGTTTAAACTCAAAGACAAGGGAGTTACAGACGCGCGAAAGTGACGATCGTTTTTGCAAATATCATATTTCATTGTCCAGTACTGTATCTTCTAATAAAACCAAAGGTGAAAAATGAGGGAACTACAGTAATTCGACAATGCAATTGACAAACTGAATTTCTACAAGTTACAAGAATTTGAAGATAGATATTAGTATAGATCTCTAAAAACAGAATTCCTTTTCCCAGTTTACTCAACTCTCATCACTTCCCACCACTTTCCACACCCATTTTCTTTATCAGAAACTCCTAAAAATCCCATAAAAATTGTTCGTTTTGGGCCACTCCTTTCTCTTATTCACCCCACGATTCTCATTTATTTCTCTCACAATCAAGAAAACGAAAAAGCACAAAAAAAGTTTATGTGTGTTGAGTGTCGTATTGCTTCTTTGAAGGAAAACGATGAAACGTGGCCAGAAATTGGGAGGGTTTTCTGGAGGGAAGGGGTCGATAAAAAGGTGAATAAGGGGGTGGGTTTGAGTGATTTGAGTAGAATGATGAGTTAAATTCAATGCTGAATCTGTTCAAAAAGTTTATGTGTTGAGTATCGTATTGCTTCTTTGAAGGGAAACGATGAAACGTGGCCAGAAATTGAGAGGGTTTTCTGGAGGGAAGGGGTCGATAAAAACGTGAATATGGGGGTGATGAGGTGATCTTTGAGTAGAATGATGAGTTAAATCCAACGCTGAGTCTGATTTTCATGGTGATTTGAGTCGTTGAAACTTCAAGAACTGTTACCGTCTATCATTACTCTCTGAGCAAGTTTACATTTGCAAGAATGACACTAAGTGAGAGTTTTAGTTTTGTAGACAAAGCTGGTTCTAGTTAGAAGAGCCTCTTTGAATCCGATTTGATTCAAATCTCATGTATAGCAGAGAAACGAGGTCATACTGTAGACAAATAGTGATTAGTAATCCATCGGGATTCTAAAATGATTGCCTAGCTGATGAAATGATTGCCAAAATAAACTCGAGTGTGCCACATTGAATACCAGCCTTACCCTAAACTAAAGCTCATTTTCGATCTGATTCTTAATAGGTCTACAACGGAGAAACGAGTTTTTAATCACTTCAATGGCTACTTTTTCAGGATTTCAATGTCAATTTGATATCACATAAAGATAGAATTTGATTCCAAGCTCTATCTTTTAGTCTAAAAAACTGCTGATAAAATAGCCATTAAAGTGGTTAAATCTCGTTTTTTCGCTGTAGATTTATTGAAAATCAGAACGAAAATGAAGCTTGATTAAAAGCTAGATTTTAAGCTTGATTAAAAGCTTGATTCAAAGCTTGATTAAAAGCTTGATCAAAAGATTTTAAACATTTTAATCAAAACATTTTAACCGCGATTTTCTGGCCGGAGCCGAGGCTGCATCATGGCCTACTGGTTAAGGCGCTCGTTTTCAAAGCTAGTCTCCCTAGTAAGGCTCAGGTTCGAGTCCGCCTGTGGCCGGTCGCTGGTTCGGCTCTAGCCGCTAATTCTTTTGCTTTTTTGAGCCAAAAATTTGGCTACGATTATTCTAATAGCTGCGGTTATTGTAATGGCATTCTCTATTCTAATGGCTCTGTTCACGAGCACCGCACTAACCCCGAAAAATTGATTTTTTTTTGCAAAGATATTTGTTTTCCTTGATCAAAAGCTTGATTCAAAGCTTGATCAAAGGCTTGATTAAAAGCTTAATTAAAAGCTTGATTAAAAGCTTGATCAATAGCTTGATGAAAAGCTTGATCAAATGACCTAAACCATTCTCACTAGTAGTCTTTGTACAAATTTTTAACTTTCCATTGACTCTTTTCTTTTATAAGCACGATCTTCTCAAATTAAAATCTCTTTTTGAAAATGAAATCATCGAATTTTACTTGAAAACTTTCCGAAAAACGTTTCTTTCAATAAAGAATCGCTTATCTAAAATGATAAAAGCGGAAAAAAAGACATAAAATTTTTACTCCTCTCGTAATTTGAGGAGACAACGCTGTGTTTAACTTTTTGATTTGCTTTGTAAAAAAAAAAAATATATATATTTAACTCTTCAAAAGCAATAACAAAAATTTCATTGCAGAATTCGCACCTTGAGAGAAGAAAATTGTAGAATTTCTTAACAAAAACCGTATTTCTTCGAATAGAAGACCGGGTAAAGAGTATGATCGCGTACTCCTGCGTAGCAGCCTGGAAAATGACTCAAAAATACCACATGAGCTAACAGTTTTGGCCATTTCCCTTGGAGTAATGTCTTCAATCAACTTTTAATCATAGCTTCTAGATTTCAGACTTTTACAGATCGCTGAGAATATTGGGATTGCAATCAAAACACGGGTACCCATTGTTCAAGAAATTGGCCATCGATTGTCAACTTCTTCTCAATTGGTTTTTTTGTCTAAAGTTGAAGTTTAAAAGTTGAAAATTTAGACAAAAGATTGCTGTGAAATGAGTTGGAATGAGATTCAGATGAAAGCTCTCTGTAACGGGCTTCGAACTTGCTCTTCTACGATTCTCCTGAAAATGTTCTGAGGTTGACAGTGGTTGTGAAAGGGTATTTGTGAATCTTTTGTACGCACATTTGCTAGGACTAGGTTTAAAGATTTTTTTGAAATTTGCATATAAACTGTTTGAAATTAATTTTCTAAAAACGTTCGGAAATACCTCTAACCTTTAGTAGCTTATGTTCCCCCAGCTGTAAGAATGTGACCCGGGAATGGCGCATCACGTGTTTTCCCAGAGCTCATGTGGTATTTTTGAGTCATTTTCCAGCCCTATAGCACTTCATTGAAAGCTTTTATGCAGAAAAGAAATTTTAAAAAGGGCTGCTACGCAGGAGTACGCGATCATACTCTTTACTCTTTAGATTTAGACATCTATCAGAAACAAATTCAAGACAAAGACTCACCATCAGCCGTACGATTGCCACATGGTGTTGTCGGTGTTGTCGTTCTAGCTTTATCCGCCGTTAAAGAAGCACTTCCCGCAATCGAAAAGATCCCCAGTAAAAACAGTATCATTTTTTATTCGTCTTCTATTCAAAGAAATACGGTAACTAATTAGTATACCGTAAATACTGTAATAGTACCCCACCCCCCTAATGACGGTGCGGAGTGTTGCGTAGTCTAGCTTTGGACGCGATTTTCTCGACACTGGTTTATGCTACAATGCTCGTTTAAATATCAAAAAATAGCCCTGAATTACAGCTATTTTTTGATACCAAAAACGCATTTTTTGAAAGTACGGGCGCTTCGAAAAAAATGAAATACTAAAAAAATACTAAAAAACTTTTGCGACTACGCTACTGTACGAGGGGGATGGGGTACTATTACAGTATTTACGGTAGGTTTTTTGAAAATTTGATATGAAACTTTTTGAAAACTCAAAAGAAAAAAAATCACAATCTTGACACAAAAATACTTGAATACCCTGTACCACGTATTGAAAAAAACCCAATGAAAATTGTAGTTTTTGTGAAGAAAACTATAGGAAAATGTACTGAAATATTTCGAAATTTAAGAAAATTAGAAACTTTTCGACTTTTCAATATCGTTCATCATCGGATCGTTAAGCGATGTTTTGCTTTCTGAAATTTCAACTATTATTGCTTTAAAGCTAAGATTTTTGGTTAGCTATATAAGAAAATAAACACCGACAATCGATTCCTTGACCTCAAAAACCCTTAGATACAAATTTTTAGCCTTAAATTTTATCTGAGCGCAAGTTTCAGAGGAAAAGAAGATTCACTGTGGAAAGGGTCACGAGATGTTCTTTGTGCGGCCGTGTAATCGCTCGCCGTCTGGTAAACGGCTTTTCCTTATAGAGACGGAAGGTTTGCTGGCATCGGGTTTGCTTTTGGCTCTCTCTTTTCGCAGATTGTAAAATTAAACATGCATTCAAATTCTGTGATTTTCCCGCAAAACCTTTTTCAATGTAGCTCAGATTTTAAAAATTCTTTATTCGGATCAAGAACCAGGAGGAGAGGAAAATCCCGCAAAAGTTGGACATTCATGAATCAATCGTGAACCTAAGAAGTTTTGGGCATTGATGCTACATTGGGCTTGGTTTTCGGATAAATCACAGAGAAGAGAACCCAAACAGAAAAGAGAATTGGGGAAGGGATGTTTGGGATGAGCAATGGGGGCAGGGTTGAGCGGATCCGGATCCGACACACAAGAATACAAAGAACGTTACGGCGGCTACACGACACTATTAAACGCCTACACAACGGTACTATGAGCTGGCTATTGGAGCGTCGCGTGGTCACCATAACGTTCTTTGCGTAGAGATCCGGATTCGGATCCGCGCAGCCCTGCTGAGGGAAGACAACAAAACGAGACAAGCACCCAGACAACATAGAACGAGCTGCACATACATAGACTTAAGAAGTGAACTAGATTAATAGATTCGGTTTAAAAACGAGAAAACAATAAACCTTTTTCACTCAGTTGTACTTTAGAATATAGTTCTCATTTACGGTAAAAAAGGGGTCTTGAACTTTATCCAGCATTGGCTTTAATCTTTTGTTATTAAGATAAGTCAGCTTTGTTTAAGCAGGAACTATAAATTGGGTACGGCCAAAACTCCTAATCAGCTGGACTAAACGCTGTAAATCTAGATACTATTTCGGTTAGGGTACAGCTATTTAAATCTTAGAAAGTGCACAAATTACTGTAAGACAAATGCAAAACAACAACATTTTAAGGTTAAAAAAAATCATCACAAGGACATCGAGAGACCCGTTTGATTACCAAAATATTTGAAAAAGATATGCAAAAATGATATGTTGTAGAAGTTTGAAGCCATTAGTTCCTAAATTTAGTTCTTTCTTTTTTTTGGAAATAGCTCTCGGTGTTAGTGAAAAGTTAACGGTGCAAACGGAGACAAGACTAGCAAACTCGGACAAAATAAACAATAAATCCAAAGATTATTTAAAAATTCACAATTTGAAGTCGGAACTGTAGTAGAATTGTTTCCAGAAACGGCTTTTGTTTTGTCGATATTTGTAGTAAGCGATGAAAACGGCTAATGCGACGAAAGAAAGGAGGAAAAAGTAGAAATGAGTGCGCTCTGATTGCTCTGGAGTGAAGCCAGCTGAAAAGTTTACATTCTTGATTTGCAGAATATGAAAAGCTTTAATATTTTGCTCTTTGGAGTGCTATTTTGCAAAACGCAACCTTTCTAGCGCACTGAACTCTTGGCTTTCTTTGGAAGCCATTGCGTTACAAAAATGAAGAACTCAGTCCATCAGAAATGGTCCGTTTCCATTTTTGAGCACAAAGTACACAAAGATAGATTCAGTGCACCAGTTAAGGAGCGTTTGGATGAGCACAGAACATCCAAACGAGCGCCTGGATGAGCACAGAACTCACAATTGCTTCCATCTAGACTCCTCCATTCTCTTTGTGGATTCCTATCTAATTTCTTCATCCTCTCCTCCTCAGCCTCGAGATCATCAACCTAAAAGATTATCTAGATCATAAAAAAAACGCTTTAACTAATCCATTCTTTTAAAACACTTACCGGATTAGCATTCACCGCGAATTTCGGATTTAGCTGTCGATTGGCGACTTTCTCTAGCTTTCCACCCTTAAATTCACTCATCTGATAGGCAGGAGCTGGCTAAAAAGAGAAGAGAAAAAGTTAGTGATAGATTAGAAACTAAGGATTAGTTGAAAAATGTCAAAAAAAAGTGCAAATTTACCTCTACTGGATCCGTTCTGATATCCGTGTAGTAAGCGAGAACGAATTTGAAAGTCTCTGTCTCATCCAAGTCTCCAGCTGCATTGTAGCAATGAGCGCAAAGCTCCTAGAATTTGTTTGAAAAGCTGAAGCTGGCACTTTTAAATGTAAAACTTTTTAAAGCTTTAACAAACTTTAGGTGGGAATTGACGTTTTGGAAATTTCGGATCCTCAGCGGCGGCACCGGACAATCGCTTGTTGACCGAATTGTGCACTTTCACTAGCCACATAACCATGTCTTCTGGAAATGAATGGATGAATTTCCGTATCTAATATATTTACCTTTTCTTGTCACATATGAGAGCCCGTGTTGTGTGCTCTCTTTTTCGAAATTCTCAGCGCATTCTTGGCATGAGAGGAAACGAGTGATGAATTGTTTCCATGGATCGAGGACTTCTCGAACAGGTGAGAAAAGGGAATCTGGAAAGAAAGTTGTTTTCAGGAAAAGAAGCTAGGTAAAGTAATCAGTGCTTTACAAGATCTCAAACAGCTATTTATCTAGTATGTAGTCTAGACTAAAAAACTTTCAAGTACTATCACTATCATTTCAAACTCTGAGGAGTTTTACTTTGAATGAACCAAGACATCCAATCAATATCAACGGTTAATTCACTTAAGAGCTTTAAATTCCAAGTATAGTTTACTAAAGCTCTCCAAGTCTTACTATCTTTCTCCTGATTGTAGGCTTGAGCTGCGATCGCATGTCCGAGAGTCCATAATCCACAAGTGTATCCTCGAAGATTACTCTTTGATCCTTGACACGATAACCATGTTGGTGTCGATGGAAGGGGATTCCCGAGATCCAACTGAATCAATGAATCAATCAATACTGACACTTTGACAGTGTAAAAGTTTAGCTTATAAACTTAGAAAATCACTTTCTCAAACCTGTAACTCGTTGACTTTCTGTGTCCATTCATCAGCAGTCACTTGGAATTGTTTCAGTTGGATCCATTCGTCTAATCGATGTAATAATCTTCGGATTGGAGCGGTGCCAGGAGAGTACTGAAATCAGATGATTAAAGACAATTTCAGCTAAACCTTTTTACCTTTTTCAACACGTGAATCCATTGCTTTAGTGCTTCGAAATCTGGTCCAGAGATCTTTTCTCTTCTCACAATTTCTTTCAACAACATGTAACCGAGAGCCGATTGAAGATCAACGGCTTGTACTTGATATTGAGATAAATCGACTGAGGAGATGATCTCGCGAGGTTGGTTCTGAAAATATAGTTTTATTGCTGCACACTGGGCCAACTCACCAGCACTGGTTCCACGACTTGTCCAGCCGGCTCAGCGGAAACCAACTCGTTGACTTTCTCTTGGATTTGCTCCCAAGTAACAGTGTCGCTGAAATCTTACAAATTCATAGTTTTGTTAACTTTACAAACCCTGAAATCCAAACGGGATTCGGAGTTCCTCTTTGGAGAAGAGCTGCTTTCCCAGCAAAGAGAGAAATCGATGAAGCGACTGGATTTGATGGCCTCACAATGACAACTTTCACGTGACGATCCCCGTGGAAGTTGATTGCTTCCTAGAATGGTTTGTTTATCAAATCTTCTTGTAGTCGGCTGGCAGTGAGTCAGAAGTTTTTCAATTCAAAAGTATCGAGGTTAAGAAACTTGATGTTGTTGAATTTTTGAAAGCTTCTCTTCAAGAATGACTATGTTCAAGATTTCTAGAACTCTAGAATTTTAGAACTCTAGAACTCTAGAACTGTAAAACTCTAGAATTTTAGAACTCTAGAACTCTAGAACTGTAAAACTCTAGAATTTTAGAACTCTAGAACTCTAGAACTGTAAAACTCTAGAATTCTAGAATTTTTCTCTCCACTCACTGCTGTTCCCATCTTTGGCTCATTCTCTGATACTAACAACACGAATTTCGTTGTTGTCGATTGCCAAATTTCATCCAGAGAAGTTGTACTAAAATTCCCAATAAAGTGTTTTTCAATTTGCACCAAAACTCACTCTGGAACCGGATCCAACAATGGCCATTCCGACGGTTTTTGAGCCTCCGCATCTCCTTTCACCAATTGAGCCAAATCCAGTGAAAGTTGACCAATATTGTACTTGTCGCCTTGATAAAGTTGCATGTCTTCTTTCCCCTTGCTGTTGTATTTGAAGTACTGAAATGAAAATGACCAGTACTCGTTCTGTAACTCTTAAACCTCACCTTGATAGTCGGAAAAGCGTGAATCTCGTGCTCTCTACAAAGCGGCATATTCTTATCCTCTGCACAATTGACCACAGTCACTTGCACAACCGGTTTCCAGCTTTGCACTAATCTAAAAATTTGCATAAATATTTATTTCATTCTTCACAAACCTAGCAAATTTTTTGAAAGTTGGAGCGTAGGCGATACACGCACCACACCATGATGAATAGAACTCAACGAAGAAGGCTTTTTTCTAAATTAAGATAGTTTTTTTACGAAAAATTTGCCTAAAAATCACAAAATTGACTTAAAATGAAGAAAATTTCAATGATAAACGCTTTAATTAAGGTAAACCATAGATTAATTTGATGAATATTTGTTATTTTTCAACGAAAGTATGAAAAGGACTTACTGGAAAGCTTAATATGTGCTCTATAGGTTATAAAATGAATCAAAACCAGTAAGTAGGTGATACGAATTAGAAAACGTAGAAGTTTTCTAGGAAAATGTTTAGAATCAGGTTCAGACTGCCACAATGTAACCTCGTAAATCCTTTTCTTTCACCAACCTCTCCATAGACGCTTTTATCGAATGTGTCAATGTTTAGCTCGAGAATCGGATCACTCGCATCATATAAAGAATCACCAAAACAGAGAACAGTGAATGAAATTAGAAGGAGAAGTGATCCATTTACGCCAAGTGATCCCATCACCCTGAGGGAGGACCTGAAAATGAAAATTTAAGAAAAATATAGATTTTAAAACAAATAATAAAATAAATCAATGAAATAAATCAAAGAGTCCTAACAAAAAGAAGGCACGATAAAGACTTAAAGCTTAAGCAATGGATTAAGACTCATAAGAGCTCCAAAAAACTTGAGAAACCCAAAGAATCAAAGGAAATTTGACATTGAGAACGAAATATATCAAAATAGAAATAAAATCTCATCGATTTTTTGTGATTGCAAATTCATGAATAGACACAATCGCCATTTTCACATTTCATTTGAAAATATTTTGATGTGAAAATCTTCTTTCTAAAAGCTGATCAAATAAAACTAAAGTAGAAAGGGTAATTTTAAAAAAACATGCTCAGTAAGGTAAATTTTGGATAGAAATCGAATTTTTGAATAAAAATAGAAATAGAATTTTTGAATAGAAATTGATAATTCTGAGGTGGTTTAAGTAATTTTTCGGAAAAAACGAGCTAAGTGGCTAAATTGCTTAAGGACGGGACTTTAAAAAAAAGCCCTTTTCAAGTTTTTATTTAAAAAGTTTTGTTTGGAAACTTTGAAAAGGTTTTGACTTGATTCTAAAATGAAAATTAGGGGTAGGCTAGTTTCCGCCAACTTTTTTTGCGCAACAGGGTCATTTGCGCAACTGGGTCGTTTGGGCAACTCGGCATAACTTTCTTCTAAGTGGGTTAATCTTTATGATTTTGGTTTCATTTTGTAGATCTCAATAAGTGCAACAAAATCACACCAAAAGCATAAAGATTAGCTCACTTAGAAGACAGTTATGATGAGTTGCCCAAACGACCCAGTTGCGCAAGTGACCCTGTTGCGCAAAAAAAGTTGCGGAAACTAGGCTACCCCGAAAATTAGCATCAAAATATAAAAGTCAACGCTTAAATCTGTTCTGAAATCTGAAAAATCAACTAATTTTCGTGGGATCTTACTGAAATTCTCTTGAAGCTTTAAAATAATTTTGTTTTCCATTGAATTTTTAACATAATAAGCTCTAGATGAGCTTTTTCAATCAACAAATGAAAAAATGAATGGGAAAGGGGATGAATAGATGGAAAAATCAAAAAGCAGCCTAAATTTCTTAAAATTTTCTTTAAATCTCTCATATTAAGATCTTTTTAAATAATACTTTTAAATAATATTAATTCTTTTTAAATTAAAATGCTTTTAAACAATTTCACAAATTATCTATCTGCACATTTTCTGAATAATTATATGATTAGGGAGAAAGATAGAATCTACTATATATAAAGGGACTAAGACGTCTGTCTGTCCGTCTGTCCGTCTGTCTGTCTTCTGTCTGTCTGTCCGTCTGTCTGTCTGTCCGTCTGTCTGTCCGTCTGTCTGTCTGTCCGTCTGTCTGTCCGTCTGTCTGTGCGCGCTACTCCTCACCCCCCAGAGGACTGTTTGCAATGATTTTTGCACCGTTGAATAGGGAATTAAATGTAGTTGTGCAATGTGTTTTTGGATTTTTTAAAAAGCACAATTCAAGTCACACGGGGAGGCCGAACCCGGATCGTATGGGCGATAGACCACTGCTCCACGGCGACAAAAGTCGTCCATCCCCAAAACATCCAGAAATAAATAAGGCCGGTAAATAAATAAAGCAATAAAGCAAGATTGATAAAATTGACACAATTATAGGCTAAAATAATATTTTTGTCTAGATTTCTAGATCAAGCATGATATGGATAACTTTTAAAGAGTTTTAAAGATCATGAATTCAAAAGACTGTCCCAACATTCATCCAAACATTCGATCGGAAAGAAAAACCGAGGTGTGCATGGGGAACGAAGAGACGAGTCTCTCTGACCGAAACCAGCTCTCTCTCTTCTTTTCCCCAACAGGCCAGTCTTGTCGGAGCTTTCATTGCCGTCAAATCGGGCTAGGATTTGGATGGATGAAAAGAAAAGAGATTCGATCGCGCTTGGAGAAACGAGAAAAACGTTGAACAAAGCTACACCTTGGGGTTTAGTGAATGATTATGGCTTGAATGATAGGGAAAGGTCAAAGGGTTGTGTTAAAACCGAGTTCTCCTTAATAGCAGTTTACTTTACTGTAAAATTGGGAAGTGGGACAAATGCGACCTTTTTTTTGCGCACCCGGACATTTGCGCACCTTTTTTTCCGCACTTAGCCCATTAGCGCACCTTTTTTCGCGTTTTAAAAAAGCTCTAAAAGCTAATATTAACCAATTTCTATTCCAAAAGTTGTTTTTCTAGGCAATTTTAAGGCGTAGAATCGAAATTTTAGCATATCAGAGCTTGTGGAAGCGAACGGACGGAGTTATACAAAGAGAAAAATCAACAATTTTCTGTAATTTGACTTAGCCGTTTTGTCTTTCAAATTGGTCTTTCAAATTGGTTCCACACGCTCTGTTATGTCAAAATTTGAATTCGACACCCTCAAATTACCCAGAAAAACAACTTTTGGAATAGAAGTTGGTTAATATTAGCTTTTAGAGCTTTTTTAAAACGCGAAAAAAGGTGCGCTAATGGGCTAAGTGCGGAAAAAAAGGTGCGCAAATGTCCGGGTGCGCAAAAAGGTAGCATTTGTCCCACTCCCGTAAAATTGTATTTAAACAAATGCTTGTGGTTTAAACGCTAGTGAATTCAATAAGACAGGTTACGGTCATGAATCCAAGAAAAACGAGTGAACAATCTGGCTTCTAAAACGTGGATAACTTGGATAATCTGCTTAAGATTTCGTTATATTTACTTAATTCTATCTTATTTGATGAGAAATTAGACTATAAATCGGATGAAATTAAATAGAATACCGTATTCTCTCTAATAGTAGTGCACTCTTTAATAGTAGTGCACTCTCTAATAGTATTGCGGTTCGAGAGGGGGTTGAAAAAATAGTAGTGCGCACTACTATTAGAGAGAATACGGTAAACTGAAGAAAAGGTTTCAAATCCCCATTTCTTAAAAACTTATCCCACCATCGCTATTGAAACACCAAAGCTAACAACAAAGCTTTGTTTTGATCTAGAAACGATCTAAGTTTTATCTAGGTTCTAGAAACATGTTATTTCAAGCACTAAGCGAATCGAAATTGCACGAGAAAGACTCATTTACAGATCATTTACTTGAAGAATGACATTGAAAAGTTGGGGAAGTGGAACAGGAGAGTAAAAAAGAAAAAGTGCTACTAAAAGTCGCATTTGATGTGTTCTAAATTCAGTTTTTTTTTTCTAAAATTGACAAAGAGACAAAGAATTAATGCGTTTTGAAAAGAAAGGGAAAAACGAAAACTACAGTCAAAAAAAACTTTGTTGAAAGCTCCAAAAGATAATCCGATTTATAACGGATTTGAACTAACATTTTGAACAAACAAGGTAATCAAAACAAGAAAATTGGGAGCTCTGGTAACATTTTATTACGCACATTTGGTTTAATATCTTCTATTCCTATGATTCTAATGTTAGTTCCAAACTAATTCTACTAACTAGTTAACCTAGTCTTATCAAGTATTGTATTTACAATTGTACAAAACTTGATAGCCTAATCTTAACAACTTCTTGCTACAATTTAACTTTTCAGCTTTGTTGTGAGCTCTTGTCAAACCACAAAAAGCTACAGCTTTATGAAAGTAATGATCCTTTCAAGTTGGAAATCAAAATCAGAATCAAAAACAGAATCAAATAGGTAATAAAAAGTTTGAAAGAAAGGAAGTTGATGTGGTCGATTCCCCTTTCCCAGTCGAGTCCATTGCTTTTCTTTCTCATTCTTTGTTCTATTTCTAGTCCACCGAAGTGTGTTCAGAAGAGAAAAGACTTTCAGGGTGAAAGAAGTGAAAGACTGAAGGAGAGTCCTCTCCAAACATTCACCACACCAAAATTCTCAACAATTAAGGTGCAAAAAGGTGCTGCTTACAGAATACAGAAAGATTATAGCTTTCAGAGATAAAGTTGAATCCGTAAACTAATCCATTTTTGGTTTGTTTGTTTGTTTCAAAAGAAAAACTCAAATTTTGAGATTTGGGTAAAAATTTGAGTTTAAAAAAAGAAAAAGCAAGGTTTTGCAAGAAAAAACAAAGAAAAAGCATGCAAAAAGCAAGGTCAAGGCCAAGTTTTAGATTATAAAACTGTATCAAAAACTTTTGATGAAACTTTCTCGTATAAATTTTCTGAAAGAGATTTATTGAAGATGGTGCTGAGAAAGTTTGTAGCGGGAAGACAAAATGAATGATGTCATCAGAGATGATTCATATCAACGGGAATGAAAGGGGAAGACAGGGAAACAGCTGAAATAAAGAGAAAATGAAAGGAAGAGAATGGGGAGAAAAGGGCTCGTAGTTCGTAGACAAAGAAATGTTGTGAAAAGTATCATTTTGTTCGCGTTATTTTGAAAATTCTCTCGATTTCTAATTTCTTTTCTTTTCTTTTCTTCTATTTTGACGATTCATGAACAATTCATCACCAACTCCTAGTCAAAACTCACGCGAAGATGAGATCCAAGAATTGCTCAATGAATTTGGGAAATGTTTGAAGATTTTTCGATTCGATTTGGTGAGTTGAAAGAAATCAAATCTAACTTAAAGATTTTTGGCTTGACTTACAAGCTCTAGAGCCTCTAGTACATTATATTGTAGTATATAATCTTATCAGCAGCTTTACTGTTGCTCCGCAGCAAAAAAAAGCAAAAGAATTGGCGGCGGGAGGAGTCGAACCTGCGACCTCTCTTCCGTTTGAGAGGCGCGAACCACTCGGCCACTCGGTTAAAGGCTAGCGCAGTGTGAGCGCGCTTGTCTCTAGCCCACACGACCCGGGTTCGACTCCCACTCGTGTTGGTAATTTTGGTTTTTTAAAAATTTAAAAACATGTTGTACAATTACATGGAATTCTAAGCCGAACTAACGTTTGAAACGGTCCACTGGGCGCAGCGACAGACAGACAGACACAGCTCTTTTATATATAATAGATAAGCAAATGGATGTTTATTAGCGTTTAGTTGACTGAATAACTTATACAAACTATGTAACCATTCTTGACTTGTAAGGAAAAAGGCTGTGTAAGGGAAAAGTAATCAAGGTTATTTCAAAGCAAACTGGAAAAATCATAGTTGATAAACATGAGAAAGTTTTAGCATCTGCATTTACTGATCAATAAAGCTTCAGGCAAAAGACCTCGTGGATGAATTCCGAGCAAAGTTGGGTCAAACGAATTGCGCGATTAACGCAAAAGATAACTCGTGGAGTTTGTTAATGCAGAGTTTAGCACAAGTGAGTTGAAAATGAATCACTAATAAAGATTTTTCATAGATTGCCGTTGCTGACAGAAACTATTATCAGCTATCATTTCTCTTGCCGAAAATGTTCTTCCGAAAAGAGGACGGACTGCAAAGGACTTATGCACTTATTGCGTGAGTTGGCTTGGTCTGAATTAGGACCGATTCTTACTAGATCTCACTAGATCGAAAAGTTTAAACCAATTAACCAGTTCCAATTGGTAGACTTAATAAAATGAATAGCTTCAATCGATTCCCCGACCCTGAAAACCCCAGGGTACAAATTTAAAGCTTAATTTCTTTTTTTATAACATCTACAAAGCAAAAGAAAAATCCGATGCAAATCACTGGCCAGTAGTTCTTTGTGCGGTCGTATAAATGCTCGCGACCTGGCAAACCCTTCCAATATAAGGTAATTTAGTGAAGACCTGAAAAATGCCGCTCAAAACGTGGCAATTGGATCAGTGAGCGAGCATCTGCTCTCACAATGTCGTCACTATGTGAATGCCAGGATACAAATGATTCAGCTATATATTTTATTAGGTAAATAGCGAAATAATTCTTAATTTTATTTGATTACAGCAAACACAGCTGATAGGGAATGGGAGGAATTGACGAGGAGAGCAAAAATCGAGACCGAACAAACTCGTCGCTTTTCTCATCCGAATCTATTAGCGTTAGCTAATTTGTACCAAGATGAAGTCGATTTACTGTACTTGTTGCTGAAATTGCAGTGCTCGATCGTTGATGGGAATGTGGGTTTGGAAATGGATTTATAAATAGTAAAAGAAGCTATAGTAAATCACGAATATTTTCCATAGATTGCCGTTGCTGATAGAAACTATTATCAGCTATCCTTTCTAGTATTCTACATATCTAGTACTCCATGTTTAGTTAGTGAAAAGTGTGACAGCGCTGAAAGAAGTGAAAGATAAATTTGATAAATGGTTGCAACCGTCCGAAGCGGCTGCAGCGAATCGAGCCGGTTTTGCCTCGTGGCTCTTCAAGGGATCGAATGAGAAAACAGCACACAAGTCTTTAAAGAAATTTTGATGATAACTGTAAAAGTTTTCAGAAGTCGCTTGATCACTTGGTTGATCCAGTTTAAAGCTCATCTCTTAGCCAAATTCACGCTTTACTATTGTGATAGTCTTGGTCCATATTGCAATCCGACAGACTTGGATACGATTTTGACAAAGCAGCATATTGTGGCCAATTCACCGAATTATTTGAGTGAGTTTAAAACCGATACAAACTGGCATAAAACCATAGAACCCTTTCCATCCCTTTCTGGCATACATAGGCCATGATTTTAGCTTGTTGTAGCTTGTTAAGTCCGCCAGAAAGAATGTGTTTCTATTTTTGAGCACAAGATACACTCAAACACCAAATCTAAAGCAAATTTTCAGCTCTTTGCCGGGATTTTGTCTCAAAACGATCGGATATTGAATACTTTTATATTCTAATGAATAGAACGGAGAGAGATGAGCCATTTTATGGTATAGTTTGGTGGAAATTTCAAAATCATTGAATTAATTTGAGGTTTTCACTATGTACGCACGCAGAACCGTTTCGATCAAAGTCAACAAGTTGAGCCGTTGAAAGGATTACATGAGAAATTCCCGATCATGCTGAGATTGCCTATTCACTATGAACCAAATTCTTTACCTATTCCGCATAGGGTAAGTCTTGATAAAGATGAAACATTGAAACATTAAACATAAAAACATTAAACATAAAAATCCAGGTGGATCAATACCACGACGAGATTGCACAACTTATCGAAGGAAATGGTCGGAAATTCTTTGAAAACACGACTTTGGATAAGGTGAGTGAAAGAATGGATTTATTAGATTTATTAGAAAACCAGCGAATAATCTAACTTCAGACTTTCTACTGTGAGCGTTTGGAGGAGGAGATTTACGCGGTGGCGGTTCTTGACGGGATGAAAATTCGAGAAGATGTCTCGGTGATCGCATTTCTCAATGAGTTGGGGTTGCTTGTACGTGGGAATCGATTGTTTCAGGTATGGAAAAGTATTCATTAGAGCGTTTAAGAATAACTCATTCAGTAGCTTGCTTCATCAAAAAGGATATAAGCCTTTTTGATGAAGGCTTTAGGCTATAAGCCTTGTAAGAAAGCTTTAAGCTTAATTCAACTTACTAGACTGCAAAGGTACTCTTTCTGTAGCCGAGTATTGTAGACCGGCACATTATAGTATCTTCAAAAATTAATTACAAACAATTTCAGGCCTTGAAGCAAAATGCAAGATGATCATGCGAAGATATCAAAAACAAATTGCCATTTTCTACATTCTGGTCCATTCACTTGCCTTAAACACGACTTGAGTACGGGTTTTATAAAGAATTTATATGTTTTGTGAGAATAAATCTTTTTCCAAACTATCGAAATGAGCAAAACATTTAACGAATCATCATTATCATAAAAGATCACTTCAGAAATAGCAAGCAAAGTAGGGAGTGGGACAAATGCGACCTTTTTTTGCGCACCCGGACATTTGCGCACCTTTTTTTCCGCACCTTGCCCATTAGCGCACCTTTTTTCGCGTTTTAAAAAAGCTCTAAAAAGCTAATATTAACCAATTTCTATTCCAAAAGTTGTTTTTCTAGGTAATTTTAGGGCGTAGAATCGAAATTTTGACATATCAGAGCTTGTGGAAACAAACGGACGGAGTTATACAAAGAGAAAAATCGACAATTTTCTGTAATTTGACCTAGCCGTTTTGTCTTTCAAATTGGTTCCACATGCTCTGTTATCATATCATTATCATAAAAGATCACTTCAGAAATAGCAAGCAAAGTATCAACCAACATGACAAAATTTTAAATTACACACCAAAATCTAAATTGACATTTACATTTAACTTTTTGACGCAAAGCTCATTCTTCAAAAAAATTCATTATTCATTTTCTTCAAGTGGTCCTGTTAGGTTCGTTTTTTTTAAATTTTCACGTCTACATTCGTATTTTTCACTTTCGCATTATAATTTTTACTTTAGATCAATCGATGTCGTGGTATTCGAGGATCTACATGTGGGTGCGCGAGTATCGCCAACGAAATCGTGTCAAGGTAAATAATTTAATTGAATATGTTGAATGATTGGATAGAAATGCTTTAATGATATGTTTTGAGATTAAATTTATGTAGCAGATCAGACATTTTGCCTATTACATTCTTAAAGCAGTTAAGCACTTGCAAAATTTGTTACATTTCTTGTGGAATTTGATCAATAGCGTAAAAGTTAACGTTAAGAAGCGTTGAATCTAGCTTTTTAAACGTCCGGAAACATATTCTTTGTTTTAAGTTACCTTATTATCTTTTTACCTTATTCTTATTCTTAAATCTTAATCTTATTACCCGTGTCATGCAATTTTTTTTATTTACAGGGATGGATGTTAACAAAATCTCTCAACATCATGGTCATCATACAGCTCATTTTCTTGGGATATTTGTAAGAAATTTTCTATTTATTAGCCTAACCTTCCTTTAGTCAAGTGATGTACCTTTATGCTGTGTGCTGGCAGATGCTTGAACATAAACAACAGGCAAGTTTTACATGCTTTCTTTCTTTTACAAGTTTCTTTAGGCTGTGTTCTATATTTGCGTCTTTGAAGGGATTACCATATTGGCTTTCTGGTCTTTTATGGCAACCATCATGACTCCGGTAGCTAAAGTTCCAGACAAATTCAGGGTTGGTAGCTAATATGCCTTTTTAGTACACATGTTTTAGGCAGATGCGAAAACAGATGGAGATCTCAAAGCCAACACTCCGTTCAATGGGAAACGCTACTTGCCTGATCAATCCACTCAAGATATGGTTTGAATTTTGTGTATAATTTATAAATACTTTCAGATGATGCAACAAATGGAGATCCTTCGAACTTTTTGCAGCGAGCGCAACATTTGCACGATGGAACGTGATCATTTTGGGGAAAGGATTCGGTGAGTGGTTTAATTGTTGCGCTTGATCCAAAATTGCCTAGGCATTTTCAAATTTAGTTACTGCTACGAGTGCCGCCTTGTGAAGCCGGATCGTGCTCATCACTGCAGCTCTTGTGGATTCTGTGTGTTGAAGGTGCAACTATTACTATCCTTGATTAATCTTGTTAAAATTACCCTTTAGTTTGATCACCATTGCCCATGGATCAACAATTGTGTTCACTACGGCAACTACAAGTCTTTCCTCCTTTATCTCTCCTATAGCATGACTTTTCTTTGCTGGTTGGTGACTATTTTATATTTTAACTTTTTAAAATAGTATTCGCGTTTAGGACAACTGTCACTTCGCTCGAGGCCTTTGTTCGATACTTTGTGAAAGCACATTGGGTTGATGATTTGATCGCCTTTTTGATGATCGCAGTGGGGATTCTTGGATGCATTTGCTTTATGTAAAACTTTTTTATCAAACTTTTAAAGATGCATGTCAATGGGTTGAGAATAATTCTTTTATTCAGGTACTGGCCATTGGGAGAAATGTTCAATTATCACCGCGGTTTGGTCGTGCTCAATGAAACAACGTGTGAACAGGCAAAGATCCCAAGAATTGAGTGAGTTTCCTTTTCTTATTCTTATCCTGATTTTGTTTAGTGGCGATCCGCGAGCTGATTACAACATTGGCACCTTGGAGAATTTGCGGCAGGTTTTTACAATTGTTTGAATTATTCAATCCTCAAAATTTTCGGTCTTCGGATGGGGATTTTGGCTTTTCCCATTGAACACTCAAGTCATTGACGGACTTCACTACAAAATAAAGTGAGTTTAGCTTTTAAAAGAGATTGTTGGTCATCTATCTGTAACGTTTTCAGTTACCGTCGCAAGCCAATGCCCTACGCGGTCTTTGTGAGTCCCAAGCCGAAGAGAGCCTCAGCCAACTCCATCGATCCGATTCAATCGCCTCCGATCACCACTCAGTCGTAAGGATCAATCACCCTTTCTCCAAATTTCTCACCTCTTTGTTGTCATCCTCGACTTCCTTATTGTGATCTTTTCAGATTTTTTAACTAGTCCTCAAGCGATACGATCAAATTTTTCTTGTTCACTTTTGGGTGTATCTCTTTTTCAAACGTTTTTTTCTTGTGTACTCGTTTTGTCTTGTGAAAATCAAGCTCAAAAATCTGCCAACAAAGGTTATCTTGCCAATGCTGCTGTTATTCGGTTAGAGTGACCCAATAACAAGGCCAACCCTTTCCCTATTCTTCCCTATTTGTGTACGAGTCGGATTGCAGCTATTCGATTCTCTTTCTCCTTTCTTTTCTTTTGTCTCTCTGTGCACCATTTCCTCCTTTTTCGATCTGGTTGTAGCTAGAGGGGAAACACTTATTTGTGCACACCATAATCCCACTCTCGGCCTGTTTCCCTCACCGCACCTGGAAACCCCACATTATATGAATGATGTGTGGAATGGCCTTGAAAATGACGATTTATTGATGCTCATCTTGAGTTTTATAGATTTATCTTATTGTTGATGATTCAAAAAATTCCAATTCTTATAGATATTTATACTAGCTACAGCAAGACCTAAGAATTACTGTATCTGGGTGCAACTTTGGAAACCGAGCCCAAAAATCCCAGTTTTATCATGGACCTGCAATGTTTAACTCTTGACTTTAACGATAAGTTCTTTATTTTCGAAATCTTTAAGCTTTTCAATCACCTCCCACACTTTCAAAGCTGCTTTATTCTTCAAAGCTATTAGGGTGCCGTTTATGGGGTTCATTTCAGCTTATCGCTTTTCATGTTCATTTCAGCCTATCAGCCCCATTTTCCATTCAAAAATCATGTGCTTTCCGCTCCATTTTTTTTCTTAGGACTCACCAAATTTCCCGTAAACAACTTGCCCGTATCAAGAAATTTTGAAGCGCAAAAAACGGTTCTTTCACTGGGTGCATAGTGCCTGTTTTTGACCGACCTGTTTTTTTTCGGGTTTGACTCTGAGCTCTTGACTGTTTTTGCGAGTATGGAACAAACTTGAACTAATATGAGATTTGAGTCTGCATTTGTATCTCCCCATTTTCGCCAATCCATAGCCACAAATCCTTCTCCGTTTCTCCGCTTTCTCATAGCTTTTATCCCCACTGGATTTTTGAAACAAATCCCTCAATGGGACACATTTGTGAGAAATGAGACCGGCAAATCCCTGGGGAACCATTTTTTGTGAACATAAAGATTTGAGAATAGAAAAAGAAAGGTGACAAGGTTTGGGTTGCGCTATGGTACGGAAGAACAATGAGTTCGAGGGAAAAGACAGAATCGAGATAGGGCTAGTGATAGATACCGGTCTACAAAGCGTATTGTTATAGTATAGCAGTGCGGTAGTCGCAAACGGTGTTCCAGAGGTCTTGGTCATGTAAGCCAGATCAAAGCCAAGACCTGACTTTAGCAGCATATTATCCTAATTAACTCCAGCGAGTCACCCAAAGCGTGAACTCAAAATGACGTGACCCAAAAAGTGGCTGCCTAATTGGTGTCGACCCTTGGCTTCAACGAGGCTTGTCCATAACTGGAATCCCCGAAGAGTGACAGCTGTCCCAGTTCTTTCTCTCTTTCCCCGTTCGTGGTCACTTCCCTTCAAGGGCCTTCCATCCCTACCACATAGTTAACCATTTTCTTTTCATTACTCATTGATGCACTTCTCACTTTCATTGCAATAACTAAGGACTGGAAATCTGGGGTCAAAAATGCTAGTTCTTTGTTGTTTTGATCAGAGTACGACTTTTTGTAGACCAATAACATTTTTAGCTACTTGGTGGCCTTGCTGATCAGCTTGCAGATCTACTCAGCTAGCGTTTTGTCTGCAAGAACGATCAAACACAGATTCTGACGGCTCTATGATTTCTATTTTGTATCTAAGCAGTTGTTTGTATCCAAATTTGTACCTGTGTATTCAACGGGCTTAATGCAAGACGGGATAGAACTGTTGCAGGTTGCAATTGTAGCTTCTGGTCATTGTAAACGGCTCAAATGCTCAAAAATAAAAGAACTCTCAATTCCCGAGCCTAACTCAAGAGCCCTTTCTCATGCTCACCCTTTCCCTCCATTGTCTCGCCTATTTATGCCATGGTTGAATGGGAAATAAAACGAAATAAAAGAGGAATGAAAATGTCCTTGAAACCAAGCATCTTTCCCTCTTCCCTCGGTGACAACCTACCACTTTTCTCTTCATCGACGATCCCTCCCCTTCACCCCAATTCGATCCTCATCTCACCTCAATCTTTCCATCTCTTTGATCGTCCGATTTTTGTCACTCATTTGAGCTTGTACCTAATGAATCTTTTTGCTATTTTGCGAACCTGTTAAGTCTGCTTTAGGTTCCAAGTCAGTAGAATTTGAAATGCTGAATAATCAAAGCCAGGGAACAAACTCTAGGATTTGTCGAGGTTTTTACTACCTAGTATAGTAGAATTGCATATTCATCTGCTCAATTATTCAGTTTTCAAATAAAACTTTGTCTAATCTTCGAATGAAACCCGATATCTTATCCAATGTAAAGCATTGTCCCTGATCTGCTTCTATTCACTTTTTAAAGTGTTTTGCTTTTCAATGTTCTCCTTTTTCTTGGCACAGCAAAAAATATGATTTGTCCACGTATCGACAAATAGAAAGGACGATCATCGTAAAATGATGAGTCACAATTTTGAGAAAGGAAAAAAAGATTGTAAATTGAACGTTTCTACATGTTCTAGTTGATCTAAAAGCTGGTTGGATATCAGTAGAAGGTGAATATCAGAATGGGCAATAGATTTTCTTTGATGGTGATTGGTTTTTAGTTGCTTGTCTCCCTAAAATAGGTTCTAGAAACTGGGATTTTGCTACCTCTCATTCTAGCATCGATTTTAAAGCTCTACAAGTATAAAATTGACAGCTTTTCATAACTAAAGCCCAACTAAATCAATTCAATTGATAGTGTTTTAACGCTCTAATCTTCAATTCAATTCTATGAACAAGCTAAGCATCGATTTTCTTCATTCATCTGTTCTCTAGATCAAAAATCGAACACAACAAGAGATAGGGAACTCATAGCTCGATGCAGAATACAGTAGAGAGAGATCAATCGATTCGGACGAGGATCGGAGTAGAGAAGGGAGGGGACAGAGAAAAGCCTAGCCTGTATTTGCCCCTTTGGGCAACGCGTTCACCTACCCGAAAGAGATTGAGTCAGCCCAAAGGGGTACCTCTACCCTAAAAGAAAAGGTCGTCCTGTCCTCTTGTCTCCCATTCTTGTCCCTTTTCCTCAACCGCCCTTATCGTCCCCTCATTCCTCTCTCTTCCCCGTATCGTCTGCGTGCGCGCGCGTTGCGTCTCTTTTTTTCGATCTTTTTTTAACCCCTTTCTTTTTCAATCCTCCTTTTGTCAGCGTGCTGGTGGCCACCTTTTTTTACGTCTATTTTTGGTTGTATTATTTTTTTAGGTGAGCTGACCATTGTTGACTTGACTTGAGGAAAATGGTTGCTGGTTTATTTTAAAAATGAATCTATATAGTTCTGAATTTTTAACGTTATTCTTAAGCTCTTTAAAATCAAGATTAGATCAAGGCTTTTTCTATCAAATGATCAGAAAATAGATAATTGAACTATTTTACCAAAATTTCTTTTAACTCTAGATACTCTAGATTCTAAGCATTGAACGTAATTCAATTCAATTCTTTTCAAAAACAAACTTGTGTCCTTGTTCTCTTTTTTCCCACAAAATTTTTTTTGGTTTTTTTCTAGTAAAAATCTTAGTTTATATCTTAGTTAATCTAATTTTTATCTAATCTTAGTTTAGATATTAACTCTGATATGAAACCACGATGCCAGTGCAGAGTTTTAATTTTATGTTAAGAGTCTCATGGTGGTGATGAGTCGACGAGTCGGTTGCAAACTCTAGATTCATTAGATACTCTAGATTCGTTGTTCCCATCTTCTCTTCCCATTTCCCATCTCCTTCACCACATTCTCTCTTATATAGAATCATTCAAACTATAGCTTGACTTTATGCAGTTCAATGCTTAGAATCTAGATACTCTAGATTCCAGAATTCTATTCATTCAATTCTATTCATTCAATTCAATTCAATTCAATTCTTTTCAAAAACAAACTTGGGTCCTTGTTTTCTCTTTGATTTCCATTCACAAATTGTGATTGATGTGTTTTCTCCAGTAAATTGTACTCTTTTAGCCTCCCATTGCACATTTTTCTCTTTTTTATCCATTCCACAATGTTCACTTTTGCAAAAAAACACATTCACTCATAGAAAGCCCATTGAAATGTTCTTGTTTTGTTCTTGTTGTTCTTGTTGAGGCTAGCCACCTGGAAGAGATATTGATTTTGCGTTTACAACTTCATTAACCAATTGTTTACTGTACTAATGCATAATTTTAAATCTACTTTGCAAAAAGTGATTCAATCTAGAAACAAGAACCCTTTGTTGTCAATTTTTTGGCAAATAATTACTCTACCAAATTTTTCCATTTTAAGACTGAAGTTAGCTTAAAATTTGACAAAATATGAAGCGTTTAACGGGGGCGGGACAAATGCGACCTTTTTTTTGCGCACCTGGACATTTGCGCACCTTTTTTTTGCTGGAAAAGGCCTTAGGCAAGGCCGTAGAGCTTCGAAAATATTTCCATATAAGGGAATCGTATGCGTAGATTCCGAATTTCGACAAATCAGACCT